TACCCCCAACCGCAGACTCGCTCCTTCTCTTGCTAGCACTGATGTCCAGTTGCTACAAGCTTTGAATGCGATGAAAGAAGAGATGAAGGCCATGAAAGATAAGATCACATTGATGGATACAAGAATCGGTGTAGTGATCACCGGTAATGCAACCGCCATTAATGGCATTGATGCCTTGTCTGCCCTCCCAGCATCTGCGCATGTGCCCACTAGTGTTGCATCCACTTCTGCTGCCCTTCCCATCACCGAATCAAGTGATACTAACGCTGTATTTGTAAGTATAAAGATACAAAAGACACTTGCCAATCTTTTTGCTAATTAAAATATAATAGGGATACATTCATGGTTATATGTGGAACCCAAAGCTAAAATCAAGAGACCAGGCAGAAATCCAAGCGAACGCCATAAAACCAAAGTGGGCAATTGATGTTCGTTTTGATCGCTCTCCAAATAGAGAGTTAGTCAAACAACTCTTGTATTACTTGGAAAAGAAGTTTGCTGGCACTGATATGAGGACACGCGACCTTCGTAAGTGTATATATACAAACTTCTGTAGTAGATGTCACCAGCAAAGGGAACTTCCGGAAACAAGACGAGCCTTGAATACTAATTCAAGAAGATCTGGCCATGAAACTGATGTAAACTATATTTTCAATTTATGCTAAATAATAACAATTAGAATATTAATTGTATTGTCTTTTTCCTTTAGAACTACACTCGCCGTCGCCTTGCTTATGATGCTTACAAGGCTGACATTGATCTCAAGATGGGTCAAAACTGCTCTGGACTGATCCAAAAGTCGGTCATGTCTGAAGGCAAATCAGATGATGATATGTCCCCCTCTCAGCCAAGAAATGAGATTTGTGTTGCTCGCCTAAGTTGGAGAAGTGACGAGGTAAAACCTAACAGTTTTCTTTTTTGAATGATGCCAGGCTGAATGTTAATATATGTTTATTACTTAGCTTAACAAATTCATTACGGAGGTTGACTCGTTTGTTGTTAAGCAATTGGGTGCAAATTCCCGCCAACTGCTTAAGAGAGTTTATGGTAGAACAGTGGAATCAACAGTCCCAATTGATTTAGATCCTGCTCTACCTCAATGGGCTCTAAAATATAGGTCATAAATAAAACTCATTTTTTGTCATTTTTTTTCTTTTACTCTCAAAATTTCTTAACACATATGTATTGTTCGCAACATATATAATAAGACTACATTAGCTTATGTCTTGAAAATTTTTATTAAAAAAGAAATGTATTAAATATTAATTGTATTGTTTGTGTAGTAAAGCATTGACAAGTATTTTCTTATTATTTGTGCTGGTTTTATAATCACATGTTGTAACAACTGATGATATTCGATGTACTGGCAAGATGCATTCAAAATCACATGCAATAAAATCTGCACTGCAGATGTCAACACTTTCCAACTCTCTTGAATGGTCATGCTCAATCTGGAACTACTTAACAAACGCAAACACGTGTTTAGCTTGATAAATGACACATGTTTGGAGCTCTGTGTTATATACTGGTGAAGTGAAAGAGTGCAAGAACAGATACTGAATTTGGTCAGTGTATGCCAACCGATTATTGCCTTGACTTCCAAGGAACAGAGATTGAACAAATGAGCCACGACCAGAAGCATATTTGCAGCCTTTGTAAACCTGGCCAAGCAAATTGATTGATTTCAACTTTATGATTTGGTTATTGACAAAGGAGAATGAAGAGCAGGGATGCTGGTAACCTTCAAGATTTGGCATGCAGTATGCAACTTTATAGTAATCAAGCAAATGAGGATAGTTGACATCACTCATTGCTGATGGGGGTTCAATATGGAGAGGAAATGTGGATGGAGGAAGAGGTTCATTGCCAAGGAATGGAAGAGAAGGGTTTGAATATGCTTGGATGAAGGCTGATAGTCTGAACGGGCACTGGGAAAAAGTTATTGTATTTTTTGAAGTGGAGGGTTGAGCTGTGGCAGTAAGCTTGGCAAGAAGAGGAAGAAACGGTACTTGACTTGGGCATGTGAGAGCAGCATGAACGATATCACCTTTGAATGTATCTTGGACGAAACTATTCATGTATGTAACCTCAAAGGAATCTTTTCTGTTCGTATTCACGTTCTTTAGCAGACCATTATATCGCTCAAACCTAAAGAGCCAATATCCATATACTGGTCCAAAATCACAGATGGTCTCACGAAGATGAAGATGTAAATGCATGTTACAGGTGAGAATAGTTGGAGTGTAAATACGCTGGCACTCAGTACAGAATTCTTGAAAAAATTTATGGCCATCATCAATGTCAGAGAACGTGATGCTTGGCTTTACTAATTGGCGGCAGGCATCAACAAAACTGATCCAATTTCTGAACATTTCAATTGGCAGGACGGCCTTCAACAAGATAGGCGAATACACTAGCACCCAGGACTTCCATTCATCAGCTTTCATGTATGGAAAGCCCTTTCCAATCTTCGATTTCAACACCACGTAATCCATTGGCACCACCATTGTCTCTGCCATTGTTTGCATTGTAGCTAGCTTCCTATCGTCTATCAGTCCTTCTTTTATCCACCGCTCCATCATTCTCTTTGGTGTCCCCAGGAATAAATTATGCATGGGATCGATGATCGTTCCACGTACTAGATCAAAGTATCCAAGGCAATGCAGCTGCGACCATCGAACACCATTTTCGATTTCCAACTGATGCCTTTCTGAGGGCGTACTGGCACTCTTCCACTCCTCAGCATGCAACCTGTTTTCCAGACCGCTACGGATTTTCCACGTCGAATAGTCGAACCCACTGAAGTCGACCGGATTGGTGCTTGGTAACCTGGTAAACTGCCTCACACATCTGGGGCATGCACAAGTACTGTTGTGGGCGGTGAATCCACTGGTCTTCCTGGCGGCGGGGATGTCACAGGCAACCATATGTAACGCGGCACATACATTAACACCGGCTGGGCACTCAAAGGTCGGGATGGTTATCTCCGTAAACAACTGCAGCAATTCATTGACTATTGGCTTTAAATAGTGGTTGATCTCTTCGGTCTTTGGCTCCTTAGAACCAGGCATCAAACCAACAAGGATGACATTTTCAGGCTTAAATCTTTCCTCACGAGGCAAGTTATTTATCGCAAGGTAGATAGCTCCAGTTGAATATGTAACGCCATCAAATGGCTGGAACCAGTCGATGTTCATTGTTAGCATCAATGAACGAGGTTAATCCACAAAAGATACGCCACTTTGGTCCTTTAGCTCCTTTCACATAGCACCATCATAGACGTCACATAGTGTATCTACGACCTTAAGCTCTTTGTTCCATTGTCTGATTTTTTGCTCGAACCCAGAACAAAGAAAGAAAACTTGTAATGATCTCTGGATAGAGTTGTAGACGTATGATCGCTTGGCTACCATGGCACCAGAAGATGAAACCTTCATCAATTCACAATTGCATGCTGATCGAGAACCATGCTTTTTGAAGTCGCAATGAGTAGGGAGAGGCACATCTTGTTCGTAAACCTTGTGGCAGTCTTCACATACAACAGACTTCTTGATACCATTGGCGTAATTGGAAAAACCAGTCATTTTTTGCAGGCCAATAAGACTTGTTGGTAATTGGAAATCTTTGCCGTAGATCTTGAGTAACTGATTGATAAATTCAATCAATACGGCGGCACCTTTGTTAACAACATAACGCGAGATAAAAAGAACGGCAAAGGTAGCAATGAACCGATGGACAGGGTTTTCAGGCATGTTAGGAGCATCAAATGGGTCTATTTAAAATTAACAAATATAAATTAGAACAAATTTTCTTTAGGTCTGTTTTTAAGAAAACAAAATCATTTATGACTGACCTTCATTAACAAACTCTTCAACGTCTGTCTCGACACCTTCTTCTTCACCACTGCCAGAGTCAGAGTTCATGTCTCTTTCAATGTCAGAGTCATTGCCATTGACCTCGCTGATCTCATCGTCTACCGAGACATTGTCAGCCATCGTGGCGGCATTCGAATCAGGTGAGTCGGCCTGATCGTCTATTTTTTCGATGGATTCAGATTGACAGGTCGGGATATATACAAATATAGATTAGTTTAGCTTATTGTCTCTACTGGTTTTCAAATATTTTCTTTTCTTTTCTTTTCTTACATTGGGTATCAACGTCCATCATTTGTTCTTCTTGCACAGCTGTGTTTCATTAAAATTAAAAAAATAAAGAAGTTATTACTCAGTAATTGAAAAATAAACCCTGAATATAACATACTATTTGCCAATCTTTCAGCCATATCCAGTCTCTCGATTCTCTCAAGCTCATCTTTTCTAATATGGTGCTCAGCGGTTCTGCTTGTCACCAATGAGTATCCCTGTGAATTTCTGCTACATTGAGCACAACGGCAGACAACATTACGGCGGTGGGGGATAGAAGGCATTTTATGTGTTTTGTTTGATATGATTTATTGAAAATAAAAAGAGGAACAAGTGTAAAATATACTTTATTTGCACCGACTTTATAGTAAAAAAAAAGCATTATATTTTATGGTTGTTTAATTAAATTCTTCTAACAAGTTCTTTTCTATATTATTAAACATAGAAAGAGACATGACAATTATGATATTATCAATTCATAGTCTTTATTCAAATGTTTTCAAGAATGCCTGTTGTGTGTAAAAGACATATATTTTTCTACTATGAGTTTATAAATAGATTATTGCGAGAGTAAATCCAGAAAATAGTAGGAATAAAAAAAAAGGGGTGGTAGAATGAGAATTATGATAGGTCTCTGTATGTGAATTTAGCCTTCTGTACCAGACTGATATTCTAAAATTCTGTTAGCCAATGAAACCAACTAAAACTACATCTTTGACCTGAACTTCAAAAAACACACTGAGTTGAAAAAAATCACTATTTCTACACATGTGTTTACCAACCTGGCCACATTGTTAATCAGGGCGGTTTTTCCAGTGATATTTCTTTTTTATACGTGTTTTATTTTTGTATTTGAATCTAAATATATATTTTTCGTGGCAAAGGAACTACACACATCTGAACTTCACCTTCTAGACCAAGGTACTCGCCTACTGCGACTGGATAGCAGATTCTATGCACTGGGAGAATGCTGTTCATGCTGTCATCTTCGAACCCCACCTCATTCACCTCAACTCCTTCTCCTGCTCTGGGCTGAAGTAAAACTTTCTTGTACCATCATACATATGCAAATACATGCTGACTCGCATGACCAGCAAATGAGTTTACAGTAGTATTAACAAAGAGGTACTGAATTTGGCCCGCGTATGGCTTGGCACTTCTACCATCACTTGTCTCAAACAAGGCTTGCATGAATAACCCGCGCTGATTCTTCGTTTTGCTCTTGTAGATTTGCCCAAGAAGATCAATTGATTCAAACTTCTGTATCCAATTGTTAACAAAATTATCAGAATGACCAGCCTGACGATAATGAACAAGAGTTTGATCATTGTATGTCTCGCCATAGTATTCCAACAAATGCTCATACTCGGATTCATCCATGGAAATCTCCCCCTTTAGAGCTAAAGGAAGTGCGGAAGGGGGCAAAGGCTTGTTTCCCTTGACGATATCAAAGTTGATCTCAGGAGAATCAAGAAAAGCATTGATATCGAATTAGATTGAGGTGCCAGTGGAAGTGGAAGTGGCTATGTAATTGGCAGTGGATGCAGTGAGCTCAAGGATGATTGCCAAATGCTCAGGTCGAATTATTGGCAAAGTTTGGCGAATAAGATCTCCCTGGTATGCTTCTTCAAGATACTTCTTCATATAAGTTCCCTCAAACCTGTCTTTTCTATTTGTCACATAGTTTTTTAAGATACCATTGCATCTTTCAAAACTAAAAAGCCAATAGCCATAAACCGGGCCAAAGTTTAGTACAGTCTCTCGCAGATGAAAATGAAGATGCATGTTTGGTGAAAGGAATGGGTGTGGTGATCCAGACACTCAGATGTTGGATTTATCACATATAAGAACATATTCATATTGGGATAGCGTAGTAGCTATCATCTTGTCAGTATAAAATATATATAAATGATTAATTAATCAGCCCAATAATTATTACAGTTAGTACTGTAGATAATATCTTAAAGATTGTTAAGATAATTATATCATACTGCCAGGTAAACTATGTCAGATCGATATGGAGCTAATTTAGTAGAAAGTCCTAAAGCTCTAGTATAAAAGAGAAAGGAATAGCTAAGAGCTAAAGAAGTACGATTTATGACTTGATGTCATAATTGTAACTCCGACACTAGTTAAGCAGTAAATACACTCTAATAACCAAATATAGTAAAGGAAGAAAGCCTTAAGAAACTAAGACGTAATGACAAGAGCAGGTTGTGTTTTCTTATAAAAAGGGACACTTTTTATTTATGAATAAAGACAACTTATATAAAGTCTCAAAGTATTTCTATACATCTCTATTCTCAAATATTTTATTTTTCTATTGTTTCGTACCTGAAATACCACAATGGGGCTTTATACAACTTCTCGCACTCTCTGCAGAAAGCCTCCAAAGATTGATGGGCTTCATCAAGGTGAGCCATGGATATGCTTGGCATTGAGAGATACTGGCATGCATTGACAAACGTTGTACAGTTACCGAGATGAGCTTCAGGTAGACGACCACGTAGGAGAACAGGAGAGTACACCAAGCACCAAGACTTCCACTCGTCAGCCTTCATGAATGGGAAGTCACACCCAATCTTTGTTCCTAATGGCGTGTAGTCCTCTGGCAGTACAAGCTTGTCAGCATCGAACTGCATTTTGGCCAAGTGTGCATCTGTGATGAGACCTGAAGATCTCCATTTTTCCATTATCCTCTTTGCTGTTCCAAGGTACAGGTTGTGCATCGGATCAATGACAGTGCACTCCACGAGGTTAAAGTAAACCAGGTCATGCAATTCTGACCATCGGACACCATTTTCCCTCTCCAATCTCTTTCTCTGTGCATCACTGCTGGCCATTCTCCACAACTCAGCATCATGGTGGTTTTTGTCATCAGTGCGAGGCACCCACTCAGAAAACACAAACCCAGAGTAGTCCACAGCATTGGAGTCTGGAAGGCAAGGGAACTGTTGGTTGCACTTATTGCATGCACATGTGCTTGAATGAGAGGTGAACCCACAAGTCTTACGGGCAGCAGGAATGTCACAGGCAACAAGAAGAAGGGCAGCACGGACAAGAGCACCAGATGGACACTGTACGGTAGGCATTACCACACCACCATACAACTGGTTGAGTTCCGCGACAAGGGGACGGAGGTAGTGATTGATCTCACTTGTCTTTGCTTCCTTGGGCCCTGGCATGAGACCAACAAGAACAACATTCTCCTTCTTGTACCGTTCCAATCTTGACAAGTTGTTGATGCAAAGGTATATCGCACCACAGGAGTAAGTGACCCCATCAAAAGGTTGAAACCAATCGATGTTCATGGTAAGCATTATGGAGCACTCATGATTCACAAATGGTAAACCATTGCTATCCTTCAGACTGTTCCACTTCATACCGTCGTAAATGTCAAACATCATGCCTGGAACTTGCACTCTGATTCTCCAATGGTTGATGGTGTCTTCAAATCCAGGGCGGCAAAAAAGGATAGACAATGTTTTGATTATGGAGTTATACATGTAGATCTTTTTGAGGATAGTCAAGGCTCTTGATGTTGCAAAGAAAAGGGTGTTTCCACATTCTCTACCAGAGAGTCTCTCGAAATTACAGCACTCTGGAACAACATTGGACTCTTTGTATACTTTGTTACAATCGCCACATGCAACAAACCGCTGGACATCGCGAGTCACGTCACTGAGATTGGTCATAGAGTTGACACTGTTTATACTGAGGGGAAGACGGAAAGACTGTCCAAAGTGTGCCAATACTTCGTTAAGAAACTTTAACAGAACAGCACCACCAGAATTTACAACATATTTAGATATGAAGAAGGCAGCAAAAGAAGCAATGAAAGCATGAGTAGGATCGACTGGCATATTGGATGAAGAAAAGTGCTCTATTTGAAAAAAATCAATACTTGTTGACTTTATTGATTTATATGTGCTTTTTGTACTAACCTCTAACATCATCAGATTCATCATCAGAAATATCCAAAATGGTTGCTTCAATGACACCCTCATCTTTGCTTTCAGAATCAAACAAGGAATCAATGCCAAAAAGAGGTAAGTCTTCGGCTGTTTTGTTAGAAAAAAAAAGAATCAAGTTATTAGATATTATAAATGATTATAAAACTTTAATAAAAATACTATGCATACCTTCAACTTGATCTTTGGCATCAATATTGTATTCAAAATCAATCTCCATAACATTGTCATTCGACATTACTTCTATAACTGAGACTATATTATATGAAAATAAATATTTAATTAAAATTGTCTCAATAATAATTTTCTTAAATTTGAGCTTACAAGAAGATTCTGACTGATATTGTCTCACGATATCCTGTTGTGCATGTCTTCTGAGTGTTTGGGTAGACACCAAAACAAATCCCATGCTATTAGAAGAGCATTTAGAGCACTTGCATTCTGAATTGTTGTTGTTGTTTGACATATTGTGTGCGTATGTTTTATTTTTTAAGTCTTTAGAATTGACAAGAATAGAAAAGTGTTCAGGAACACAATTTAATATATATCTCTCCAAATTACACCAGCTTCTAAAATGACATAGTTTATTCCGGTTGTTAAAATGGGCAGTTCTCTAAACAGTAATTGATTGCCTCATTCTAAAATACAATAATACACACTTTTGTTAAAACATGTCGTCATGTACATTTTATTAGCTGTAGAGCATATACAACAAAAATATTTGTAGTAATATCACGATCATTAACCTCATCATACTTATAAATAAATATTACAACAATAAAAAGCTTTATTATCTCACTCAAAAGATATCATTTGGTTTAAGTTCCCTACAACTATTGACTCTGCGACATGGCTACAAGTCCCAAAAATAAATCTCTCAGACATTTTTTATAAAAAAGAGTAAACTCGTTTTTTTATCCAATAAAACAGACCGAGCATTATCATCGCTGTCAAAAATAAAAAAGACAAAAGTGATGGAAATTTAAGCTACCACTCCACAAATAATAGTACCCTACGCCATAGATGAAATTACCCTATTTTTCCAGTGCACCTACCTTCTCCAAAAAGACAATGCCAAGCCACATAAGCGCAAGTTGGCAGAACAGTAGACAAAAAGAAACGATGTGGCTATCTTACCATGGCCTGCAAAAAGTCCAGATCTCAATCCAATTGAGAATATGTGGAGCTACCTTAATAATAAGGTTAGAGATAGAAGATTTTAGCCTACCACGTTAAAAGAACTGGAGGTTGCTTTGTTGGAGGAGTGAGCAGAAATCACAGCAAGTACTTGTGTGAAGTTTTGTCTAAGCATTAAAGAGCATATGATATTAGTTAGGAAGAAGCATAGAGGAGCTATTAACTATTAAACCTCCATCAAGTTTTAATATAAATAAGCAATGCATATTACAAAATCTTCTATTCATTTTTTGTCTTTAAGGATCATGTCTTTGAGAACTTATTTAACCTTGAAAAACAGAGGTATACTTCTTTGATTTTAGTGGAGTTGGAAGTAAGTCAATTTCATCCTAAGCTGGGTGTATATCCAATCAGCTGACATCCACTTGCATATATATAATATCGGCTGTTATCTGCTTATATATATGTCAGATCAGCTGACATCTATTTGTATATATAGCAGATCAGCTGTCATCTGCATATATATATGTTAGATTGGCTGTTATCCACTTATATACACTAAAAAAATTAAGTGTTTTTATCTTGCTGAAAATCTAATTTTATTTAGATAAAGAAATGTTTTATGCTCAATAATAATTGTCTTTCTTTGAGATAAAAATTGAATTTTTATCTGATTATTAGAGAAGTTCGTGGAGTCACTTTTTCAAAGAGAATTTTCTTTTAAAATCAAACTCATTGATTTAAATAAGAAAATAATGTAACAATACAAAAATAATTTTGAAAAAGTTTTTGAAATTTTCAGATTTTCTGAAAAAGTGAGAGAACTTTTTCAACTTCTAATATCTTTCTATTTTTTATTCTAAACTAATGTTATGAAAATAGTAGAAATATATGAAACAATGCAAAGTTTTAAATATAAATCAGTAACGATATAAACAAGATTGTTTTACATATTTTTGTTTACGTTTATCAACTTATCTATTTAATAAAAATTATCTAAGCAAAACTAGCTATAGAAGCGTTAATGAGAAATTTAATATAAAGCTATTTTATTATCAAAAGAAACAAATTTTTCTGGTTAAATTTATTGAATGTTGTATTTGGAAGTTTAGTAAATATAAAATCCAATGAATAAATTAAGTAATCACTATGAATGAAATTGGTGTGGCTGCCACTAATGGTAGTAAATATGTCACTAGTTTATTTTAATTAACTAATCAAATTGGTTCTAGAGTTTGATAAAAATATTAAAAAAGATAAAAAAGATAAAGTTGTATTTAAGAGTGAAGTAACATAATAGAAACGTCTTTTTTTTACATTTATATCATATAGTGAGTATAGCAATTTGATTTATTTATTTTTTATTTGAAATCGTAAAACTTTTTTTTGTCTCATTGTCAAGATTGTTGTATTTTGACAATACAACTAATCAATGTGGCAGACCAACTATCTGTCCCACTAATTTACCAAAAGTGCAGGATTTAAATTGTTTTTTTTATATTTTATTTTGCTCAAATTTTTATTTTGCATTTATTTTTCTTTTTTTACGTAAATGAACATCATCTTGAAGTTATTTTTTAAGATCAGGTAAATCTATAGCTACTTTATACATCTAATTTACATGACTTGCTCTCTATTTTATTTTTACCTGTTTTAATTTGCTAAAATAAAAATGTATTTTAATTATTGAAAAAACAAAAAGTTACTTTTTATTGCTTGTGAGAGGAGTAAGGCATATTTCTGTTACAATGACAGAGGCTCGTGTTGACTTTATTCCAACAAGAACAAATAAGACACCAAGTGCAACTGTAAGGATAAATACACTGATCAACTATCTGTAGAAAAAAAACAGGAGACGGATATCAGCATATTCTTAGAAGAGCAAAAGCTCATTCAACTGCAGTTCCACATGTATACAAGGTAATGCCAACATATTATGCATGAAGACAGCATTGTAGAGACGAACTGAGGAAGATTGAGTAGTCAACAAAAGTTGTACTACTCTTTGAGACTTGAGGAGTTAATTTTGAAATACTCATTTGCTTTACATAAATTCAGAGGTCAATGAGTTGCTGTTCTTCTCCTTCAAGAAGTGATGAAAGCTGAACACCAAACGGAGAAGTGACAAATCATACATATTAAATTTAGTGTCATGCAAGATATTTCATTAATATTTTTCTTTATTAAAAATGTGCTAACAAAGTTAAGCAGAGAACTTCAAGAAGAAGAGTTGAGGTATATATAGATTGTTTAAATGTAAAACTTAATACACTGACTAAACTATATTTTTAAAAGTAGTCTTGGTGAGGCAGAAAGTAGTGTGGCAGCCTCACCACCAAGAAGAAACATGCGGAGCCATCATGTTTAATTTTTTTTTGGACTCCTTGTTATTTCCGTCTTCTATGACATTAAAACAAAATTTCTCTTTACAATCACCCTTTTTTTAATAAATGACAAATCGACTCATTTCCTCTACTTTCTTCTATTGCTTTTCCCGTAGTCACATTCAAACAATATGCACCACTCAAACTTCAAGACACTCTTGATATAAAATTATTACAATTGTGTTTTGATTAAAAAAAAAGACTAATGCAACTAGAAAAACACATTTTTTGCAGTTTTTTTTCTTTCAAGCAGCTACTATATAATATGCTCTTGACTTACTTTCACAAAATACAGTCAATGTAAGTTACTGTCTTGTTAAACTGATACTGTATAGGACATACTAAACAATTTGATCAGCTATTAATGAGTAGATGCTTCTAATTATCTGGGGCATGTGCTGCAGTATGATAGCTACCAGACAATCTTCAAATACAAACAAATTTTAGGGGTAAGCTTGCTAGACTACGTGTATTTACTTTGTATATTAACTTATTTCTGTAGATTTTGTCTGTATTTACAATTACTTGAGGCTGTTAATTAGCATACACTACAAAAGTCCGCAGATATTGGTTTCTAAAATCCCTACAAATGTCTTACTGAAATATTCAATTATTTTTAATTTTAATTTTTATTGTTTTTTGTATGTTGTAATTTCAGATCGCTTTTTTTTGGCTGTAAAATTACACCACCATCACTTTCTCTGGCTATGAAATTACAACATTGCTTTTATTTTCTTTATGTTTTACACTTCTTTAATATAATTGTAAATTACACTAAAAAAATATTAATATGAAAATTAATATAATATTAAATAAGATATAGATATTCTTAAATTTTTTTTTTCTTTAAAATGAATAATTGATGTATTAACAGTATTTTTTATATGATGTAAATATAAATAGAAGAGCAAATATTTACTCAATATATTCAAAGTGAAAATATATCAAGAGAAAAAAGCAGAGGTTGTTATTTAATTTTTACTGTGGCAATATTTTTGCGTGATTTCTCCCTTTCATATAAAGGGCTATTTTATTTAAAAAAAATCACATGTTGTGAGAGGTGAGAATTCCTTTCACAGAATTTCGGGTGTAATATACAAATAGTCATAAATCTAAATATAGGGTTTGCATAAAAAATACTATAAAAAGAAAAGATGTTATTTTAATAATGCGCGCAGCATACATCTTGGAAATTGACTAAGCAATATATGAATGGTATTGTGATAAAATGCGCAGTAGATGTCTTGAAAAAAAACTTGGCAAAGTAGAAGCATGACATGGAGCAGTATTCTATCTATTTATAATTTATTTTTCACTATATAAAGACCATGATTAAAAAATCTCAAAAACCATATCTTTTTATTAATTTATAATATCACTATGTCTAACAATTGAACAAGAAACGATTATATTATCTGCATGTGCACTCGATGCACAGAGTCTAATCCATCTGGAAAGTGTCAAAGAAAGTAAAATGCAAAAGAACATTACAAACAATATGGTGCACCAGTTTTGGCAGCCAATGCAATGGGTAAATATTATAATTAAAAAAATGTTATTCTTGTGAATTTAATATAAATTATTCAATTAAACAGATATGCAAAATGAAAATGTTGATTGTATGGAAATAGACTATAACTCTGATGTTGATGTTGATTTTAATGTCAATGAAGAAGGTAAAAGAAAAAAAACAAAGTGGAAAAAAAAGTTAACATCTAATAGTTTTTTATTATTATAGATTATGCTATTACTCTCAATCCATTAATCAATAATGAATATACTCAGCCAATTCATATATCTTTACTCTAAGAGGATGCGATTTTTTTTCAGAAGATGCAGGCCTGCAGTCATTTGTTATTGATGGCAATGATATTGAGGAGGGCGGAACAAGCTTTGGTTTCAAGAAAGACAAGGCCTTTGAGAATCCGGCATTGAGCTCGGTGAAAATGCAAGATATGAATTTTTACAAATACTAAAACTCTTTCATTATAACACTTGATTTGATATCTAACCGAAATGTTTATATTTGTAGCTCATCAGTATCCTTTGAGCAATATGCCTGTCTATATCCGTTTTATGGCTATCTTCATTATTATCTTTCATTTCGTGTTTCTGATGGATAATGGTGGATCGATCCTCATCAAATTTTGCAATATCCTTTTCTCTCTTTTTGATCTTACTAATGCTCTTCCCTTGACAATTGACAGCTTGAAACACATCACAGGTTTCAACACAGCAACAGGCGGAATTATGGTGTATGTGACATGCTCAAAATGTTATACAATTTATTCTCCAAACGCAAGCACAAAAAATTGCACATTCAAATTATTCACTCATTCAAATACCTGCAACAACACCCTCTTTAAATCTACAAGTGGCAATCGTTCTTCTCCAGTGATGGTGTATCCGTACAGCTCTCTCAAACACACTTTACAACAATATTTCTTAACACCAAATTTTGAATACCGAATCAATCTTTGGAGAAATTGTCAAACACTTGCAGAAACAAAAATGGACATATACGACAGCGCAATGTGGAACGAAATCAAAGACAATAATGGCAAACGATTTGTTGATGACCCCCAATCTCTAATGTTGACTCTAGACATCGATTGATTCCAACCTTTTGATAGACAAACTCATTCCAGTGGTGCCATTTATCTGTCAATTAACAATCTCTCTCGAAGTGAACGTCTAAAGTCAGAAAACATTATTCTTGTTAGTATAATGCCAGGACCAAAAGAAGCGAGCACCAATAGTATGAACAATTACTTGAAGCCACTTGTTGACGAATTGCTTGAACTGTACAATGGTGTGAAGATGTCCAATAATAGCAATGAAAATATAACTGTCTGTGCCACATTAATGTGTGTTGTGTGTGATATTTCTGCTGCAAGAAAGACATCTGGATTCACAGAACATGCAAGCATATGTGCATGCCACAAGTGCCAATGTCAGTTTATCATGATATCCGAAACCACCCAGATAGACTTCTCTGGATTTGAATATTCCACATGGACTAAACGTACAAAGGCCAGAAATCTGGGTTATGCCAATAAGTGGAAGGAAGCCAAAAATGCAGCTGAGTATACCCAACTTGAAAGACGCAATGGTACTCAATGGTCTCAACTTCATTTGCTTACATACTTTGATCCTGTTTGGTGTACAATCATTGACCCTATGCACAATCTCTTTCTTGGAACTGCCAAGTGCATGGTGCAGATTTGGAAAGAGCTAGAGTACTTTGACAACCAAGCTCTGTTGGCCATGCAAGATCTGGCAAATGGTGTTGTTGTTTCACCTGACTATGCATATATCAACAAAAAGATAGCTGACAGATTTTCTTCCATAAAAGCTGACAAGTGGAAATTGTGGTGCCTTATTTACTCTCCTTTTGTTCTGAAGCACATTCTTCTAGTGAAGCATCTTTCCAACTGGATGTTTTTTGTGAATGCTTGCCATTTACCCACAAAACCCTCTGTTACTTCTGATAAAATATCCAGTGCCCACGCCCATCTCCAATTGTTCTGTAAAGGGTTTGAAAAGCTGTATAAAGAATTTCCTGTCACTCTAAACATGCATTTACATCTCCATCTGAGCAAGTGTATTAACGATTTTGGCCCGATTTATGCTTTCTGGTTGTTCAGCTTCGAAAGATATAATGGGTTGCTTAAGAATCTCAACACAAATTAAAAGGGTGGATTCAAAGTAACTATGATGAAGCGTTTTTTGAAAAAGATATACGTTGGCAACTACATCCAATCTTTTGAAGAGAAATTCCCTGCAAGAACAGTTAATTTTCTACATAGCATTACTCGCAGTCAAGTTATTTTAGAGCAACCTTCTTCAATGAGCAGCTCGTTTATATTGTCCACATTTATCAAATACACTATGAATCCTCAAAAATCAGTTATGGGACGTGAACCTTTGCCATCAGATGTACTGTCATTCAAGGTCGAGCCTGTTGTGGTGGTTGAAGTTGAAGAAGTTTTTAAGAGGAAGAATTGAAGATTTGAGATTAGGAACGAAGATTCGTGAGAACTTGTGTAGGTTTTGTTTATTGAGAAAAGATTTTGTATCAAAGTTTGACGTGGTTTCTATACTGAACTACTACTGCTATTTATATTATTTGGGATTGGGAAAATTATATGACTGGGGTCAGGTAATCGATCCTATCTGACCCTTAATCAGAGCAATATAATCTTGGGATAATTAATGTATGATTAATTATATAAATGTGTATAGTCCCAATGAAGTATTAACATTCAAAGTAAATGTGTTTATGAGTTATAATTAAGCTTACAATAATCCACTGATGTATCCCATATTATGGTGATATCATCATATGAAATATAATCACTATCATGCATGCTAAACCTGTGTGTTAAATAATAAAGTAATTGGTAGACACCTTTGACTGGAATAGCTGAGGTCTTATATTATTTCCTTCAGACTTATTCTCAATTACAGAAGTAGTCAATACTCATTTACAACAGAGCCGAAAATTGTCATGAGCAAAGAGCATTATGAGTGTTTATATCAATATTATAAGGACGTGTACAACAGTCACAATATTTTTGGTCACCACTCAGATTGCCACGCTGGCCAGATTTTTGTTAATAATCGTATTATAAAAGTCAAGCAGATATCCCTTCTTGGCCAACAGTATTTTTCTGGGTCTTACTTTCAAGCCCTTTTTGTCAAAAAGAAAAGTGAAGACATTTCCACATTTCCTGGCCGCATTTTATATATATTTCAACACACATTGAACTTTGGTAACATTGATGTCATTCATACTTTTGCCTTTGTTGAATGGTATGCGAGTTACTTGTCAGGAAACATCCAACCACTGAAAAATGAAAAAATTGAATTGTGGCAAGAACCATTCAGTTTGCTAACTTATGAGAACATCATTCCTGTCTACCAATTTTACTCACCAGTTGCTATAGCAAAATATAGGTCTACAATAACAAGTGACTTTAAACGTTTAGTAATATCTTTACCTAAAAAAATTGAATATCAGCATATAATAATAAAGATCACTATAAATCCAGTATCTTATTCTTTCAAATAATTTTTTTATTGTAAAGGGGCTTTTTTATTAGTCTTAATTCTTTGCCCAAGACAGTTTTTTCATCTTTGCATTGGTAAGCTTCTTTTCTCTTCTTCTCAAGATCTTTCTGTCAAAAGAGCATGTCTGGCTACCTTTTGGAATATTCTGATAAATAGCATCAAGTTCTTCTACGAAATTGTCACCCTATGTATTCATATAAGTAACATTAATTATTACTAAAAAAAATTGTATCTTTTCACTTCTCTAACTTGGACGAAATCGCCCAAAGACTCGACCAGCAGAAGATGAGTTGTCTGCAACTTCGCAATCAGTCTCCAGGTCAGACATTTAGTCAGCATGAAGAAAGTTATCAAGACCCTCTCCATACGTTTTGACAAAGTATTCCCTAATTGTTTCTAAGGCTAAAGCTCTTTTGTTTTGTATCTGTACATTTTTATCTTTTACTATTATTATTTTTATGATAAGAAATATGCACTTATTATCTGAACATGTCTTTGGGAAAGACATTCAACTTGGTTCATTTCTGCAGTTTGATTGTCAGTCTTCTTTTCTTTTAACTTTTGGCTTGAAATATAATGCAAAACCTTTCTTCTGATTTTGCCTGGTGTAATGAGTTTGTCCGCAGCCTGATTACAAAGATAATCTACAACAGACTTGATAATACACCTGTTTGCCTCAAAATATGCACTTTGTGTTTTATCATATTTCTCATACAGCTGTTCTTCTTGTATGTGTGATTGCAATAATTGCTAAAAGAATTCAACAATGAGTAATTCATTTAACCACAAAACTAGCTTGACTACTTACATTCAAGACTGGATAGCTATCAGGTGAGAGAGCTTGTTCAACAGCCTTGCTTGCTTCTGCTTCTATATCTTCAGAAGTAATAATTGTTTTGCCACTACGCAAAAACGTATTGACTTCTGAGATTTTTTTGTAAACCTTGCCAATGGTATGGCCATCACCCAATGAAGCCTGAACTGTGTTCAAGCAAGATCTTTTTAATGATAAATCTGCATCAGAATTATTGATCCCCTGAGATTTTTTTCGCATCAAAGCAAAAATCTTTGCCAGCATTTCTTGATAAGTGATTATAATGGTTACGATAAGTAAAAATATATTATTGTGGAAAAATAAACAGTATATTATTACATTTGCTCAGCAGAATCAATGTTGCTGCCATTATCATTGGCAGTAGTAGTGGTGGTAGTTGTGGTAGCTCTGGCAGCCTTGTTAGCTTTTTTTGGAATTGTATTTTCTTGGCATGATAAACAATAAAGTATAGTAGCTTTTAAAACATATATTTTTTATTCATGCCAAGTTTGATTTGGGCTTAATGTTTGACTTTTTTTTTCTCGGGGAACACATGAAGAGCTTTATGTTTTTATTTAACTGAATAAAAATAAATATGCTTTATATCATAATAGTAATATATTTATGCTTTGATATAGAGTAGTTATTGATTTTAATATTCTTATATGTCTGCTAATACTACTGATACTTTTAATATGTCAATCTTTGTTAAATAGATTGAACACAATAAGCTGTTATTTGTTACCATAAAAGCCAAAGCTTATTTTTACTTTGTTTTAATAAATACACCCACATCAAAAAAAAATAATTTTTTTTTAAAAATTTAGATTTAACGGAACAACTGCGCCCCTTCTTTTCTTTTACTTCACTTTCTTCTCTTTTGGTTTTATCTTTTTGGTCACTTTAAAAACTCTGGTAAGTGTACTTTAAAAAACTGAACGTTTACTAACCCATTTGTATTTATATAATTTTCTTTTATTACATATCCTACACATCTTTCATGAAAAAAATACACTGTTAGCAAGTATCTGAGAGGTTCAGGTAATTTTTTTTCAAACACAATATGAGTAGCTTGTTGACTTGTTATCTTTTTAAATTTCACAATGCTAGTTTTGATAAAGTAAGCACACTTCTTTATTCTTTATATAATACATTTAATTATATGTCCACAGTTCAGTCAAAGGTAATAGCAATTATTTTGCAACATTCAAGTATCTTGTTAATCATTTTTTTATTGAAGTACCATATAATTTTATCCCAAATTATATCTGACTACCTATTGTATAAACTCGTGTCTATAATATGTAAGTATGATACATATTTTAATGATTTGACATATGCTAACAACCGCATTTTTATTCTATATTTTTTTATTGATTTATTTAATAATTAGTAATCAAAACATCATTATTACTTTTTGACAATTCTATCGCAGATATTTCAAAATGTCTTAACATGTAAGTATCCATGCATATATCTATAAATCAATAGAAAATATTAATAAATTCATTTTTTATTTTAAATCTTAAAATATAGCAGCCACAAGAAAAAGTCTGGGGAAGTCTAAAGGAAATGTCAATAATATCATCTTCAGTCAAAGAAGTATTAAATCAAAGATAATCACAAGGAATACGTGAAACCGATAAGGTGAGAAAATGTAGTATAAACCATGTCATCAAGATCTCTCAAGCTATCCAATGAATAGAGGTGTAACATGTATATGAATATTACTATCTAAACATGTATATTTAAGAAAGTATTAGTGGTGAACGTTAAATAGTTAAATTGTTTTTCCAACCATTCAAAAATCAATAAAAATCAATTCTTCTATGATATTCTATTTCTAAAGCTTTTAATGTTTCATATCAATAAAATAAAAACGTATCAACATATATTGGACATATATCGGACATATTCTGAACATCTTTCAGACATATTTTGGACATATTTTGGTAGAATTAGCTGGAGTTAAATAAATATTTCAATCATAAGAACACTTTTTAGAGGTGGTGGTTTTAAATAATAATCTATATTTAGCAGGATTTAAGCACAATTCTTCATAATAGATAAATTTATAGCCAAAATACTAAAGAATTACAGCATTTTAAAAGCATATGGTTGTTATTCTGTCCATTAATATTGGTCATATATTAGAATCTAAATGCTTATCATTTGGTATATCAGCAGTAATATATTAGAATCTAATATTATACATATATTATACTTGTGGTGATCCAGATACTTGGTTGTTGGATTTATTACATCTAAGAACATATTCCTATTATTATAGTAAAACAGCTATCATTACAAGAACAAATGAATAATTTATTTATTTTACTTATGGTAAATCAATAAGACCAATAATTAATTACAGTAAGTACTGTAATTATGACAGCTCAGTAAGCACTGAGTTAATATGAGGACACTACAATTAGATTAAATTATAAACATAGCAGTACCAGCTCTCTAATATCTAAATGAACTCGGACTTAAGAAATTAAGATGTGACTGACAAAGCAGATCGTGTTTTGATATAAAAAGGACAACTTTGTATTCTTTAATAAAAAAAACCTATATACAGTCTCAAAGTATTCTTATATACGTCTCAATCTTTTTACTGTTGATTTTATTCTATAAAACTTCACAATACTTTAATCCTATCTTTTGGATATATTTTAGTTAAATTTAAAAGTCTAAAATCCGAAGTCTCTTACAGTGATACTTGAGGTAATTACAAAAAAAATTACTTTTAAGTATCTATATTCATAGTATTCTTTACTTTAGCTTTACACAACTCAGGAATGAGATTGTTTGAATGTTCTCTCAATAGAAAAGCATCAACAATTATAATTTATAACGAAGAATCCCATCATCTATAGCTGATATATCTAAAGATATGTATTACTTGTATAACTAATATATGAGTTAGTATATGTGCAAGATATATTGCTAGTATTATTATTAAGCTTGTATATGAATATGCATCATTATATGCCATGTTAAAGACATAGTATACCATATTATATTATATAGTCCATCATATAGTCCATTGTATATTTCTATTATATATTCTGTTGTATATTCTACTGCGCAGCAAGCATATGAATAAAATTAAAATCCCCCAAATTTACTACCAATTTTTCCATATATGAATTTACTACCATACTTTTACTATCAATTTCTCTATATACGGATTTACTACCATACGTTTACTACCAATCTGTTTGAAACTAAGCCAATCAAACATACTGCTTTACTATTCAGTAAATTAGTGGCAATACCACTATGATTACACTACAAAAATCATTGGGAATAATTATAATAATAGGTCTTGATTATTGAGATATTTTGTCACATAAAAATGAATTACTTGTAAATATTAAGGAAATCATAGTTGACAAGTTATTGAATAAAGTGTCAAATATAATTGAATATTATGTTATTCCAAAAATAAAAACCAGGAGTTTAGATATAATGTCTGTGTATCAACTGTTCTCGGAAATCAATTATATAGACTATTCCAAATGCAGAACAATATATTATTTACCACTGATTACACCTGTAATTTGATGTAGGCCTTGTTTTTGTAATATCAGACATAATAACAGGGCACTTCTTTAATGTTTATTGGCTAAATTAATCGAAGAAAAAATTCTCATAGGTGCAAATACTAAGCACAAGTCTCTCAATTGGATATTGTTTTGTTTTGAAAAATGATTTTTTATTTGTTTTTATTTTGGATAAAAAAAGCCTTTTTTTTGGCAATAATAAGAATTGTATATAGTATTACTATTTTATACACTAATCTGTTATATTGTACTTCTTATAAATTTTGTTTCAGAATTTTTTGAATTAATAAACTCGGGTAGTAAATATATATGCTTACTGAAGCTATTTGATTAAAGGGAGTAGAAAGATACTTACATACTGTTAGAATAATTTGTTAATAATGGAATAAAACACAGATTTATATTATCAAAAGCTACAAGCCAATGCGTCATTCAAGTATATATTACAAAGAAAGGAATATAAAACATATACATATATATTTACTAAAGGAACATGTCTTATTCTTGAGTACTGGTCATATAAGAATGTGAAGAACCATTTCAACTATAAAAAAGGAGAGTGAAAATGCTGATATAAAAAAACAAAACAAAATAAAAACAACACAATAATAAAATGAATAACATGTACTCTTATATTCTTTAAATGATTTGTTTTTACTGACCATATGTAAAGCAAGGGTGAGCTATATTTAAAGTAGATGTTAGATATTGCTTTTAATACTGGAAAGAAGCTGCTGATATAGATATATACATACATGCCACCAATATGTTTTTGTTTTTTGTTTGCACCGGTTATATCAGAGAAATATACAGTCTCATCAATTAAATGAAAGACAATTTTAGCTTCCGCCAAAGTAAAAAAATAACATCCTTAACTCTCTCTTCATTGTTTATTTACTTTTACTTAAGAAACCACTTTCAAAATTATTGGAATAAGAATATATAACCTTTAAATATTAAGAAAAATATTTTTTTTATTGAAAGTTTAATATTTAGTAACATTACCACGGGCTTTCTTAATATAGGCTATGCGAGTTGGCATAGACATGCAGTAGGTCTTGCATACTGCAACCAGTATTTTCTTCCATTCTTCATGGATAACCTTGTCTAGCTCCTTAATAGTTCTTGGAGCTGGTACTCTTGCCCTTACCATCCGACCCAAATGAGCCCATAGGTTCTCAATAGAACTGAGATCTGGGCTATTCGGTGGCCATTCCATTATTGGTATATTATGGGTCTTTTTCCAGTTCTCAACAAGTTTTGACTTATGACAAGGAGCATTGTCTTCTTGGCAAATAAACTCCCCATTATGTCTTTCACTTAGGCAACCATAAAATGGGAGCAACTTTGTTTCCAAAAGGTTTATATAGCCAAATTGGTCAAGGCTGTTAATAATCATTTTTAGTGAGCCTACTTCTCCTGCCCACACACAGCCACAAACCATCACCAAACCAACTCCAAACTGTACTCTACGCATGATACAATCAGACTTGAACTTCTCCAGAGGAAAGCGCCAAATTCTAAGGTTTTCATCCTTTGGGAAAACCATAAGCAAGACTCATTGCTCCAAATCACACGATCCCATCTTCAATTGGTTTCTTTGCAACGTTTAGCAACAACAATCGTTTCTTTTTATGTGTTCTGGATAGCCTTGGCTTAAACACAGAATGCCAAGAGGACGTTCCGATTTTACGAATAGCTTTGCGGATGGTATTCTTGCAAATGTACATGCCAATCACGAGTCTTATAGCGTTTGTGAGTTCTCCAAGTGTGGCATTACGATCTTTCTTTATTTCGTTTTTAAGCTGATGTAAATCTCTCTCACCCAAAATTGATGGACGTCCTTGGCGTTTTTCTGTTAATGGCGTGACATTATGTTTCCATCTTTGAACTGTGCTATGTACAGTTGTCATGGGTATGCCTGTCTTCTCCGAAATGGCAGTCAATAAAATATTATAGAGAGCACCATTGATAATAAGTCCTTTTTCATAGTCTGAAAGCTCTTTTCGTTTCTTACAAATACTTTTATTGATTTGAATGAGAAGAGTTTTTAAAAAAAGCACAACAACTTTATATTAAAAATGTTCTATTTAGTTGAGTTTAAACTTTTTTCTTTCATTTATTCTATGGGTCTGTATACCTCACATTTACTGACTATCTTTACTGATCACCTATACTGACAGTTCTTTAATATCTCCAATGATCAACAGCAAAAAAAACACGTCTTTAAAATTATAGATCAGTAATATGTTCTTTATTTATTTGATTTCCTGTTATTAGGTTGGTAATGCTTTATGCTTCTATTTTTATTGGAAAGAATAGAATGTTTCTAGGTTTCAAATCTAATAAAGCTATTCTATATCCTCAGCTACTTCTTGCTCGGCCGGCTTATTATATTTGGGATGAAAAATTTTCTACAAAAAACAAATACCTGAAGAAAATGAGGTGTTTGTTACCTTTTTTTAGGGGTAAGAGCAGTACTCCTTGAGAATAAATAAAACATTAGTGATGGGAGTATGTGTGTGTTTTATACTGCAAATTTTATGAACTAATTAATACTTACATTGGAAGTACCCAGTACAAATGGACAAAGAAATAAAACATTTATGGTAAAGCACGAGATTATGATTTCTTTGACTATAAAACGATAGGAAAGAATTAATTTTTGTGAATTGCATGATATAATAATTGATTTACGTACCAAACGCAAACAATTTCTTTGCAGACCAAGATATTATCTGTAAAGTGGTAATATCGTCTCTACTAGAGGATATACATTAATATACAGTATAAATAATATTATTATATGTATAGAAGTAAATAAAGGCTTACCATGGCAATGATGGTAGCATGAGATGAAAGTTCTTGAGGCATGGCACATTCATAAGAGGGATGTTCATCTATAATAGAAATTATATTCAGTTAGATAAATATTAAAAAGAAATAGATTAAAATAAAATAAAATATTACCGTGTCAATATCCGTGTTTGATTGTAGAGAGTATTTTTGGCGATGTGGCCTATATTAAAAAAAGAAAAAAGTCAGAATGATTGTATGGAATGATGGCATAAAGTATATTTACTAACCCTGGCTAATCCAGATGACTGTTGTGATGATGGCGCATCAGAATGAGCTGAAGAGTGAGTTTCTATGACATTAAAATATATTGTTATTTTTTAGTTATATATAAAAAAAGTATATATTTTTTTTAAAACAAAGAAAGTGCCTTACCATAAAACCTTGCGAGTGTAAAGAGTGAAGAGAGAGGAACAGAGAGAATACCTATAACAAACAAAAAAATTAATTCTTTTATTCTTTGTAAAGAAGTATTTTGAACCAAAAACAATCTTACCAGAAAAATTTGCAAATATAACAAGAATTGAAAAGAGAGAAAAAAGAGGGAAATAACAAAAAACAAATAAAAAAAGTAAAAAAAAATCTTAAAAAAACAGAAAAAAGTGTGTTTAAAAAAAAAGACTAAAATGATTTCATTTAGTCCCAAAGCAATATGAAAACCAATTTACATCCCAGTCATTACAAGAAGTATTAATAGAGATTCTTATATCAAATATATTTTGAATATATATAATAACCATATCTTTCATATAATATACTTTCCCTTACTCTTACTCTCTTGCTACTTACTATATTTATACTCCCAAATCAACACACTTGTTCTAACAATTCAAGTATGTAAACTTGATACGATTTATTTTTAATTTAATTTAAATAAATTTAATTGTAGAATGACAGCAATAATAATAATATAATCTGAAACTAATCATTATAATCTTTCATTTTATTATATTCTGTAGACAATGACTAATACAAGACGTGAATGTGCAATTGCCCTTTGTCCTGTTGAGATTACCAATCAGCAGCTTATGGAAATACTTTCTACTGTGAGAGCTGATATGTCTACCATAAAAGGACAGATTGGCAATGTTGAGCAAACTCTGACCAACATGAATGGTAGAATTGGCGTTCTTGCTACCATCAGCACCAACACCATCAGTGTCATAGATAGTTTGGCCAGAGCTCCCCTTGCTGCTTCTGTGAGAGCCGAATCCACTGTTGCTGCTCCTGTTGTCATCTCCAACCATGAGCCTACCCTTGAAGAATCTAATGCAGTTTATGTGAGTAACATATTATAAAACATTTTATCAATTCATTTTCTCATGATTTATTTATCAGGCACATATTTACAACCTTATGTGGAAATCCAAGCTTAGCTTGAGAACGCCAGAAAATATCCTGGCCAACAACCTCAAGCCCAGATGGGATACAAATATTGCTTTCAACAAATCTCTCAACAGGGAGATAGCCAAGACACTTCTTTTTAACCTTGAGCGCAGGTTTAGTTCCTCTAGTATGAGACAGAGTGACCTCCGAAAGAGGTTGCATACTAAATTCACTAGTAGAACTCGTTGTGAGAGAATGTCTGATGATGAGATAGCGGAAACAAATGCTCTTACATGAAGAGTAGCCCGTGCAGATGATGTGAGTATTATGCTAATATATATAGTTTATAGTTGAAAATTAAAAATAAAAATAACAAATTAACAAAACTTATTACTAGAATGAGTGTCGCCGTGTACTGGCATACAAAAACAATAAGGAGGGCATTGATCTTGTAATGCTCAGAGACTGTGCCAACACTCTCCAAAAAGCAGTATTGTCAGATGGAGAGTCTGCCAATGAAATGGACAAGGATGGCATAAAACATGTCATTCATATTGTACAACCAGACTGGAGAAGCAATGAGATAGATTAATTTGGAGTAATACTTTTGTATTGGTGTATTATTATATTGAGTGAATTATTAATGAATGTATTTCAGTGCAACCGTTTCTTTGCACTTGTTGACATTTATGCTGTCTAGGCCATGGAGTCAAGTGCTAATCAAAGGATCTGTAGGATCACTACTAGTGTGTCCAACTCAGCAGTCCAGAATAACATTAGCTCCAATTTTACTCAGTGGGCTCTTAGAGACAGGCTCTAAATAAAAAAAATGTTTCTCTCTTTTTATTTACATATTAATTTTTACATACACAATACTATCAATATATATAGGGAATTTGTTCTGTTTTTTTGTATCAGAAAAGAAAATTCAAGTGGGAGTTTTTTTATTTTAAGCATAAAGTTCTTTTGGCAAAGCAATTACTAACATTTTACTAACATTTCTACTTGTAGTAATTTTGGCTGTAGCAATCTCTAAAAAGATGCAGTGCACAGGTACAATGCAATGGCGACTATTGGGGAAGAAGATGGGAAGACAAAACTTAATATTGTCATTCTCACGCGATCTATCAGAAGAAGTATTAAACCACTTGATATATGCAAATATATGTCAATGATTGTGAACCATGCGAGTCAGATGGAGATTGCGGTTAGAAGGGTGTGTAAAGCAGTATGTGAAGAGATAATGTATTTTTCCAGCATAGACTATGGTATTTCTACCATCCCTACCAACAAATATTACGTAGACAAGAGAACCACAACTAGCTGAACCGTTTTTATCACGGTACTGTTGATCAAGTAAGTCAATGAACTTCAACTTTGTGATTTCATTGTCAACAAAGAAGTTTGTGAGCGTGGCATACTGGTAACTGACAAGGTCGGGAAGATCATAGGATGTTTTGTAGTGCTGAAGCAGATGGGCAGAGTTGATTTCATCCATCAGTGATGATTTTTTTATCTGAAGAAGAAAAGTCAAAGGAGGGAGAAATTCGTTACCCTTTGGAGGAAGATGTGAGTTGGATAATGCTAGTAAGAATGATTGCAATTGGAATGAACAGGAGGAGAGAGTAATAACTGTGGTAGTAGGTGTGAATTTCGGAGAAAGCTTTGAGAGAATGTTGAAAAGGGGGACGTGGCCAGAACTTTTCAGAACAGTATTGCCATAGTCACCCTTGAATGGGTTTTGAACAAAACTTCTCATATATGTTGCCTCAAAATTATCTTTTCCATTTATCTTAATATGCTTCAACAGGCTATTGTATCTCTCAAACCCAAAGAGTCAGTAATCATACATGAGTCCAAAATTACAAATGGTCTTGCAAAGATTGAGGCACAGGTGCATGTTGCAGGTGAGGATAGTAGGAGTGTAGAGTTTGGTAGCCTTTTTGCAAAACATTTCTAGATAGTCGTGGGCACTGTTCACTTCATCAAATATGATGCTTGGCTTGATAAGATGGCAGAATACACAGACAAAATTCATTCAGTTGTTATACATTTCAAATAGTAGAACACCATGCAGCAGAACAGGAGAATACACCAGTACCCAGGATTTCCAGTCATCGGCTTTCATGTAAGGAAAGCCTTTTCCAATCTTTGATGTCAGCTTTGTATAATCCCTTGAAAGGACTATTGTCTCTGCAATTTTTTCTATGACAGCAAACTCTTCGGCTCCAATCGTTTTCTTATCGTCCCACTGGTCCATCATTTTCTTTAGCGTTGCCAAGAATAAATTATGCATGGGATCAATGATTGTTCTACATACTAGATCAAAGTATCGAAGGCATTACAACTGTGACCATCGAACACCATATTCGACCTCCAGCTGATGCCTTTCTAAGGGTGTACACGCACTCTTCCACTTCTCAGCATGCAACCTGTTCTCTACACTGCTACAAATATTTCAAAGAGAATAATCAAATCCACTGAAGTCCACTTGATTTGTGTTGGGCAATCTGGGGAACTGGGTTGTACACTTGTAGCACGCACATGTACTATTGTGGGCTGTAAATCCACTTGTTTTCCTGGCAGCAAAGATGTCACACGCAACCATCAGCAAGGCAGCATGAATATTAGCACTAGAAGGACACTCGTAGGTTGGGACTTGCATTCCAATATACAACTGTTTCATCTCATCTACCATGGGCTTGAGATAGTTTTTTTTCTCCTCTCATCTTGGCTCCTTGGTACCAGGCATCAGACCAGCCAGAATTGTGTTCTCAGGCTTGAACCATGCCTCTTGAGGCAGATTATTTACAACCAAGTAAATTGCACTAGAAGAGCAACTAACTCCATCGAACAGCTGAAACCAGTCTATGTTGAGTGTCAACATCAATGAGCAATGACAAGCAACAAACGAGACACCACTTGCATCCTTCAGCTCTTTCCATATTGCTCCATTGTATATGTCACACATAGTATTGACAATGTTAAGCTCCATGTTCTAGTGACAGATTTGCTCTTCAAAACCAGGACGAAGGAAAAGAACAGACAAAGCTTGCTTGAGGGACTGGTACAAGTATGCTCACTTTGATACCAGTGCACCTGAAGTTGGCTCTTTCATCAACTTACAACCACAAGGAGAGTGTGCACCAACATTTGTGAAAACACAATGGGAAGGTACGGACATGTTTTCTTCATAGATGCAATGGCAGTCTGGACATGACACAAATCGCTTGATGTCTTTGGTGATAGACAAAAAGCCAGTCATTTTATATAGCCCAGCCAGACTTTTGGGAAGTTGGAAATCTTGTCCATAAATTTTTAAGAGCTCGTTGATAAACTCAATCAAGACAACAGAACCCTTATTGACCACATAACAAGATGCAAAAAGTACTGTAAAAGTAGCAATAAATCTGTGCACTGGATTCTCAGGTATACCAGAAGCAGCAAAAGGGTCTTTTTTTTAAAAAAAAATTAACACACATTTTTTTTTTAGTTTTTTTTTATGTATTTAAAACTGACCCTCATTGTTAAATTCTCCAACATAAATCTTGGCAGTGTCTTCTTCGCCATTGTCATCACTGTCATTGTCATCAGTTGTGTCAGACTCATCACCATTGTAGTCATTACCAACAAAGACGTCATTGTCAAACGTTGAGACGGTATCCAAAATAGGTGAGTTGGTCTGACCATCCATTGCTTCCACAGAATCAGATTGATACGTTGGGATTACTAGAAATATGGAATATAATAGTTTATAATTAGTTTTTCTTCTGCTTTTCAAATAAAAAATGTCTTACTTTCAGTATCTACTTTCATGCTTCTCTTTTCAGCTATGTTTTTTAAAATAATAAAAAATAAAAATAAAAGCAATTATTACTCGGTGGACAGATAACTGCACTGAATAAATTATACAACTCTTGAATATCTCAGTACCTTCAAATCTAGCTCTTTTATTATGATGCTGAGCAGTACGTCTCGATACTTGGGAAACTCCTTGATCATTATTATTGCATATGGTGCAGTGGAAATCAGTGTTGTGCATTTGAATAGAAGGAAACATAGTGTATGTATTTTGAATTATAAAATAAAAAAGGAAACAAGAGTGCTACAAATATTTGATTTTATATGGTTTTATAGTAAACCAAAATGTATTTTTTATTTATTTATTTTTATTTAAGCCAATAGAATACATCAAAACTACATCCCCAACTTGATGGAAAAAACTGCTGATGAAAAAAAAATTCTGACATGTCTACTATGATCCAACTACCTGGATAATATGTTACTTGTCCTTATTTTTCCAGTGTCATTTTCTTTGATGATATCAATACTCCTGTTAGCAGCATTGATGAATACATCAAGATTAAATTGAGGTCTACCAGAATTGGAAGAGAAAGAGGCAGAAGCAGAGGCAGAAGCAGAGGCAGAGGAGAGATCAACAAGTAGTGTGGCATGGGTGGGTTGGATCTTTGGTAGAAGTGGGCAAACAAGGTTGCTTTTGTAAGTATCTTCTACATATTTTTATATATACGTGCCTTCGAAACATTCTCTTCTATTTGTGAAATAGTTCTTTATTATCTCATTGCACCTCTCAAAGCTAAACAATCAAAATCTGTATACGGTATCATAGTTTTTGGCTGTTTCTTGCAGATGAAGATACATATGCATATTTGGCAAGATTAAGTTGTCCTTATATAGTGTCTCATACCCTGTGCACAACACTTCCAGGGAATAATGTGCCTCATCAATCTCTTCTTGGGAAATTTTCGGACTTGCAAGATACTGGCATATATTGGTGAAAGAAGTCTAATTATCAAGTTTGTCAGTTGGTAGGTGATCTTGCAACAAAACAGGAGAGTACACTAGGCACCAGGATTTCCATTTATTAGCTTTCATGAAAGGAAACCATTTTCTGATTTTTTTCTCAATGGTGTATGAGTATTCGGGATTGTTTATGGGTTAGTATCTCAATAATGGGAAAAGTAGATACTGTGAGAGTGTTATTTATTAAAGAGACCCAATAATATTGTTTATATCTGCTACTATTCAAATCCCTGTAATTCAAATCCCTGTTGTGTAATGGTTGGTTTACACTGTATGAGTGTGTAGTGTACGTGTGCCTGGTGTGTAACAGTTCCGGAGATTGTTAACTTGCCAGGTTCATTAGCAAGAAGGAACCAGTGTTTGGTTGTGGGGTCTGTTCTTCACTCAATTGTGGTGTGTATACCACATTACCCCCTTTCAGGTTGAATAACCGTGTTGAGAGTTGAGTTACTTTAGACTGAAGGGACCATGTTAGCTTCTTGGGCATAGCATCGGGCATTAGCATTGTGAACGTTATCGTGTTGTACGTAAGCGTATTGAGCGTTAGCATCTTGAGCGTTTGCTTCGGCGTGTAGGTGTGGGCTGCGTAGTGCGGCGTTTGCTAATGTACGTTGCAGTGACGGCGCGTGTCTGATGTGGGTTTTGTGTCTTGTCAATTGGTGTTGTACCAAGTCGATCCCAATAATCCGCAATAGGTTTAGGGCTGCTAAAGGACTCAGGCGTTTGCCATGTATCGTCTTTTTCTTCGTAGCCTTCCCATCTTACTCTGTACTCGTATTTTCCTTTAGCCAGTTCTCTATGAGCTACTACTGCTCTGACTGTAAAGTATTCTTTGCCAATTTTCTGGACTTCATCTAGTGAGACGAGTTTGTCCTGTGAGATCAGCTTGAGTTGTGAGGGAGGATATTCTCTGGGCATCAGTAGTCCTTGTTCATCCATGAGGACGTAAGAACCTCCCTGTTTCTCTCTGACTACGGTGTAAGGACCTTGGTATGCAGGTTCTAGTTTACCGTGTTGCAGTTCTTTAATCATGACTTGGCTATTAGGAGGGAATTGTATCATCCTGTATTTCTTATCAAACTTGCCCTTTTGTGCATTTGTTACTGCTTTTGCTCTTTCAGCGATTGCGGGAAACACAACGTCTGCCATTGTTTTTATACGCTTTTGTAGCTCATCCTCTGTGAGTGATGGTACTGCTGGATCATCGGCGTAGCTTTTAAACCCGTTCATTGTTCTGGCAAACATAAGGTTGTAAGGAGCCGTTCCATTACGTTTTGTTACTTTGGCATTCATTGCTAGCTGTATGCTAGGTACATAGAGGTCCCAATCTCGGGTCGCTCCTTTTATACATTTCTTAATCGCGTTGGTTGAGATTTGAACCCAGCGTTCGGCTACACCGTTAGCTCTTGGGTGATAGGGCGTAGCTAATCTGTGATCAAAACCAGATGTTTCAGCTAGTTTTTTCATAAGTGAGTTGACGAACTCTTTGCCATTGTCTGATTGTAAGTATCTAGGGAATCCGAAATTACAGAAGACGTCTATTACAGTGCTGACAACAGTGTCCTGTGTTTTATCAGGTATTGCACGTAGTACACAAAATCTTGTGCAAATGTCTACCATTACCAGTAAGTAGTTATTACTGTTATGTGAGGTCGTGAAAGGACCTGCTAAATCAATAGCCCAATGATCGCATGGTAAATATGCGTGAATTGGTCGTAGAGGGTGATAACCTTTCTTTGCTATGTTATACTTTTGGCATTCTATACAGTCTTGTACAACCTTGGCGGCGTCTCTATGTATGTTTGTCCAGTGTATCCCTTCGTTATGAAGTGCGTTTGTCATGGCATCTGCTCCAAAGTGTCCGAAAGCATGAGCTTTGGCGAGAAGTTCTTCTCTGTCACTGTCTGGTGGTGTTAGCATCTCGTCGTAATTGGTGTTGACTACAGTTTGTTGTCTATTAATGACCGTTTTTTGGCCTGTAAAATTAACTGCAGAGTCATTACCCCCTTCCAGCTCTTTTTCCATAGGGAAAAGGCGTGATAGCTGGTCAGGTAAGATGTTGCTTAGACCGGGCAGGTGGAGTACCTCGAATGAATATTCGAGTATGGTATCCAGCCAGTTTATCATCATAGCGTTGGCAATCTTTTGTGTATGTATATATGTGAGGGCTTTGTGATCGGTGTATAGAGTGAACGGATTTCCCCAAAGATATTTGTGGAACTTATTCAATGCATATATTACCGCGAGTAGCTCACGTTTTGTAGTGGAATAGTTTCGTTCGCTTTTAGACAATGCGCGAGCCATGAAACCAATGTGTCGCGTTTCTCCATTGATGACTTGATATAGAACAGCACCTATTCCTACGTTTGATGCGTCTGTGGCCACACTGAAAGGGTACTTTAGGTTTGGGTAGCACAGGATAGGCAGTTTGAGTAGGATGTCTTTTAGGTTTGTGAAGCTGTTATAATGCTCGTTGGTCCAGAGAGGTGTAAGATCACCCTCGTTACGAAGTCGATCAAGAGGTGCGGTGAGCTGGGAGACATTAGGTATATGTTCCCTGAAGTAATTTATAACACCAAGAAACCGTTGTATATCTTTTCCGGTGTTAGGCGTAGGCCATGCTTGGATGTTACTGACCTTTCTTGTATCCAGTGAAATGCCTTTATCTGACACACAAAAGCCTAGTAAGAAGACTGCTCTTTGTGCGAAATGACATTTCTTTGGATTTAAGATGAGATTAACACTAGTAAGTTGTTCTATTGCTGTTTTAACATGTTTTGTGTGTTCCTCCATGTTACGAGAGAATACCACAATATTGTCTACGAATGTGGTTACAAAAGGCATATCTTTGAAAGCAATGTTCATAACACGCTGGAATTTAGATGAGATGGGTTTAAGTCCAAAAGGGCAGCCGCGGAACATGTACTGCCTTCCTTTGAAGGTGAATGTTGTTTTAGGTCTGTCTGGCTTGTATACCTCAAATCGATGGAAAGCACTTGTAAGGTCTAGGGTAGTGAAAACAACCGCGTCTTTAAGTGTGTGAAATACGTCTCTTATAAGAGGTAAAGGATATCTGTCTTCTTTTAAAAGTTTGTTGATATGTCTGGGGTCTAGACAGGGTCTTCTGTCTGTGTAATTACCAAACATGTCTTTTTTCGGTGCTAGTGTAATAGGACTATTCCATTCCGTATCATTGGATGCCACCTCTATTGTACCATCTGCTAGCCAAGTGTTTACAGTCTCTTGGATTCTAGGCTCATATACTACCGGTAAAGGGTATTGTCTTCTGTAGGAAGTTACGCCTTCTGGTGTGTCGATATGGATGATAGATTCTGGTATAGTGCAAAATGATGTTTTAGGAATAAGTTTGTTGGATCTGATAGATTGTTCTATAGCTTCCATAAACTGTTTTTGCTCCTCAGATGTGCCAGCAGGAGATTTATTAGGTTCTGGCATATCATCTGGAGTGTTTTCTCTCAATGAATCGCTTTTTTGATCGTCCCAAGTAGTTGCTAAGTTTGTAATTGCCATGCCCAGTCTGGGCATTAAGTCTGTGCCAATGCTCATCTGTGTGCCTAAGGCTAAACTCATTACTACGAAGTTGTGATTCAGTTTACGACTCATATAAGATAATGAAAGGTTCTCAACAGTGCCTAAATGTTCCGCTAAGCTATTCTCTGACGCTAAATAAATGTGCTGCTTTTTTGAACTACATTTAGTGATAGGTAGAGAGAGAGAGGAGACAAGGTCTGGAGAAATGAAAGAAGTGTTTGCTCTGGAGTCCACCAGTGCCCACACCCGGCTACTCTGAACAATTATAGGAACATAGAGTGAGCCGTCGTTATGTGGCGGTGCAGTGAGGTGGTGAATGTTAAGGTGTTTACCTTGTGCTTGTAGATTGAGTTGGCTCAGGTCCAGCTCAATTCTACTATTCAGCGTATCTTCACTGTTGACTGTTCTTGTGCTGTGGTTTGCAAATACCGGCTTTTTGGCTTTGGCCAACTGAAACTCAGGGCATTTGTGCCCGTTGAAGTACGGAACTTTATGACAGTAACGGCAGAGGGGTGCTGGTCTTGGTGCTGGTGGTGTGAAGGTCTTATTCTCCGTGCTCGTAATACTCTTGAGTATGTGGCATTCGTCTTTGCTGTGTCTGCCCTTGGGATGCAAAGGGCAGGATCCTCCGTTGTTGTGATTGTTTCCACGTCGTTCTCTACGGAATTCACCGCGTCCTCTCTTGCTGCGGGTGTACTCGTGATTGTCTTCTTGGTATCTCTTGGTACCACTTGTGGTCCGTTCCTCTTGGAACAGGGAGTCTGTCTCCTCACCACTAGTGGCCACAATCAACGGTATGACTTGGTGTATGTTCTTGGAAACAACCAAGCCGTAGTGCTGCGTAAGTGTTTGCCACGCTTTCTCTCTTACAGGTCTCAACAGCTTGGAGGTGAAGAGCCATACAAGCTCGTCGCTACTGTCGAGGTTGGCGGCATGAACGCTGTCCAGGAATCTTTCCGCGTATGCTCTGACGAGCTCTCCTGGCTTTTGCAGCATGCAGTGGACTTCATGCTTCTTGATCCACAGGTGGTACGGGTTACCGTGCTCGCTTTCTAGCTGCTGGCGTACCTCCTTCCACTTCAAACCTCTTCCGGCCCTTGTCTTCTCAAATGAGACGTGTTGTCTCTCGTCACAGGTAAGCCAGAACAAGCATTCCCAGTGCTGATCAAAATCCAGGTTGTGTGCCCGGAGCTGCACTTGAAGTCGTTCAAAAACGCGGCGATGGAGTCGTGGACCGCCTTGTTGGTCTGACGGACTGGTCCACCACGAAGCTGGAAGGCAGGAAGGTTGGGGGGAATGAAGGAGTCTGCCTTGTTGTTGTCTCGGTATTTTCCGGCTTTCTTCTCAATATTGGCCCTGAAGACCTCAACGGCTGATGGGCTGGACATCATCTCTTGGGCGTCACAGAAAGCCACCCAACGCTCTTTGGTGTTGGCCACCTCTTCTTGGGCCTTTCTTATATCGTCAAGTTTAGCCTCGGGTTTTTCCAAAACCTTTATCAACTTTTCTGCTGCTTTCTTGCGGCAAGCGTCAATTTCTATCCCAATTGCCAGGATGTTGATTTCTTGGTTGCGTTCCTCTTCCTCCATCTCGAAGTCTTCGTTGTTGCTTTGGCTGTCTTCTCTAGTGTCCTTTTGCAATTCGCTCTTCTGCGATTCGTCATTCGAACTGGCGATGGAGGCATTCGCAATGTAATTGTTCATTTTTGTCAAAAATACAATTCACAGTAAAAAATGAGGTATTCAGGATTGTTTATGGGTTAGTATCTCAATAATGGGAAAAGTAGATACTGTGAGAGTGTTATTTATTAAAGAGACCCAATAATATTGTTTATATCTGCTACTATTCAAATCCCTGTAATTCAAATCCCTGTTGTGTAATGGTTGGTTTACACTGTATGAGTGTGTAGTATACGTGTGCCTGGTGTGTAACAGTTCCAGAGATTGTTAACTTGCCAGGTTCATTAGCAAGAAAGAACCAGTGTTTGGTTGTGGGGTCTGTTCTTCACTCAATTGTGGTGTGTATACCACAGTGTATAATTGCATAGAATTACTATGCTTTTGGATTCTTCTTGCATGTTCCTGAAATTGGTGTCTGTGATCAGTTTGGTGGCTCTCTAAGTCTCCATTATATGTTTCGCAGTACCAAGAAAAAGATTGTACATTGGGTCAATAATTGTGCACTCAACCAAATTCAAGTACTCCATATTATGGAGTTCCAACCAGCAGACTCCATTCTCATTTTCTAATATTTTTCTTTCTGCTTCACTTCTTGCATGCTTCCACGTTTTGGCATTGCAGTAGTTACTTTTATCTGTGCATACGACTCACTTGGAGAACACAAATCCAGAGAAATTGATTGTGTTAGATGTTTCAAGACAAGAAAATTGTCAAACACATTTAGGATAAGCATTGATACTACAATGGGAAGTAAATCCACATGTCTTTTGTGCAGCAGGAATATTGCAAGTTACAAGAAGAATTGCAGCATAAACAACAACACCGGAAGGACATTAGGATGTAGATATGATGACGTCTGGATACAGTTTGTTGAGTTCTTCAACAAGAGGACAAAAAAATGATTGATCTGACTGTTTTTAGCTTCCCTTGGTTCTGGCATCAAACCCACAAGAACAATGTTTTCCTTTTTGTACCGGTCCTCTCTTGGCAGATTATTTACAGAGAGGTAAGTTGTAATACACAAGTAGATCACTTCATCAAATGGCTGAAATCAATTGATGTTTAAACTAAACATAATTGATCCCTGATGCACAACGAATTACTGACTGCAATTGTCCTTGGGTGCGTCCCACTTTTCACCATCATAGATATCAAACAACATATCAGAAACAGACTGTCAACTTCTCCATTCATTGATTTTTTCTTCAAATCCAGGATGGTAGAAAGGCATGCTCAAGGAATTAATTATTGAGTTGTACTGATAAACCTTCTTGAGAATGGTCATGATCCTGCTTGACTCCAGAAACAGAAGTGATCTACAAGAAGTCTCAGACAGCTTCATGAACTCGCAACACTAGGGAACGCCTTCTAACTCATGGTATGTCATGTTGCACTGGCTGCATACAATGAATCGCTGAACTCCTTTGGTCAATGCGGTGAGGCCAGTCATGAAATACAGGCTACTCATGCTCAATGGAAGATGGAACAATTGCCCAAAATGACCAAGTACTTCATTGATAAATTTAATCAAGACAACACCCTCAGAATTGACAACATATTTGGAGATAAAAAATGCAGCAAAATAGGCAATGAATGTGTGCGTGGGATTGGATAACATATCAGATGAAACAAATTGTTTTATTGGAGTAATTATTGGATTAATTTCTTATTTTACTTCAAGGTTTCAATTTTACGTTTTTTACTAATCTTCAATGCCTTCAAACTCATCTTCAAAATTATCAGAATCATCTGAACTGTCAGAATCAATTGACTCAGTGCTTTCAACTTCATTATCACTTTCGGAACCAAACCGAGAATCAGCTAAAAAAAGATAAGTTTTTAATATTTTTGTAAGTCAAAAGATAAAATATATATTAGCTATAATTATTTTAAAGATTTAATAAAAGTATATATATACATTCAATTTGATCTTTGACATTGTTAACATCAATGTCCATATCAATGTACATGTCAATGTCATTCACTACGGGTTCTTCTTCTGTTTGCAATGCTGAAATAAAAAAATAAAAAAAATTCTTTTTGATCAGACATCAAACTTTTTATTTTTTATTTTCTATTACTATTATTATTATTATTATAACTTTTGACATACAAGAAAAAGGAGCAACAAAGAGTCAAATTTTATTATTGTTAGTATGTCTTCAGAATATCTGAGGAGATACCATAACAAATTCTTTGTAATGAATTGTGCAAACTGAGCATTTGTATTTTTTTGGTTGTTATTAGAGATAGACATATTATTAAGCTTTTAGGTTTGAAAAAATTAATAATAAAAGAAAAAGTCTCAGAAATATATTTTATTTAATTCTTTTTATAGTAAAAAAATTATAAAAAAATGCAATTGAATTGACAACCAATGAAAAACTCTTATGATTAACATTGCTGATAATATAAAGTAAACTTAATTGAGATAGTTTTTTTTCAAATTTTCACTAGATAATTTTCTATTTGGCTGCAGATAAAAATGAGTGATTTTTGCAGTGGGTACTAGACATCACAACATGATTTTTTGTTGGACTTATAAACACAATAGGTAATGGAAGTGACGCGTGATGTGTTAGGTTTGTTGTAGATTGTAATGGATTACTTGGCAAATAAAATATAATAATAATAGAATAGAACAGAAGACGGATACAGTAAAAGGTGGCAAGCAGCAATAGTTGACAGATAAGAAAAGAGAGAATAACTGATAGAATTGTTGTTAAAATTGAGAGAGAGAGAAAGGTATATGAAAAGAGAATAACAAAACAGAAAAGTAATAACCGACGAGGAGACCAAAACTGACAAACAACCTTTCTAAAACCAAGGAACCAATATGTTATGTCACAAGATAGTATAGATCACAAAGAGAAGAAAACAAGAAAAAATACTGAAACTGAACAAAAGATTTCTTTCTTTATTGAGTTGAGTTTGCTTCTCTTTTTATAGTTGATAAGATTTTAAGTTGATAATAGAAGTTCAGAAAAATAAAGATAGTAAAAATAGAATGATGAATAATTGATATGGCAAGAATAAAATATATGAATAAAAATACAATAAAAATATAATAATAAAGGTACTAATATTGTGCGGAGATGTCAGCAAGATAAATTATGTGCATTGTAGAAGAGGGATGTTACTAGCATTGGGGGTCATGATTTCAAATGAGTACAATGTAGATAAATATATTAACAAGGAAAAAAGAAAAAGTATTGTGTGTAGAAGGAACAGGGAACAGAAATGAGATTTTTCCTGTGCATGGAAAAATTCTCCTCTTACCACCGAGGGCACAGCACCACATCAACAAACCATTGACATCAGCCTCTCATAACCCGGATGACACATCATAACAAACCACCAGACAAACCCACTGAGCAGACTGACCTTCTGGTACCAGACACCACGACATGGCTATAAGCTGGATTTCCTTATAACACACATAATAGAAGAAAGATTGCGTTAATAGTTCAATGGTAGAATTTCAGCCTTCCAAGCTGAAGGTCGGGGTTCGATTCCCCGTTGACGCATTTTTAAAAACAATGTTTTTTATCTTTTTGTCAAGTTGTTGTTTCCGATCTGGGTTGGTCTTCCTTTTGTCAGACATTATTTTGATGAATCCGGTTGAAAGACACCAAGACATATTTGATAAGAAGACCCTTAGCCAATTTGAGATTGAAGAACGAGTCCAGGACTTGTTACCCAGCGAATTAGTAAACGACTACAAGAAGAATTGGCGTGTTCCTCATATCCCTGAAGAACAGCGTATTAAGAAGACCCCTGCCCGAGAACAGAAGTGGACCGAACTAGCCACAAAACTAGCCATAACCTTAACAGGAAAGAACAAACAAGAACAAGAAGAAACAATGGCCCCCCAAACCATCACTCTAACAGCTGAAGCAATTGCTGCTGCCATTGCCGAAGCAATGAAAGCAATCACGGTGCAGCAGGAGGCCCGTGCTGAACGAATCAAGCAACCTGATTGCTTCCATGGAGAACGTTCTGCCACAGTAGTGGATGGTTGGCTGCGCGCAGTCGAACGTTACACCAGATACTACAATTTTTCCGCAACAAAAGCCTGTGAATTTGCAGTGAATCTGTTGCGTGACAGAGCAGACACATGGTGGAGACGCATGGAAGTAAAGGACAAACATCCAACAACCTGGGATGAGTTCAAGATGGCTCTGTCGGGAGAATTTCGTCCAGTCTACTCACTACAGACGTCCAGGGACTGCCTTGCTCGACTATACCAAACAGGAACAGTCGCAGAGTACATCGACGCATTCCATGACATCCAGTTGGAGTTGCCTGGAATGAACGATGAAGAAGCCCTCGACAAGTTTGTCCATGGACTTCACCCCACCATACGAGGAAATGTTCTTGCCGCCCGACCTGTCGACGTTGATGATGCCTGCAACATTGCTTTGGCATATGTCAGTGGCCTCCACTTGGGGCAACAGAACAACTACACACCCGTCCCCCAACCGTACCAACAGACGTACCAACAGCCATACCAACAGCAGTACAGTGGTCCCGAGCCCATGGACCTGGATGCGATTCAAGGTTGCCGTAATAACTACTGATCTCGCCCCCCTCAGAAACGTAATGTGGCTACTTGCCATTGGTGTGGCAAAGTTGGTCACTTCAAGAGGAACTGTAGGGATCGATTAGCAGCAATTAGACAGTTAGATGAGGCAAGTAGCAAGAAGCAGGGTTTTCGCGAAACACAACCGTAACAGGAGGTCAGTTGTGTTCAATGGAAGAAAAATCCTCCCCACAGGCTAATAATATTAGTGAAACTAGCGAACCAGAAATTAATAAAGACGTGTCTGAACAGTATACAAATGTTACCAATGAAGAGCCTGAGACTATGTCTGAAGAAAATTGTGACCCTTGTCTCACTGCTGACCAACATTTCTTAGAAGATCTCCATGCTGCCATGGACACAGACTTGCCCTTATACGCCGCTATACTTGACGGACAACAAATCCTGGTGTTAATTGATAGTGGTGCTAGTGCAAACTATGTATCACCCCAGATTGCCCATTTGGCCACACACATTTTGGATATACCCGGATGATCAGTCGAAACTGCAGGAGGACACAGCATTAAGATCCATCAGAAGGCAACATTAAACCTCTCTTTAAATGGATACACTGACACCATCGATGCTTTTGTATTTCCCACTAAATTCGACTTGATTCTTGGCCGCACTTGGTTGCAAATGGCTAAACCCGTCCCAGATTGGCATGTCGATAGCTGGTCTTTACATCGTGATGAACAAGAATTTATTTTGCGTCCTCATAGGCCCTGTCCTACTAAACCTTACCTAAACTATCTGATATCTGCAAAACAAATTGAGAAACTCTCTAGGAGAGAGGAGGCCGAATGCTTTTTGTTGCATATTAAGACAGAAAAAGAAATACATAATGATGAACACTGGATGAAATTAGTAAAAGAATTCGAGGACGTTTTCCAAGACGGTTTACCTGGATTACCGCCGAACCGTGACGTCCAACACGTTATAAACACTGGAGATGCCTACTCTGTCAATAAACCGCCATTCAAAATGAGCCCTCGAGAACTCGACGAATTACAGCAACAACTAAAGGAACTTCTAGACCTCGGCTTAATTCGTCTGAGTTCTTCGCCATGGGGTGCTCCAATTTTATTTGTTAAAAAGAAAAATGGTGAGATGCGCATGTGTGTTGATTACAGAGCCCTGAACAAAGTTACTATCCGCAATAACCATCCATTGCCACGCATCGATGAGTGTTTGGAACGCCTTTGTGGAGCAAACCATTTCACCAGTTTGGACCTCAAAAGCGGTTACCATCAAGTGAGAATTCAAGACTCAGATGTGCCAAAAACCGCCTTTAACACCCGATATGGCCAATACGAGTTTCTGGTTCTTCCCTTTGGTCTCACCAATGCCCCACCGACGTTTCAGCATCTTATGAACAAAGTTCTTGGAGATTGTTTGGATAAGTTTGCCTTAGTCTATTTGGATGATATCCTAATCTTTAGCACGACACCAGAAGAACACGAAGAACATGTACGACATGTGTTAAACTGACTACGTGAAGCAAAATTAATTGCCAACCTTAAAAAATGCGAATTTAACAAAAACGAACTAACTTTCCTTGGATTCAACGTATCTGCGCAAGGCATCTTACCATTGCCAGACAAAGTAAAGACTATAAAAGAATGGACACCGCCAACAAATGTACAAGAAGTTAGACAATTTATTGGCCTTGCACAGCACTACCGCCGCTTCATCCCTGGGTTTGCTGGAATCGCTGCGCCCTTAACAGACTTAACTAAAGGGACAGGACCAAAACGACGGCCTATCGTTTGGACGGAGACATGCCAGGAAAGTTTCGATTTACTAAAAGAGAAAATGAGTACTGCACCTGTATTACTTGCCCCAGACATGGATAAACCATTCCGCATTGAAACAGATGCTTCAGATTTTGGTGTTGGTGCCATATTAATGCAAGAAGACGAAAACGGAAGTTGGAAACCATTAGCGTTCGAATCGATAAAACTCTCCCCTGCCGAAAGATCGTATCCTGCTCAAGAGCACGAGTTACTCGGTATTCTACATGCCTTGCGTACTTGGCGCTGCATGATCGAAGGAAAACCATTCACTGTATTCACCGATCACTTACCACTCAAGTATTTTCGCAGTCAGGTTAAGCCCACGCCTCGCCTGATAAGGTGGATTTCTGAATTCGAGCTGTACGACCCGATAATTCAATACAAACCGGGCAAAGACAATGGTGTCCCTGATGTGCTCTCTCATCTCGATGGCCCAGAATACAATGCAACATTAATTAAATCAATGGAACCAGAATACCTGTACACCATACCAGACTCACAAACGTCTGACTGGCCAAAATTTTATGCACGAAAAGAAGATGAATGGCCAGAAGACATAAAAGAATTACTCCATCGGCAACGCAATAAGTTTGTGGTCCACGACCAAAAGGTTTTCCATCTCGTTAAAATAGGTGACACGGTACAAGAAATTCGTTTTGCACTGTTTGCCAAGCGGGCAGACTTAGTAAATAATTTCCACAATGGTTTCGGACATGCTGGAGAAACAACGGTGTATGATTTAATGAAGAAGCGTTAGTGGTGGCCAGCCATGAGAAGTCAAATTCAAGAATGGTTATCGAAATGTCCTCAATGTCAATTGGCCTCAAACGCAGAACGCAACATACACCATGCCCCTTTGGAACCATTGGATATCCCCCCTGCTTTCTCTCGTTGGCATCTCGATTTCATTGGAGAACTTCCCACTACAATCAACGGAAATCGATGGATTTTGGTTGCCGTCGACTATGCTACGAATTGGCCAATTGCACGTGCTGTTCCTGCTGCTATGGGCGAAGCTATCGCCAACTTTTTGTATGAAGAAATAGTCATGCGTTTTGGTTGCCCAGACGAAATTCTGACAGATTGTGGTGCAAACTTTATGTCACATATTTTGAGCTTTTACATTAAGAAAATTAAGCTCCATCATAAATTAACCTCAGCATTTCACCCACGTACTAATGGAAAATGTGAAAGGTTAAATGGTGTTCTTAAACAGATGTTACGTAAATATGTACATGGTGCAATTCACTGGTGGAACGAATATCTGGAAACAGCACTTTGGGCTTGCCGAATCAGAAAGCATTGTACAACTGGGTTCAGTCCATTTTTCTTGACTTATGGCCGCGAACCTTGTATTCCTGGCAATCCCCTACGTCCATTTATGGATACATCTATCCCTGATGACCCGACCCTCGTATCCGATGGCGCTATCCCTTTTCTTCGTAATCTCCAACAGGCTCGCAAAAATGCTGACGCTCGAGTAACCGCCAACAGCCAACAAGACAAGGAACGATGGGATTCGATCATGAAACCTCATCAGTTCGCAATTGGTGAACATTTGTTGTTGCGGCATGAAAACAAATTTGGACTAGAATATAACTGGATGGGCCCATATATTGTAGTAGATAAAAATTTCGATAAGAATATATACAAGCTCACAACAATGGAAGGTGTCCCTTATACTTCTTGGGTTCATGCTGATTGCCTCAAAATAGCCAAATCTGACGATTTCGACCGCACCTGGTATCACCCGACCACTGCTCGTAACAATATGCGACGTGATCTGGCCATCGATTCCTCTTCCACCTTGCCGTTCTCAATGATAGAGTCTACCAGAGTTAACCAAGGACGATCAACAGTTTCGAGAGGGGGTGATGTCGGACATTATTTTGATGAATCCGAGAAATCGGGATAATTGACCGCAGCAGTTCTGTATGTCAAAGATACCTCATAGATAACGAACCGCAGTAATGTCTTGTAAAGATTAACCACAGTAACATCTTCTGAGCATCAACCGCAGTAAAAGGACTTCTCTTGTAATTAAATAGAGTATAATAGTTTACTGCGGATAATACGCAGTATTAGTTTAGAAAACTATATAAGACAATTCAATTCCTACCAATAAAAAGCACCTTTTATCCTCCCTTCGATTTTACATATACTCTCCGATCCCCAGTGGGTTTGACCTTTTGACTTTGCTATAGTAAAAGGAAGACCATCCCAGATCAGGAACGACACTTTTACTATAACAAAGTCAAAAGGTCAAACCCACTGGGGATCAAGGAGTATACGTAAAATCAAAGAGAGGATAAAAGATACTATTTATTGATATGAATTGAATTGTCTTATATAATTTTCTAAACTAATACTGTGCATTATCTGCAGTAGCTATTATATCATATTTAAATAAAAGAAGAGTCATTATACTGCGGTTAATGCTCAGGAAGATGTTACTGTACATAAAGAGGTACTGTGGTTAACCATCTTCCGATTTTATGGATTCATCAAAATAATGTCCGACAAAGTCTCGATCTTGTCAGAGTTGACATCGTAGATAGAAATTCTTAAGTCAGATATCTAATTGGTTATTCCTTTTAACATATGCCCTCAATGTTATACCAATTGGTTCTCCTTTTTGGTAACCAAGACATATTATATCACTTTTCATAAATGTAAAATCAGTATGTCTTGAGTAAAATAATTAGATTAGATAGTTTCACTTTTAAGAAATCTATATAAATACTTCAAGATTTATATCAATAAAAAGTATTCAATTCTGTATCCTATCTGCTCTTATTTATTCACAACGTTCTGGTTGATGGTTGTTGTAAATGAGTAGTGACTACTGCTGTAATTGAGAATAAGTCTGAAAGAAATAATATAAGGCCTCACACTGAAAAAAGGGGCGAAATTCCAATGTGCACAGTTACCTGATAACAATGGAAAATGTGGGGCTAATTTTCATCTCAGCAGGGTTTTCTTATGTTCATGTTGAAAACATAGTTTTGTTGTATTCTATTGGCTTGGATACAACTAGCACAAAGATTTTTTTTATTATTATTATAAAGGCTATAGTAAATAAAGTATATGTAGCATATGTTTCCGTTTTCTCTTAACATTCAAAAACAAAACAAAACAAAAAACACTATGCCCTCAATCCCCAACCTTACAATGAAAAGTGCTATTATGCTAAATGTAGTCAGAACGAATTAAACTATAGTTTTGTTGCCAGAATAACTGCTTAGCACCATAACAAAAGAGCAAGATTAGATGCTATAAGATGTGAAAGTGGTACACAGTTTGTAGTATTATTGTATTAGATTTTATTTAGTTTTCTTTGCAGTTTAAAAAAAATAACATTCTTTAATAGAATCTTCTCAAAGAAATGCAATGGAGGTCGATGTTGAACATAAGAAATATTGATTTAAACAAAAATAATAGAGCTTAACTAATAAACATATTCTATATATAGCTATTTCAACTCATCAATCCGGAATTACAGAAGAGGCATATGTTCAGACCAGCTCACCTTTTTGGGAAGATGCCTCAATGTCTGATGATAATAATGTTTTGGTTGGGAATAAAGAGATTCACAACAGTGAAAACAATAGTGATGTGAGTAGTAATGATGAGGAGAGCAGTGGTGATGATGAAAACAGCAATGACAAAGAAAACAAAGATGATGATAAAGATGTTGTTGAGATTAAAGTTGAGGAATTTGTTGATGAAGGTTGGTGCTGTGCTACTAAGAAATTGAAAAATGAAAATCTGAAAAAAGGGGAGTGTTAATTCTTTTTTGCAATTTTTACACTAGATCCTTTTGCCACCCCCAATATGTCAGAAAGCCTAGTGCACAGGTTTATTGCTAAATTTGTGGTAATGTTTGCTTCCCGCTATGTGATCAACAAGGGTACTGTTGTCTTGATCGAGTTTATCAACAAGCTCTTAACAATTTACAAGCAGGATTTCCAACTGCCCTTAAGCCTTCCTGGTCTACAGTGCATGACAGGTTTCTCAGCCATGACCAAAGGCGTAAAGAAATTTGTTGTGTGTCAGGATTGCTACAAGGTGTATGAGGAAAGTGTATCTGCTCCTTTTCATTGTGATTTTGTGAAGCTTGGTACGCACTCATCTTGTGATTGCCAATTGATGAAATTATTGTCATCAGGTACTTTGCTAGCTAAGTGGTCATATGTGTACCAGTCTATCAAACAGACATTAAAGATGTTTTTCTTTTGCCCAGAGTTCAAAAAAAAGCAGACATTGGAACCACGAGTTAAAGATGATAAATACCTTATGCAATATTTATGATGGAGCTATGTGAAAGGAGTTAAAAGACAAAGATAGTGTGCAATTCGTCCAAGATTCACGTTCATTAATGTTAACTATTAACATTGACTGGTTCCAGCCATTAAATAATGTATCTCACTTGTCTGGTGCAATTTATATTGCTATTGACAATCTTCTCCAGAACAAACAGTTTGAGTCAGAGAATATCATTCTGGTTAGACTTATGTTAAGTCCTAAGAAACCAAAGCCTGAAGAGATAAATCACTATCTTAAACCTTTGGTAGATGAGTTGGAGACGTTGTACGTGGGAATGAAGATCCCAACCTTTGAATGTCCCAGTGGAATCAATGTTTGTGCAGCACTGCTGATGGTGGTCTGCTATATTCCAGCTGCTTGGAAAACAAGCTGGCTCTGTGATATTTCAGATACAAAACAATGAAAAAATAATAAATTTGATAATAGAGATGTATAGAAATACTTTGAGATTGTATATAAGTTGTCCTTTATTCATAAATAAAAAGTGTCCCTTTTTATAAGAAAACACAATCTGCTCTTGTCATTATGTCTTAGCTTATTAAGACTTTCTTTCTTTACTATATTTGGTTATTAGAGTGTATTTACTGCTTAACTAGTGTCGGTGTTACAATTATGACATCAAGTCATAAATTGTACTTCTTTAGCTCTTAGCTATTCTTTTCTCTTTTATACTAGAGCTTTAGGACTTCCTACTAAATTAGCTCCATATCGATCTGACACAGTTTACCCGGCAGTATGATATAATTATCTTAACAATCTTTAAGATATTATCTACAGTACTAACTGTAATAATTATTGGGCTGATTACTTAATTGTTTATATATATTTTATACTGACAAGATGATAGCTACTACGCTATCCCAATATGAATATGTTCTTATATGTGATAAATCCAACATCCGAGTGTCTGGATCACCACATCTACAATGTTTTAATAAAAAAATATAAGAAATATGGATTTAAATTAATTTGTTTGAATAATATTAAAACGATAATATAAAAACAAAACATAAATACATTTTAATTCAAATATATCAAAAGAACAATATCATTCAACATCTAATAATAGGTATAAGATAAGCTTTATATCTTAAAAAAATCAAATAAAAAATATAGAGTACAAAATACATCCAGCCAGAATCGAATCAGAGTATCCACATCAGCAAACTGTAACTGTAACAAGTAGGCCACAAATATATGTAGTCGAAAAACAACTATTAAATTAAATATATAGCCTCTAATTTAAAAACACATTTGTTACCTTTCTTACATAAACTTTAAAACTGCATTATCTTCACAACAAAAAACAGTACCAAAATGTGATGACTATTGATTTATATCTATAAAATTTAGACTATCCAAATCCGGTTTTGCCATTAGTATAGGACAAATATTCGCAGAGTAAATTTAAAAAAACAGATATTAAAACACAGATATATAGAACACAAAAAATGATTGGTTTTTAGCTTAAGAACATTGATCTGATTTTGAAAACTCATAGAGATATTATCCATATTGGTAGTTTAAATCTGGCTTTAAAAACTCCGTAAATTTTCATTCAACCCCCAAGAGTATGAGCAGCATTAACTTTCTGCTCAAAGTATCCATCATACTCTTTGATACCCTTGACAACACACATGAACAAGGTTTTGCTCATTCAGTAACATCTACAGAAGTGCTCTTCAGTATATATATATACTGTTTTCATTGAAGTAGTCTTTGCGCAACTGCACTTCACCAGCAAGTCTATCACGGAATATTGTGATACAGGTTTTCTTTTGCCTCTTTTCTTCTGTGTCTATGCCTGAGAACTGGCGCTTGGTTGTACTGACCAGCTCGTTGTAAATGCTTGCAAACATTTCTCTATCCTCAGCTTCTTCTTCAATAGACATCATGAGAAGTTCTTTGAAATTTATTTTTTAAGTATATGCAAAGTTTTTAAGTAAAATATATAATAGACTGGTAGAAAATAAAGAAAGAAATTAAGGTACAGATATTTTTTTTGGTAGCCAAGAATATAATTATTTTGTGATTTTTTATTAAATGTTACTGAAATTTGGCTGTCTATTTTTTGGCCATTTTAAAACACCAGGGTGACTTAAAAAAATTTAGAAAAAGGAGGAAATGTAACTGCTGGGGATGCTCTTGATATGTATATGTGTTGGTTGTGTTATGCAAGTGAACCAATGGTCAAAGAAACAAATAACTTCAGTAAATAATAACTAACAACGATCTTAACCCCAAAATACTAGTATTAATTATCTGTTTATATTACCAACTTAAGTCTTTCAAGACAAATTAGATCACAGATACAGATAATTTTTTATTTAGTGACAAAACTGATTGCTTTTATAGACAATCTTATAACAGAAATATTTTGAAGGAGGATGGTTTTTTGAAGGAAGAAGAAAATAAGGGGATCTATATGGACATGCAAGAAAAATTAGGGTTGGACATGCAAAAAAAGACCAAAAGGAATAATTAAATGTGACGTCACTTATAATTGACCTTTGGGAGTGTTACTGACAAATTGAGCAATGATAAGACATGCAAAAGCAACCAAATTGAAGAATTAAACGTGACGTCACCTATAATTAGCTTTTGGGAGTGTTACCAACAAATTGAACACTGATAAGACATGAAAAAGCGAGCAAATCGAAGAACTAGACGTGACATCACATATCACTACCAGAGATTTTTGGTATCATTTTTGGTAAAAATTGGCACCTAAGTAATATGATTGGCTTAGAGGCCAAAATATTGTAATTTGTTTTTTTGTACTCAATTTTTTCCATCCAAATAAAGAATTAAATTAAGTTCAGTACTACTTGTGAGCTTTTAAAGCAAGAAAAAAAACTGTTAGGGAAGTCAGAAAGTGTTCAAGTGAGACAAAGAATTTATTAAGGAAAGTTGGGGGTTGATTTGAGTAAACAAAAAAAGTCTTCATAAGAATTATGCAAATAAATTGATGTTGAGAAGAAGAAAACAGAAGGTTCAAATAATAATTATAATAATAATAAAGAAGTAGCATCATTTTATTCATCAAAAAGAATATTATTGAAAATGAACCAGTAGGAATCAAACTTGCTCAAATTTACAATGTAAAATAGGTTGCGAAAAATATGTAAATCTAACTTACAAACGAAATTCATGTTAGCAACATCAGAATGCTCACCTGTCATTACAGCCTTGGCATAGTTATTGTTTCTGTCATTATCTGTACGAGAAACAATGCTAAGAAACTTAACAACAGAGCCTGAGACAAGTCCTATACAAGGGTGAGAGATTGGATCATCTCTAAAAACAAATGCATCAAAACTGTTATTTTGGATGGCGTCATCTTCAATATCTCCAGAGTTGTTGTTATCCTTTAGCTCTCTTGAGCCGTCAAAGAAAGTGTAATAGAACAAGGATTCATTGTTGTCCTTAATGAATCTCTCTATTCCAGTTCCAGACTTCTCTTGGTTGCTAGAGCTATTAATCCACGACCCACTATCAATTACATGTTGTAATGCTACTTGCTTTGCAAACTTTAGACAAACATCCCTGGAAGTGTTTTGGCGATTTGTATGAAACAGATGTTTGCAAATGTGCTTATTGAACTGTTTGCCCTTTTCTGTTTCATAATTGAGGGCTGGGCCAAACCGAATTATATCTTGCTTAAGATGTGTCAAGTAATGAACTTTTGGCTTGGTGCAATATGCCTTGTGGAGCTCGTTCTTGGTTCCTTTATCATAGTTAAATAATGCTCTAATCAAGTGCTTCACTGCATTATCTACTCTGATAATATAGTTATCAAAGTCTGATGTTACCTGACAAACAAATACTAGAAAACACAATCGGCCAAGTTCAACAAAGCATGATATTACAAGGTCTAGCTCATAATTTTCAGAAAATTCTGTAATCAGAATTACAGGAAGTATCTGAAGCAGAACCTTGAAATCTCTACTGAGGAATGAACCACTATGTCTCAAGTTTTAGGTGAACTTTGTTGATAGACTAGTTGATTACATGTAATCTGTCAAGAACTCTGAAAGTCTTGCTATTGTAGCTGTGTCATTCTTTAGCATGACCTTAACCAAGTCAATCACCATATACTTTGCAACAACAAAAAGTATCATGTGGAAGATTTCCACTGATGTATCCTTTTCTGAATCAAACAACTGCAATTCTAATAAGCGGCCAGTCAAACAATCTCTAAAGCTTATCTCGTTTGCAGGCGTGTTCATTCCAATTTTTGGAGCATTTGAGATCGCAGTGTCTCTGTCAGATGTCGAGTTTGCAAGAACATAGCGCTCTTGAGTTCATCTCTCATGGCACTCACGGAAGTAGGACAAGTCCTTCACAAAGTCTTTTGCACGTCTAAGTTCAATATAGCATCTTCTGCAAGGAAATATGATAGCTGGTCCAAGCAATCTGCAAAGTTCCAAATGACATGGCATGTCAGCCTCAATCCAAAGGATGGGAGCAACAGCCAGAACATACTCATTGTCTGCAGCGGAGAACATTTTTACACCTTTCTCAAGTTTCTTAAAGTCATCAACAATTGCTGGCAGAAGAGACATACCATCTGTACCATCTTTCTTAGGGATTGTAGAAAGAAACTGGATGTTTGCTATCAAATTTCGATCCTTAAAAGGCAAGGCAGTGCATCTCATTAACCAGCTTTCAAACGGATTGTACTGCTTTGAACGATTGCTGAAAGTGTCATCTGTAAAAAGGATGATTGAAACAACCCTGACTTTGTAAAATACTGCATTGCAATCTACATTACTGGGCAAAACAGAAAGAGGCATAGACTTCTTCATTGGATCAACTCCAAAAAGAAGAAAGTCATGAGCAGGACTCAATCTAGTAAGACTACTTGAGATACTGTAGTAATGATCTCTTTCAACAGGAGTAGTGCCAACGTGAGAGATCTGCTCTACTCTAAGATTGGTAACAGCAGTCTCAACGCCATAGCATACAATCGAAATCGCTCTGACCAGATACTCTCTTGCAAAAATGTTTTGTTTGCCGTGTAGAACGATTCAACCAAAAAGCAGATTCTGCAATCGTTTGTCTTCAAGTAAACAATGTTTCCAAACCAGACATCTATACCATTTATAGTGTGCATAGGCTGCTAAAAGAAATGGTGAGGTCTCCACTTTTTACCTTGTTCCAAACAGATTGATTGGTTTGGGGTATGATTGGGCATAGACGAGATCAACTTGGATTTCTTTGGGTTTGCCATAAGAAATCTCAAGTGGTTGGAAGGAAGGTTAATATGGGTGAATGCGTTCCCGTTCGATCCAGGTACTGATATTCTTTGTGAAGGAAAGACAGGCGTCTTGGACTTCTTTCTTGCCTGATAATTTAAAAATGCATCCAAATGAGATAACTTAAATGTTCTTCCTATGGGAGTTTCTTGCTGGATCTTAATGATCAAGTTCATTGCAAGCAGTATCTTCTTCAACATTTGCTGGAAGATCATGTCATTATCCCCATTAATAAAAGCAAAAAGGATCATGGTTTGAAGATTGCAAAAAGGATAACAGCTTGTAGAGTCATTTACAACACCAATTGTCTCAAAGACTTCTTCTGGGATCTCAGAGTTATCATCAGTCATTGATACTTCATCAGCAGCAGCAGCAGAAGAAAACATGTCAGAGAATGCATTGAAAACTGGATTACCGTTCATTTCAATATCAAAGAAATTATTGACAATACTGTTTTTCTCATCTACAATGTTGTCTTCTTCATCCCCAATACTGGAAGAGTCATCTTCATCACTTGAGTAATCAAATGCGTTAGCATCCAAAATAGTGTTCTTGACTATCAATTCGGTCTGCTTGAGTTCGTCGAGTACAGTATTGGTTGCCATTTGATTACTTATATGGTGAACCTTTGAATGCCTTTTCAGTAACTAAGGCTTTTCAAACTCTTTTTCGCATTCAGAGCAGATAAAAACATCTGAATTGATACTAAAGTTAAGTTCGCCTTGCCTTATAGGGGGGCGAGTCTTAACAATTTTATATGTTTCTTGTCTTTGTTTTTACAATTAATTTACTATTATGCAAAAGAATACAAGGGGGGAAAATGACTTTGCGAAAATAATTGAATTTATAAAATGTGCAAAGATCGATATTTAATGTCAGCAGACCAATTAGATTTTTTTTTACTTCTTTTCTTTTAAAAAAATATTGCGTGTTTTTATCTTTTTCATTTTACTTTTCCATAACATATTTATTATTTGCATGAGCTTCCATTTGTAAGATATTCCAGTATGTTTATAGTATTTATAGAAGTAGAATTTTGCTTAAAGACTATAAGCTCAAACGTATTTATGCTATTAAAGTTTTTTATGTCATTGTGTTTTTTAATCATACAATTCTAGTTTATAAATTAGTTTTTCATCATCTTAGTAAATTAATAAAGAGGTAATAACTACATGTTCCTCTTACAAAGCAACAGAAAACTAACTATTTACTCCTCACTTGCAGAGATTTGGCTGCCTTTTATTGCAAATGCCTTAATAGAGTCAAAGGTAAAATTCTGTTAAATATATATAACTAAGTTTAATTACTAATTATTAGTTCTTCTGCTTTAGCTTTTCTCGAAATTCAAATCTTTATGCTCTTTGGGTTTATTGGAATTTCTGGCACCGGGTCTCTTGGATTAGCTAGACATAGTAGTTTACAGCAAACCAATCACGTAATTTACAGACATAAGTACAAACAGCTATACTACTAGTGTTTCTAGTGGTATGGATATACTGGTGTGCTACTGCCTGTGGATTTTGTGGTCCAGTCTAGCTTTTTTTTAGCCTAATTTTTTTCGAAAATAAAAAATAAATTTTTTACAACCCAAAATTATTTGAAACAAATTAAAAATTTGAACCATTTTTGAAATTGTGCAGTACATTTTTTAATCAAAATCTATTGGCCGAGAGTAGTCCTCCCATCCCCCCACTTTTCAGTCCCCCAAAAAATGAATTTCCTGTTATGGGCAAAATTCGCCCCATATACAAGAATCCTTTTAAGGAACAAGATTACACAAAAAAATCTGCTGTGGTGATAATTAGTTTTGCATATTACATGCATTTTTTTGGGGGGTCAGCCTTGATATTTGTTAAATGTTTCAAAATTAATATTGATTGTAAAAATATAAAAAATTATAATGAGATAGATATAAAGATAAAAATAGAAAAGTGTTAAAAAGATAAATATAGAAATATAGATAAATAGAAAGATAATAATAAATTGAATAGAGACAGAAGGGAATATTAATAATAGAGATAAATATAGAATCTAAAAAGTAAAAAAAAAAATATAAAAGAACTATATACGAAAAGTTAGTATAATTCAAGATAATTCTAGTTTAAAAGCCATATCTTGATTGTTAGTACATCAAAGAATAATCTTCAAGGCCATGTTTTTGAATTATTCTTTTATGAAAGGGGTTGATTTTTGGCCAGCAGAAATTTCGAGTGTTTTTGCGCTTGGCAAGAAGAAAGTGATTTACATCTAAAATAATAATTATCAGTTCTACTTTTTCTGGCAAGGTAGCAAATGGAACAAAAAAGACAGTCGCCTGTTTCAATTGGAGTATTTCAATATACAGCCACTGTTCTGCTAAATGTACTGGCTACAACTTAAGGATAGTTGATTGTACCAAACCAATATTGCTGGGGGAGAGGTAAGAGCTTGTCTTGGAGACTGCGAATTAGTGGGTTATTGGATGCAGACATATTGCCATGCTTCATTCTTCCGTGATAGTAGTTGTTTTGGTGTTTTAAAAATGTTTCTAGCATTTTGTATTTTACTTTTGGTCACTCCTTCTGGTTCTGGTACGCTTCCATTGCTATTGCTCTGTACCCACAATTTCTGTCTGCTTCAAGAGAAAAGATTGTTGATATATGTTTTGGTACGATTGTGAGATTTGTTAGTAATGTGGGATCACATGGTGACCCAAGGTTGATAATATTTTTTATGGCTTTTTGCTCTTTAGCTGAGGATATTTTTTGCCTAGAAAACAAAGCAAAGATTTAGTAAATTAAATCTAAACAATATTAAAATCTTACTTTTTTTGTTCTTTTTCTGTTTTAATTTTTTTTGTGATTTTTTCATTTTTGGTATTGATGCAATGCTCTAATGCAATCCTTTTGTGCTTGGTATTTTTTGGTCGGCCTTTGATGACTTCAACTACTGTTGGGCCCCTAAGGTTTTCGAGTTTCTGTGCGTCGATTTGTTTCAAAGTCCTTTCTATTAATTGGTATATATTAATTTGCTCTTGTTTGCTCTGAGCATTGGCAAAATGTTTGCAAATAAGCTCAAGAGCATAGTTGAATTCTGGGGTTATTGGTTTGATATTGTTGATGTTTGGGGGTACTGGGGTTGCATTTTGGATAGTTAAATGGTCTACGTAATAAAATGTTATATGAGAAAATTGTCACGTAATTATTGCTATTATTATATATATTACTTTCTCCTTCTAGATAGTTTTTTCTCCAGAATCTTGGAATGCAGAAGGTTGGAATGGTATTGAATTTGACAAGCATGTGGTAACAAGGAAGCAGATAGTTGTATTGTATGAGGCATCTACACTCTTTGGCTAGTTTTTCAGGTAGAATAGATTTGGATAGTTCTAATTTGATTTGATCCATTGCAAATCTACAGACTTTAAGATGGATGTCATTTAATCTGGCAGCATTGACTTTATTGAACACAATTTTTGTTCGTTCTCCAAGACTTTTCACTATTAGCCGATGCTTGCGATCTGCAATCTGTACAATTTATAGATATATTATAACCAATAAATATATAAAATATTATAGAATAAACTTACTAACTCGTCATACCACTTTTTTACTTTAAGGGTAACTGTTTTCAGTTTACTCAAGGAAGTACCAAGAGAATGCTTGAGAGAAGCATGGACACTTTCTGCACAGTTCGATGTGCAATTTCCAAAATGGGCATGTTTGTAAACATGCATGTTCACCCAGTTTTTCTTGTCTTTCATTTTTTTGATAAAGTATATTAAAAAAACACAATTTTTTATAGTTAAATACACTGTTTACATCAAATTTAAAAAAATTATATGTACTTCTCAAGAAAAGCACTAGCAGCTTTTCCCTGGTCTTTGTAATTTTCCTTTGCAAATTCAAGCTATCCATTTGTTTCTTTTTTTACTTCTTGATATGTAATGCGTTTTAAAGCAATTTGGTCAAGGAATTCTGACAGCTTATCCAACAGGTCTCTCTTTTCGCTACTCTCGTCTCCCTTCATTGTCAGAAGCAATTGCTTTTTAAAGTAGTCTTTGATATGCTTATAGCACAACAACTGCTTTGACTCAGGAAAGACTCGAGTAATAGCATTTCTCAATGCTTTTTCATTGTCCGTGATGAAAATATCTGGGAGAAGTAGTATTTGTTTGTCGTTGCTGCTGTTGTTGTTGTTGTTGTGGTTGTGGTTGTTGTTATTATCATCAGGCCAGACTGCATTGCGGAGACAGCTAAGCACCCAAAAATAGTTTTCTTCTGTCTCATGCTCTACCCAAGCACCAGCAATTGGGTACGTCTTTAAAGTGGTATAAGGGCTTCCACTCACATTGCTAGTACCAACAATGTTGACATAAGTCATTTGATGACTATTTGTTTTATATGTGGCATCAATAATGACAGTCTCAGGCATTCTTTGTGCTTCATTGATTGCATCCTGATGCACAAAGAAGACCATATTCACTTGATTGTCTTCTGTATTACTGACAGAATATCTGACATGAAAGTCAAGATCTTGCAGAGTGGTGATAAAGTCAAATATCTCCTTTCCTTTTTTCAATTTTTCAAAATTTTGCTTTATATTAGCAATGTCATGGCAAACAATGTTTGTATATCCATTTGTCTTCAAACTGTTGAAGATAGTGGATACATCGTTATTGTTCTCCAGATGCTTAACCACAAGAGCTATTATCTCAGGCAAGAGCTTGCGGTGCAAAGCATATACTCTGTGGTCTTCTTTGATGGGGTGGTTATGCTCTGCCTCACGGGAGCGCACAGTGAGCTTTCTGCCCTTCTTGGTGTTGACATACATGAAGCAAGGGCAGCCATGCTTCTGCATGTTTTTTTCGCACTTTCTTTCCCATCCAGGAAGAGTTTCACCCATAACTGATGTTTTGGAAGCAACCTTCTAGGCTTTTCTGGTATCTCTATATTTGCTAGAGTGCTTGCAAATCAATTTGATATGAGAGCTTGATACATATTCAGTAGTGAGAGCAATGTTATGCTTGACATCATATGCCTTGGCAGCTTCTCAAACAGCTACAACTGAAGAGAATTCTCTTCCAACAAGAAAAATTGAGTTGAACTCGGTCAAGGCAGCATCGTACTTCTTCAATGTCTTGCTAACAATGACAAAGTCATTGGTGTTGTTGATGTTGTTAATGTTGCTCATGTTAAATGTCAAAAAAAATTATGCGCTGATGTTGTAGTAAAAAAGGGCAGTGATATAATTGGCAATCTGGAGGGTAATTTATCTGATACCACCCAAAAAAATGTATGTAACATGCAAAACTAATTATATGTGACGTCACGTCTAGTTCTTCAATGGGGAAGCTTACGGACAGCCTGGCGGGACAGCCTGAAAGGACAGCCTGAAAGTGTATTACGTCACCTAGTCACGTGTTTGGGCAAATGTCATATTGGCGGGACAGCCTGGGCAGCCTGGGCAGCCTGGGCAGCCTGGAAGTATGTTACTAAACTTACTTCACGTATTTTGGCAAATGTTCATTTTTTTGGGCGGAGGGGGGAGGGGGGACTATATAAAGTGTTCTTTAGTTTGCCAATAAAATCACTGCTCTTTTTTTACTGCAACATCAGCGCATAATTTTTTTGACATTCTAAGATAAGCAGCATCAACAACACCAATGACCATGTCATTGTTAGTGAGACTTCTTCAAAGAAGTACAATGCTGCCCTGACCGAGTTCAACTCGATATTTCTTGTTGGAAGAGAATTCTCTTCAACTGTAGCTGTTCGTGAAGCCACCAAAGCATATAGTGCTAAGCATAATATTGCATTCACTACTTATTCTTCCTCAAGCACCCATATAAGAATGATCTGTAAGCACTACGGGGAATATAGAGACACTAGAAAGACCGAAAAAATTGTTCCAGAAGTCTCTGTCAACCAAGAAACCCCTATTCCTGGGTGGGAGAGACAACGCGTAAAGGATACCCAAAAGAGTGGCTGTCCTTGTTTTGTGTATGCCTCAAAAAAGAAAGATAGAAAGATTGTAGTCCACTCCCGCGAGGCAAAACACAATCATCGGATTGTGGAAGACTGCAGAGCATATGCCATGCATCAAAAGCTTGAACTTGAAGCCATGGCTCTTGTTGTCCGACACCTTGAGAAAAACGATGATGTATCCACCATCTTCAATAACTTGAAGAGAAGTGGGTACACCAATGTTATCCGTCAAGATATCGAAAATATCAAACAACAATTCGGAAAGTCAGAAGAAGGAAGAGAAATGTTTAGTTTTATTACTGCATTGTAAGAATTGGACTTTTATGTCCGGTACAATGTTGGTGATGATAAGGAAAACAAAATCAACATGGTGTTTTTCATCCATAAGGATGCCATTGACGAAGCAAGAAGAATGCCAGAAACCATTGTAATAGACGCTACATACAAGACGAATAGTCACCAAATGACATATGTCAACATTGTTGGTACCAGCAATGTAAGTGGAACCCCCCATATGACTTTGAAGACTTTCCCAATTGCTGGAGCTTGGGTGGATCACGAAACGATAGACAACTATCTATGGGTACTTCGCTGTCTGCGCGATTCTGTCTGGCCAGATGTTAATGATAGCAGCAGCAGCAACAAAAACAACCACAACAACACAATCACCACAACACCTCTACTTCCAAGTGTGTTTATCACTGACAATGAGAAAGCATTAAGGAATGCAATTACCAATGCTTTCCCTGAGTGTAAACAGCTGCTGTGCTATAAGCACATTAAGGATAATTTTAAGAAGCAGCTATTGCCAATGATGAAGGAAGACAAGAATGGGGACAAGAGAGGCTTCTTAGATGAGTTAGCCGGTCATCTTGACCAAATTGCGTTGAAGTGCACCACTTCCGAAGAAGAGAAAAAAGAGATTGATGCATATCTCAGGTTTGCAAAAGACAATTGTAAAGATCAAAGAAAAAGTGCCAAAGCTTTCCTTGAGAGGTATGCAAAGTGCTGTTATATTTGCTGGAAACAGTTCGTTAACGATAAATAATGTCATTATTTTTTATATACATTATCAGAAAAATGCATGACAAAGAGAACTGGGTAAACACCTATGTTTTTAAGCATCCTCACTTTGGAAATCGCACTTCCAACCATGCAGAAAGTTCACATGCTTCTCTGAAGCATGTTCTTGGAACTTCTTCTGGTAAACTGAAGACAGTTACCATGAAAGTTGTCAAGTGGTATGAAGCGTTGGTACGTCTATGCTTTGTTATCTTAAATATCAATTGATTAAACTTTATAATAACAATAACTAATTGAAATGTTTTTGTAAATTTTACAGGTCGATGATCGAAAGCGCAGATTGACAATGGAGTGTTTTGGAGAGAGCACTACCATTGTGTTTGATAAAATCAATTCTTCCAGGCTGAATGATATTTGCCACAAAGTTTATCGTTTTGCAATGGACCACATCAAACTTAAACTTGCCAAATCAATTATATCTGAAAAACTCACAAAAGAGTGCGAATGCCTCATTAACTACAACTATCTCTTGCCCTGCTACCATCAACTTGCACAGTATAAAAAAATCCCAATTTCTTGCATTCCCAGACGATGGAAAATAAACTACTTAGAAGGAGAAGATAATGTATATATATATACATATATGTTATTAAACTATTTTCTCTTTTTATATATAATTATGTACAGACCACTCAATTATTCACAATGCACTACCTGTACCTAAAAGCATCACTAAAATCAGCACAATAACACCCCAACTCGCATATAAGCTTGAACGGGTTACTCAAATACTTACCAATGCCCAAAGCAAACAACAGCAAATACATTTCGAAGAATACATCAACAAAATAATAGAACTAGACTCCAAGCAGAAACTTGAGAACCTTAATGGTCCAACAGTAGTGGAAGCCATCAAAGGCAGACCTAAAAATACAAAAAGAAAAATGATTGCCCTAGAGTACTGTCCTGAAGCAGAAAAAGAAGAAACAATAAAAAAAACTAAAACTGAAAAAAAACAAAAAAAGTAAGTCTTTATTATAACATATTATTCAGATTTAACTCGTTCGACTTTTTTCGATTTTCTAGACATGAATTATCTTTAGAAAAACAACAAAAAGCATTTAAAAAAATTATTAATCTAGGTTCACCATGTGACTATACACTTCTGACTAATCTTACAATCGCCCCACACCAAATATCTCAGATATTTTCTCCAGAAGCAGATGGCAATTGTGGCTATAGAGCAATAGCAATGGAAGTATATCAGAACCAGAAACGATGGCCTGAAGTCAAAGACAAAATGTTAGAAAACTATTTAAAATATCAACATACTCATTACCAAGGAAGAATGGAGCACGGCCATATGCCTGCATCCACAAACCCATTAATCATCAGTCTACAAGACAAACGCTCGCCCCTCCCTCAACAGCATTGGTTTGGTACAATTGACCATTCACAACTCCTAGCAAATGCATATAACAGAACCGTAGCCGTATATTGGAATACTTCAAGAGAAACCGGCGACTGTCTATTTGTACCATTCATCACCACACCAGACAGATTCGAACCTATTATACTTATTCTAGACATCAACCACTTTCTCCTCGCAAAACGTAAACCAACCAGAAACTTCAATTGGCGGCAGATAAACCCATTTCACAAAGCCATAGTAAAAAAACATAACCTAGAGGACTTTTCCATTCTGTATTAACTACCAAGGTATGGATTTCATAACGGAATTCTATTTAATAATATTAATATTTATCTTATTTTGTAGATATTTTTATTTTCTTTTTCTTTTTTATTCCATTTCCTTGTTTTTATATTTATCTCTTTATCTCTTATCAAGTTTTATTATTATTATTCATATTATTTATTTATTTATCTTTATTTTCAATGCTTTTTTATTTTATTTTTTGAATCATTAAACATATATCAAAAATCTGACTGCCTCAAAAAAATGAACATTTGCCTAAATACGTGAAGTAAGTTTAGTAACATATTTCCAGGCTGTCCAGGCTGTTCAGGCTGTCGAGACTGCCCAGGCTGCCCAGGCTGTCCCGCCAATATGACATTTGCCCAAACACGTGACTAGGTGACGTAATACACTTTCAGGCTGTCCTTTCAGGCTGTCCCACCAGGCTGTCTGTAAGCTTCCCCTTCAACTTGCTTGCTTTTGCATGTCTTATCAGTGTCCAATTTGTTAGTAACACTCCCAAAGGCCAATTACAAGTGACGTCACGTTTAATTCTCCCTTTTGGTCTTTTTTGTATGTCTAACCCTAATTTTTCTTGCATGTCCATATCATTGCCCAAAAATAAAACGGTAGAATGAGTCATTGTTGAAAGAGAGACTAGTAATATGGTAAACAAGAGTATAGTAAAATGAAGATAATAAAGTGAGAAACAATGGGTAGATATTGAAATGGAATATCCAGCAAATGATAAAAGAGGAAATGTAAAGAAGATGCTGTCATATTTGAGATCAACATAAAAAAGAGATGAGAGCAGTAAAGATGATAATAGTAAAGTGGGGTAATTTGGGAAAGAGTACAAGAAATAATAGAATGAGGTAAACGATTAAAAACGGTTTTTGGTACACAGGTACAAGAGACAAATTGGGCATTTTCTTACTGACACGCCGTTTCCCTTGTTTCTTGGCTCAGTCAGTCATTGCACCACAACTGTGTCATGGTCCCCTTGCTAGGGTGAGCTACAGATAAATCAACCGTTGCCTCTGGGTTTGATCTTTTGAGCCAAGCATTGAACTGTCTCATTGCTCTCTCTTTCTGAATGTCTGAGATCATACTTTTATAGTGATGGAATGCTACCAACATGTCCCCATTCACTGCGCCTGACAACTTACAATAATTGGGTTCAGCCAGATAATAGGTTCCATGTTCGTTGACATAAGTGACAGTAAGTGGCCCTAACCAACGATCTTGTAACTTGGGGCAGTGTCTTTAGTCCTTTGTGAGCACTTGCTCACCCACTTGAAAACGCTTGTGATGACCTACTTATTTATCATATCTCTTCTTGTTCTTGTCTTGTTTCTCCTTCGATTTTTCTCTTGCCAATGGACACAGCCTGTCCACCAGATGTTGGATAACCTTGATGCGACTTGCTAACTTAGCGCCTTGGTTACCTTCTGTAAACTCTCGATGTGGTGCAGGCCAAGTAGTGGGAGCTCTCATGTTGAACCCATATAAGAGCATAGAAGCACTCTGCCCAGTGGCATCGTTAGATATTGTTCTGATTGCCATCAACGCCGAGTTGACAAACTCGTCCCACCTGTCATGCGCTTCTCAATCTTGGGTAATCTTAGCTAGGGTTTGTACAAGAGTCTGATTCATGCGTTTGCATAACCCATTTGTCTGTGAACAATATGCAGTGGTAGTGATATGGCGGCACTATAGTTGCTTAAGAAATTTGTGGACAAAACCAGACCTGAAGTTGCTACCTTGGTCGGTAAGCATAAAGTTCAGGACACCGTATTGAATACAGATATGATTGTACATAAAATCGGCTGTAGACTCTGCTGTGATACTAGTAACAGGTGCTGCTATGGGCCATCTTGTTAAATAATTGATGGCTACCAGAATGTAGGAGAAACCATTCTTGGAAGTAGCTATGGGACCAATGGCATCGCAACTAATCATGAAGAAGGGTTGCATGGGAGTAGGAATAGGCGCAGCAGGTTCGCGGCAAATACATACATTACAGGCACAGACTTGACAGGTTAGACAGGTTTGGACTACTCGACAGACCAACTCGAACAATTGAGGCCCAGTGTATTGTACACGCAATCTCTTTCAGATATTATTCACTCCATAATGACCTTCCTCGTGGACTCTTACAATTACTTCCATAGCAATTCCCTCATGTAGTAACTCTTGGCCAAGCAGATCAGTTGTATCCTTTTGGAACAACTTCTTATTAAATGCCACATATTTATCCACTTGTCTTTGCACCTTTCTTTTCACAATATCTGTGGTTCCTGAAGGGAACACTCCATTCCAAGAGAGGTAATAAAAAATAGAATAGTATAAAGGAAAATCCATAATAGAATATGAGATAAGGAATAAACAATAAAACTTTTGAGACAACAAGTACTTTTAAAAAAAATATATTTGAATAATTGAGATTGAAGTAGTAAAGTACTATTATAACAAAAGTGGTTACAGACTCGCGAAATTTTAGGGGGGTTTTAAAAAATGGGGAAGTTGACGAAGTGAAGACGAAAGATGTGGTATAGGCTCTCCGAGCCGCGCTTTTATTTTTTGAAAATATATAAATTAATAAAGTTATCATTCCCCTTGTTCCTCATATCTTTCCATGCTAAGCTAGTCATATTTGTTGCTATTGATGTGATAATTGGGAAGGGAAAATGTCTGGTAAGTATATGGAAAATAATAAATAATAGCCAAAATGGTAATAATCTTGAGTACCAGCGGCGGGTAGCTACCACATCTTTCGTCTTCACTTCGTCAACTTCCCCATTATATGCCGTACCTAACACAATTGGTGTTGACTCCGTTACGACTACAGATGTGGTACTGTTCTCAGTACTAGGCACAAATATGGCTTCTGTAATCTGTGCTCCTCTGGAATGTTGTTCATTTGGCTTAAAGTAATATTGCTCAAATGTATTACTCGACGAACTCCAGTTGGCATGCCATTTGACTTCTTCTACTGGTATTCCTTGCAGTATTGCATGAGTACTTGCAGCTGATCTTGTGGAGTGTGCTGTATATTTCCTGGTATCAATCCCGGCTTCTTTTAAGATGTTGGTCACCCAGTTGGCTACTGTTGTCGGTTTTACGGGTGTCGGTTTATCCGAGTCAATATATCCCAAGAAAAGAGTGTGGTCTATTTCTAACTTCTCCCTAGTCATGGCCGTTCTTTTCACAAACCAATCCAAGGTCAAAACTGGGCAGATTTCTGGAGTGCGAATAGTTCCTAACTTTGAGGACTTGGCCTGACCCTCTTTTGGCTCCCGTGCAATCAACGTAACTCCTACTAGTTCTAGTTTTTCATTGTACTGTAGTTTGACGTCTCGAAACTGTAGGCGGCCCATATCCGATCTAGGTCGCCACATTGTCGCTAAACACAAAAGCATAATGGTCTTTTGTTGTAATTTTCCTAAAGGAAGATTCTCGCTTGGTCCCCAAGATTCCAATAACTGTAATACTGGTTGTACATCCCATGTTTCGTTGCTGATATTGGGTAATTTAAATGTTGTTCGTTTCTTTGCTTTGAAGAAGTTTTGGATCAGAGAATGATCTGCCAGTGGAATTTCGGTAGGATGTGTAATGCGATATACGGATCCCAAGGATGACCTTGCTACATTTAGTGTTTGGGGCAACTGATGTTTTATTGATAAAAGGTATCGTACTACTTGCATTGGTTGATATTCTTCTGGTATGACTTCTGGTGTTTGATGTGCACACCACTCAACCCATCTCTTCCATCCACTATCATATATTCTTTGTGTGCTACTTCTGGTGGACTGAGAAAGGAAATCAATAATCTCGTCATCTAATCCATCTATCTCTTGTTTCTTGCAGATAATATCCATGCGCTTAGAGACCATGTCCTGTTTATTGGAATGTACATCGGTGGAGCAATACTCATCTGTAGAAGCATCGGCCACCAAAATTGGGTAGGTCAATTTGGGGCCACTAGGATCGCTTTCTTCACCTTCTGTTCCTGAATTCGTTGCAATACTTTGGGAATCAACTTCCACGGTGGGTGTAAGTATAGTCCTACCCGTAACCAGTTTTGGTAGAATGCGTCTTGAGCTTCTGCTTCTGGGTCTGGAAATAGGCTCCAAAACCTTGGTAGCTTCGTGTTGTGCCGTGCTGCAAAAGCGTCTATCGTCATCTTCCACCTCAATTGTTGTTGAATCCGGTGGAACCATGTCCGTGGTAGACTCCACTCGTAAATCGGTGTGGCTTGTTGACTGAGACGATTGGCTATTACATTGTCTATCCCAGCTATGTGTTGGTACTGTACGGTGAGATTGTGGCTTTTGGATATCTGGTATATCTCCAGAGCCAGTTGCTGCAGTATCGCTGATGCGGTTCCTCCCGATTTGTAGGCATACTTCAGTGCTGTTGTGTTGTCCGAGTATATTATTATGCTGGAGTTTTTGGATTTTCTTGCATGCAGTTGTAGTGCAATCAAGATTGTCTTCAGCTCTCTGACATTGATCGAATCTTCTTTTTCGTCTCTTGTCCAATATCCGGCTGTTTGGATCATCTGGGATGAGACTCCCCAGCCCGAGTCGGATGCGTCGACATGTATTGTGAGTGTTGGTGGTGGTGGTATTGGTTTTCTGATTGGCAATCCGTTTGTGGCTTCTGCGTTTTTGACCCACCAGTTCAACTCCTTTTGTGCTTCCAAAGATAAAGGGCAGCTTGCTTCCCATCTTGTTGCTTTTGCTTGAAGTGCTTTTGATAAATCTCTCTGCATGTACCGGACGTGCAGCAGTGACTCCCCTATTGCCGGAATCATGGCCATCATTTTCCCTATCAAGCTGGCAATCCATCGGCACAATCTCACTTGTGTAAATGCCTGTTTGACTCAGGCGTTCAAGTTTATCATTTTCTTCTTTGGAACTTTGATGTCCATAGCCTTGGTGTTGAATTGAAAGCCTAGGAATTCCTGTTTGTACGAAGGTATTAATACACTCTTCTGCCAGTTGATCAGATATCTTAGAGATGTTAGATGCTGGAGTACTCGAGATGAGTGCTTCTCCATCTCCGACTTGGTTTTTGCTAAAATACAAATGTTGTCCAAGTAATATACCAGGCGTATTCCCTCCTTCCGAAGAGGTTCCATCACATATTGCATGAGCTTTGAGAATACTCTCGGGGCCACACTCATTCCAAATGGTAGAGATTTGTACTAGTAAACTATATTCTTGTGCTTAAACGTGAGGAATCGTCTGGATTCCTTGTGTATTAGTACAACAATGTATGCATCTGTTAGATCTATCTTGGTCATCAAGTCTCCTGGCTCTATTATGTCCCTCAGGGCAGGTACACCTTCCATCTTGAAGTGATAGCACTGGATAAACTGGTTGATCCTCTTGCAGTCCAGGATGGGTCTGCATTTGGTTGCTTCCCTGACAATAAAGAATTGGGATAGGTAATCCTCGTTCTGTGTTGGTGATATTTCTATCACATCAGAGATCTTGAATTTCTCTACCGCCAAATCTACTTCTTTCTGGTCTTTGGGTGGTAATGACAGTGTTTTGGTTTTCCAAGCAATGGGGGGCAATGTCCATTGTATTTGGTAACCTTGTTCCACTACCATTATTGGTCATTGTTGGTTGATGACATTCTTCCAGACGGATAGAAATCTGTTCAATCGTCCTCCTGGAGGAATTCCATCTGTTGGTATGTTGTAGTGTTGTTGTGCAACCGAGATTAAGTTTGACGGGTTTTGTGAGACTGATGCTGATGTGTTCTGATCCATTTCTGGCAAATTCATTGAATAATCTAGCTGTGATACTAGATGATCTTTCCCTATTGCTGGTTGAGAGAATTGTTGTTTGTTGATGGGCTCTGGTGAGTATTGAATCCTGTTGGATTCGATTTTCCTCTCCCAAAAAAAGGTTTTTGTGTGCAAGTGGACTGTTCTCTACTAAAGAAGTTGTCTCCACGGCCTCTTCCTCTGCCTCTATGACCTCCATTGGAGTATCCTCTGGTGGAATATCCTCCTCTCTTGTTACTGACAGCACTCTGGAGAACAGATTCTTCGTATCTTGCTTGTTGGATTTTCTCCACCCACTCCTGATCGAAGGCCATGTCTTTGTCGTTGTCATCTTCATCTTCGAGATATCTTGCTCTTGTGGGGAGCTTAATTGCTCGGATGCTGAGTTCTTTGGCATCTTCGTCCAGCGTTTTTCCACTTGCGAACGCATAGACAGCCAAATGCCTGACTTTTTCGATGAGTTCATCGAAATCGGCTGCGTCTTTGTTACTACTTTGTTGTGATTTAATATACTTGAGGTCGTTGAAGACTTCACTTGCTGCTCTTCCGGCAATTTGAAGTTTGTCGCCATCTTTGTATTTGCCTTGTACAATCTGATGGGCATCCACGGTGTATTTCTTGAGGTCAGGGACGAAAATCTGGTTGATCGCTCCTGACTTTGTCCATTTTCTACCCTCAAATTGGAGGGTGTCTTTTGTGAATCGAATAATGTTCGACTTGAGACCTTTCGCTGAAGGCTCGTCCAAATCTTTGAGGATTTCTTCTGGGAGGTTATCTCCGTTGTAATCTCGTTGTCTCTGTTGTGCCTGCTGTCCAAGCTTAATAAGCTCAAGGATTTGTTCGGGTGAAAGTTCATTGATATTCATTTAATCCACGGTGCGCGGCTTGGAAAGATATGAGGAACAAGGGGAATGATAACTTTATTAATTTATATATTTTCAAAAAATAAAAGTGTGGCTCGGAGAGCCTATACCACATCTGTAGTCATAACAGAGTCAGCACCAATTGTGTTAGGTACGACATACAATAATAATAATACTATCATAAGTAAAAAGAGATGTAAGATGGACAATTGTCGCAACTTGAAAAGAAATTCTTGGATAATGGGAAAGTGATTAGCAATAGGGAAAAAAGAAAAAGGAAGAATATGAAAAAAAATAAGTTAGCCACAACAACAAAAGGGAATCCAAAGATAGTCAACTCTCTGACAACAACTGAGACAGAGCATCTGCTGGATTATCCTTGCCAGGTTGATGCTGAATCACAAAATCGTATTCCATCAAGGTGGCAGACCAACGAGACAACTTTAGAGACGGCTTGGGGTTCTTTACGATGTAAACAAGAGCAGAATAATCAGTCCTCAATATGAACTTACGACCAGCCAAGTAGTGATGGAAACGAGACGTGCCCCAGATCAAGGCCAGTGCCTCTAGGTGTGTGACAGCATAGTTCTTCTCCGGACTATGAAGAGCTCGCAAACCATATGATATGACGGTCTTCTGATCTAGGGAATTCACTGGGGCTTGCAATAGTATGGCACTAAGTCCTTTAAGTGAAGCACCAGTGATTAAGATCTGGATCTTGACTTTGTCAAGAAAATCCAAGATTGGTGGAGTGATCAAGGCATATCGCAGTTTCTTGAAGGCCATCTGTTGTTCTTCTACCCAGATGAAGGGTTGGTCCTTCTTGAGTAGTCTAGTCAGTGGCTGCACTACTTTGGCATAATCGAGTACAAAACGACAATAGTATCTGGCCATTCCCAAAAAGGCGTGTACATCATTGGTGGACTTGAGAACAGTTAGAGCCAATAGTTTTTCAACATTTCGGTTGCAAGAGGAGAGACCACCACGAGAGACAGCATGGCCAAGATACTTGACTGAACTATGCGCGAAGAAACATTTGCTTTTCTTTAGACTGAGGTTGGCTTCTTGACACTTTGCTAAGACCAGAGCGAGGAGATAGACATGTTTGGCCAAGGAAGCAGAAAAAATAATTGTATTGTTAATAAATATGTATGCGAATTTCCCAATGTAATCGCCCAGAATCATGTACATAGTTCTTTGAAAGGTTGACGGGGCAGAGGTGAGAACAAATGGTATCATGGTGAACTCATATGTTCCTTGTTGGGTTACAAAACCAGTACACTTGATTGATTCAGGAGAAATAGAAACTTGGCAGTAACTGCTAGCTGCGTCTAAGATAGAAAAGTAAGCTGCTTTACCCAAAGAATCCAACAGGTCATCAATGTGGGGTAATGGAAAGGAATCCTTAATAGTAATCTGGTTAAGCTTTCAGTAGTCCACGACCAATCTCAGGGCGCCATCCCTCTTAGGGACGAAGAAAACCAGGGACGTCCAGAGGTCACGCAAAGGATGGATTAGTCCCAAGGACAACAAATGACCGAGTTCCTTCTTTAAGGAGAGGTCTTCTTCCCAGATCAAACGGTAAGGGCGAGAACGAATTGGTACAATACTAGTAGTGGGGATCTCATGCTCTAAGAGATTAACGCGGTCCAGACCAGAAACCTCTGCAAAAACATCGTGGTTGTCAGCTAGTAGCTTGCGCACTTCCTCCAGAACCTCATGCGTCTCATCATCCAAAGAGCCTTCTGAGAGTACCTCTTCACCATAACTCAATAATCCTTCACCTTTTGTCACACTCTCTTCTTCACCGACAATCTACTTTCGGATGCTAATCGAGAAGACAGGGACTGCAGAATGATCCTTTTCCTGAGTATTCCCTTGTAGCTCTATGTACCCAGCTCTGTGTTTGGTAGAAATAATGATAGTAGCATCTTACAGACTTAATTGGATGCCATAAGACCTGAACCAGGTCATTCCTAACAGACAGAGATCATGGTGAGTGTTACTATTCTTTATACACATAGTGTTCGGTCTTAACTTCCCAGCTACTTGGATTGAGACATTTACTGTGATTTCGCAGGGCTCATGGGCTTCACCATCCAAACTTGAAAGGGGAAGGCATTTGGAAGAAGTTGAAGCTTGTCTGCTAAGGTCTTACTTATTACTGATACACTGGCCCCTGAATCGAAGATGGCCAGGATGAGGTGGCCGTTGATGAGAATGGGAGCTTGCAGGGGTTGGCTTGTGGAGATTTTTTTGTAATCGTATTTATTGTCATATACAGTATCATCACTTCCATAGCCTTCGCTCTCTGTGTCTGAGCCTCTTTCGCCTTCATCTGATTTGAAGTAACTGGATTCTGTACCCTTGAAAGACTCGCTATCACTTTTGCTTGTTTCTTCTTCCACCCTTACTAAATTGATATTTACTGGTACTTTTTTCTTTCTACCGAATATAAATCTGAGGCCATCTTTGATGTCTTGTGCGGCTAGTTTGTCCATTGCCAGCCAATCTGCCATGGATAATCCTGAATCTAGTGTCTGTAAGCGGTCCCAGATCGTTTTCTTACGCAACTGTACTGGTAGATAACGTGGGGGCCGACATGTTTTCTTTGCTACAGGAGGGGCAGTGTCAACCATCATTGGGGTTGGAACTTGATTGCCAGTGGTAGGGATTGGGGAAACCCGTTGTGAGGTTCTTTGATCTGGCAGCAGCCACTAGATAAATTGATTGTCTACTTGCTTTCCTTTATGCTTGGCCGATGGTCCTGCTTGACTTATTGATGCATCAGTTCTCGATTGCTTCTCTACAGTGTACATTGCCGCCGACTCCATTAAATTGACTCTAGCCTTGTTGGCCTTACTCTCCCCCATACGCCCTTTGGACATCATTTTGGAATCACCCACCAATCGTCCTTTGGACATCACTCCTGAATTTTTCTCTTTGTTCTCAGCATAATTGTTTCATACATCTTGGAAGGATTTGAAACCAACGTCAGTGTTCCCACTTACTGACGCCCACTGTCTTTTTCTGAAGACTCTTGTTGATTGGCCTTTGGATAATCCGGACGTTTGTGACCTTCTTCACCACAGCCAAAGCAAGTCATCACCCGTTGCTGGAATTGAGGTTTGGTGTCGACCAAATGAATCTTGAGGGCCTTGAATTCTTTGGCGAGTTCTGACAGAGCTCCATGAATTGAACTGTTGGAATTGGACTGAGAAGGACTGTACCGCAATTGTAGTGTTGTAAACTCGAACTCTGTGGATTTGTCATACTTCTCTTCGATAAATTCAAACTTGCGGGTCATGACAATCAGGTCTTCCCATTTGGAAGGGGTGCCTCACTTTTCGATTTCATATGCAGTATCTTTATGTATGGTTCTTAGTAGTATCCTGATTCTTTGAGGTTTGCTGTCTAGACCGACAAAGCTGAATAACTTCTGTAGACGAAACGCAACATCATTGATTGATTGAAAGGACTTTGTTGTATGCCTTCGAGTTCTTGCCACCAGACATCTTCCAGATGTTTGGCAATGAATTGCTTCTTGAATGCTTCGTTAAAAGCGGACCAGGTGGTGATTTGGGATTCATTGACTAGTCACCAACGACCAGCAGATTTCTTCAGGTGAGTTGCAGTTACGAGTAGAATTTCTTCATCGTTCAGGCCAATTGCTCTGTGGATATGGCTGATGTGTGTTAACTAAGCAGTTGTATCAGTTTCGGGACCACCGGTGAAGGACTCAGGGGTAGCAAGGAACTTGGTGATCTGGGATCGGTTTGCGGATGTTGTAGTAGACATAGTAGGAAGCACACACAGTAGTTGTTGTAATAGTAATAAGATAAAGATGATATCCTTGGCACGACCTCCACTTTGACGCATGTGTGTGTTGGTTGTGTTGTGCAAGTTAACCAACGGTCAAAGAAACAAATAACTTCAGTAAATAATAACTAACAACGATCTTAACCCCAAAATACTGGTATTAATCGTCTGTTTATATTACCAACTTAAGTCTTTCAAGACAAATTAGATCCCAGATATGGATAATTTTTTATTAAGTGGAAAAACTGATTGCTTTTATAGACAATCTTGTAACAAAAATATTTCGAAGGAGGACGGTTTTTTAAAGGAAGAAGAAAACAAAAGGGTAGAATGCGTCATTGTTGAAAGAGTGAGACTAGTAATATGGTAAACGAGAGTATAGTAAAATGAAGATAATAAAGTGAGAAACGATGGGTAGAAGTTGAAATGAGTTATCCAGCGAATGATAAAAGAGGAAATGTAAAGAAGATGCTGTCATATTTGAAATCAGCATAGGAAAGAGGTGAGAGCAGTAAAGGTGATAATAGTAAAGTAGGGTAATTTGGAGAAGAGTACAAGAAATGATAGAACGAGGTAAAAAATTGAAAACGGTCTTTGGTACACAGGTACAAGAGACGAATTGGGCATTTTCTTACGGACACGCCGTTTCCCTTGTTCCTTGGCTCAGTCGGTAATTGCACCACAACCGTGTCACTCTTACATATACCGCTGTGGATGCTCTTAGTCTCCACATTGGCCTTCAAATTATTGAGTGACCACTATACTTATAGTGAGATAAAAAGAAAGTGAAAATTGCGCAAGTAAAAATTGATCGTATTATCTGATTCAGTTAAAAAGGGTTATCTCAATTTCATATTGACAAATTCTTGTATATGGGTTTGTATATGTATATATCAAAATATATGATCACAAAAGAAAATGGAAAACACTAATCTTGGAATATGAAATATATGTAATGATCTAGATTCTAAGTCTGTAGCAGTTTATTTCATTCTTTCCTTTTATTTTTGTTCAGGAATATAGCTATATGTGGAACAATTCAATTTTGTTTATGGTATTTTCATTGAAGAAGATATTTTGTAATATTATGGTTGATAATCACTCGAAAACATTTTCCGAACAACACTATCTGTACAGCCATAATCTGTTTGCATAGCCGTTTGATTCGACTAAAGATACAACTATATTTTCAGACATTACAAGAGACTTTTGCAATATCCGTATACATACAGCCAAAACCTTCTCTATAATCACCGATTCATAATTTGGTTTGTTTACTACTCCAACTGTCTATATCAAGTTCACTGAGTTTGCGTCTTGTTATAACTTGTCCTTTAATGCCAGTTATTCTTCTTCGCCGGGGATTCCGTCGGTTTTCTTGCATATATTGTGTTCGAGAGTTTTCACCCTCTTCTTCTATCTTTTTCATTTCTGCTTGTGTAGCCTGTTGCCCATTACGCGGTTCATTTTTTGTACACTCTTTTCGTACATTTTCGTAGATCTCTTCGCATTGCCTAGCCTTAGTATCTTCTACTTCTACTAATGCCATCTGTTGACGTTTGCGTCGATATTCTCTCATGTAGAACTTTCGTGACGTTTTTGTGGTCTCAATACGTTGCCTCGCTTCCTCCTCTCTTGCTTTTAATAGTGCCGCCTGTCGACGTTTGCGTCGATATTCTCTCATATAGAGTTTTCGTGAAGCTTTAGTGGGTTCTTCTTGTTCGCCAACTTCGACTTCCACTTTGGCTTCAGCTTCAGCTTCTTCTTTATTGTTATCTTTAGCTCCTTCTACATTTACTTGTTCAGTCCGGTGACATTTATGCTGAGGAACTTCAATACAATTCTCTTGCACATTCTGATTTGATTTCGAATCGTCATTTTTTTTTGTCTTTTCTACTTCTAATTTTAATTGAATAGCCTCTCGATGCTTACGCCGATATTCTCTCATGTAATCTCTTCGTGCAAATTTGGTAGCCTCCTCTCGTTTTTTAGCCTGACGTTCTTCTAATTCTACTCGCGCAGTATGTCGACGATTGCGTTGGTACTCTCTCATGTACCGTCTTCTCCTCTCAATTCTTTCTTCAGGAGTAATGTTCAATTTTGGCATAATGTAATAAGAATAAAACGTAAAATATAAAATAAAAAGTAATAAATAAATAAGCAGATAGGCAGACAGATAAATAAATAAATAAACTGGAATAAAATAAAATAAAAAGGCCAGAATAAAATGCGTATGGATTTGAATGCTGAGTAAGCTGCAAACAAAAGTCACAGTTAAAAAGCCTATTTTTTCTATGCTTAAAAATATCTTTACAAAGACCATAGCCTAACAGAAAAGAAAAGAAAACACAAAGAAAAAACAGCCGTAGAATCTAAGTATAAGACATGATAGACGTTCTAAATTACAAGAGCCAAAAGATGTAATAAAACATGGTGTGAACAGACCGAAAGTTCAAGAAAAGATAGAAAAAGGCTAAAGATGTAAGTCGTATTATCGGATGAGTGTTAAAACATTTTACCCTTTTTCGCCACTTTTTAATTTTTTTTGTAGGTTTATCACTCCCCACATTTTTAGCTGCTGCCAAGAAGGCGACCGGCAAGAAACCCAACCACCCCTAGCTCAACACTTCCCAAGCCTCCCACGCCCTGTAACCAGAAAGTGGGCCATCTGCTCATGGATTTGTATATCTGCCCTGACACCACCACCTCAAGTACTTCCAAGTACGGAAGCTCTTGAGAACACCCAAAATCCAACAGGTACGTGTTTCAGACAGTGTGTTCCTGGAACGTGACACTCCCTCCCTCCCTGTGCACAACTATTTCAAGGACAAAATCATTCAGCTCTTCGCAGACATTGGTGTATATGGGAAGGCAGATTTTGATCCTTTGGACCATCAGATCATTGCTGAACTGGCACATGCCCACAAACTCGAACATGAATACCAACAGTTTAAATAAAAGCTACACCGCCAATGTCTCCTCGCCTTCTGCCTTCCCCTCTCTCCCGTCTGCCTTGAGAAATATTTGGAAGACCGAAACCTTTCGCCTGGCCTTCCAGGGAGTGCCAGTGTCACTGCTATAGTGATAGAATAAATAAGCTTGCTTATTGATTCCTCACCTTGTTTTGTCTTCTCCCAGCTTAGTCTTTCTTATTTTAAGTCGCCTTATTTTTTCTCCCCCCACTAAGTGAGTTTTATCAGTCACGTTTCTGTTTTTTTTCTCTTATTCCTTCTGTCGCAGTTCTCTTGGGTCTCATATATACCAAAGTGTGCAAAACCTAGAAAAACCCAAAATAGAAATATTTTCACCTTTATAGATAGTGTCGTTAATGGTCTTCTCCTGCATAAGGTGCTCGCCACCACCTGTAAATATATCGATATCGAAAATTGAATGTCATCTCAAATATCCCAAAAGGATTATAACCTGCTTTTTATTCTTGTCTCGTTTTGGAAGAGTAAATAGAAATACTAAAATAACTAATTTTTCTCCTAGTAATCTTTTTTTTTTAAATATCAAACCCAAAAAAAGAGTGGTGGTAGTTTAGATTTCCTTTTTTTGACCCTGATTATTTTGAGTAGATGTATTTTGTAACTTCAAAATCGTCGATATCCCTTTCCTTTTTGAAATTTTGTTCCCTTTTGGGATCCTGATTATTTTGAGGGGTTTTATAGATTGGGAACAAAAAACAGTAGGCGTTCTCATAGTTGTGGTCGACCGATTTTTAACGGTCGACCGCCTTAATTTTCTTTACTGTTTATAGTAGCTTCTGAAATTGAAAACAAGAGTCACTCGAGGTTAGTTTCACATAATATTTGTATTTTACTAAAATACCCCCTAATAAACTTTTATTTTTCTATCTATTTACAAACATGAATAACAGTAATAATAGTCAGTTCAAAGGCTTCAAAAAATGAACTTTACTGATTTTTTAATAACAACCTTTTCTTTATCAGAGATGCCTAAAAAATAAGAGCAATATGCAGATGATGTAAATAATTAAGTGCTTTAAGACTTCAGCAAAAAAGTAGACAAAGACTCGTCAGCTTAAAAAGATGTCGTCGATTAAATATTCTATAAAAGGAGCGATTTTTAGTGCATCCCCTGTCTTTTGCTGGGGATGCACTTAAATTTGTTGCCCATTTTTGGAATAATTTTTTTGCCTAAAATTGGGAAAAAAAATCGGTCGACCGCAACTATGTGAACGCCCAGTGCTTAAATCTTCAAAATTGAAAAATTTCCGGGTGGTGGCGAGCACCTATTCTTAAATAATTTGCCCCGTATGCTGGAGAAGACCATTTATAATATGCTACTTGTACAGGGCATTTTAGCTGTAGCTTCTGGCTCTTACGTTTTTGGACAGTTGACTGTTTTCTGAGTTAAATTTCGATCTCTAGATTGAAAAATTATTCTACTTGGGATGAATTTGCTTCGTATGCTGGGGAACACCATTAGTCGGTCCACACCAAATATATATATAATTTCAAAAAAAGGATATTTTGATATATTTTAATTACTTTTTTTTTAAGAAAAATAGAAAAGTATCAGTTTAATATTCAAGGCTACATCATATATAGATGCCATGGAATCTATGAAAATAAAGAAGGCTGCCATTGGAAGTAGGAATGATTCTCTTTTGAAAATACGATTTCCAGGTTTAAGAGCATCCAAGATTTCCGCCGTTGTCTTAAAGTTTCATACCCACTGTCGGAAATAATAGTAATAGTAATAACAAGAGAATGTAGACTTTGTTCTTTTTTTTGGCTGCTAAGAGTGATTGTATTGAAGTAGTCATTTGTCTTAATTGCCAAGTTCATTATCACCTTGAATACATGCGAAGTTGCTTGTCATTAAACATAAGGTAATGATTGTCTCGAATATTTCGTTATGTTTTTTATATAAATAAATAGAGAAATAGCGAGAGATCCAGAGGATGAGGCTTGATGGCTAATTTCTTATTTCGGTTGATATGATGAAAAACAGCAAGAAATCGGTTTTGGTCATATCAGTATAATTCAATTGTCAAAAACACCGATAAAGGATTGAGAGTAAACAAAAGAATTTGACCAACGATAAAAACAACAAAAGGCAATAAGCACGTTTTTGTGGAAACAAAGGTAAAGAAGTAACAGCAACGATGATAAGAATGATAAGGATGATAAGTATAATAAATGCCAGGACAATAGAATGGTGTTGCGGATCTTGTTTCTCTAATGGAAAGGACTCCTTAACCCTATTTGTAGTGATTTTTTTGTAGTATTTATTGAATGAAACATCAACCCGAAGGCGAGAAAGTTAAGAAGTCAAGTAGTGCTTATAATATGTTCTTCTAATTCTAGTCCTCTAGTGTGCAAAACTGCAATAGCAGCAACTCGGCTGTTGACAAATGGGACGTCGTTGAATATATATTGGAAGTGAGCTTCCCCAAATTGCACCGAGAGTGCATCCCAGAACAATATGTGAGGATACAGTGGTATTGCAGACCTTAACCGACTGCAGGGAAGAGCGGAGAAGAAGGTGGTTAAATGTGAAGATGACAGGAGTGTCCAGGAACCGAGTTGTAGCTTGGTGTCATATTGACCTTTTATGCTAGCAAGCCCAGAAGAGGTATGGGTCATCTACCTAGGCAACATTAAGATTGAATAGCTGTTGTCGGCTCGGGACTTTGTTATGCATCAATCGCCACCAAATGGTATATATCTTTAGAGGGAGATTCGACTGCCAAAATCGACGCCAACGTGCAGGTTAAGCTTGTGGGAAAGGAGGTGGTACTTGTGCAAGGGGCGGTCGTACATATGCACGGATCACTTTAGCAGAGAGGTTGTGAAGTTGGGGGACGTCACCTATCCCTGATGAAAGGAAATTTTGGAGGTGGCGAGGTGAAGTCGGAAAGAAAGAGGCCATTCTTGAATTACTATCCCGCGGTGGAGAGACTGTGAGCAGCGAGAACCACTCAGGCAAGTAGAGTTCTCTGTGATCCAGAAGGTTAAATAGCGTGGAAATGGTGGGCCTCGCTCGTCTTTACTTATTAGTATGACGCCGGCGTATACACCCAATGGTGTAATAATAAGAGAAGGCATCGTTTACGCGCAGTTTACCACATGAGACATATATCGGGAGAGGGTAGGAGGGGTCGAAAACGGCGCTGAGTGGCAGCTCCTGTGCGGTGGCGCGGTTAATGGTTGACCATTCAAGAGAGAGTTGCAAAATTTTCATAGCCCGAAAAAAAGTAGGAAATATACTAAAGGAATTGATGCGTGATGACCGCAGCTCAGGAAAAACTACGGGGAGGAGTGGGTCGCTCGTGTCATAGTACTGTCGAAGAAGATATGAAAGGATTGGTCCAGCAAATTCCAGAGGGGTGGCTTGGTCGAGTAATGGAAGGATCCATCGAGTTTGTAACAAATAGTACTGTGTCTGTGGGTTGAGGACCCCAAAGCCACCTTCTCGTATCGGACGAGTACACGAGCCAAAACGAACAAATAGATATCGTCCGTGCGCAAAGAATCTGATCACCTCTGAACGTATTCTGCCTATGTCTGCGGTAATAATTGGAAGAATGCGGATCACATGCAGTGTTGTTGTTTTTTTATGTAGGAGCACACTACAGTAAAAAAAGGGCGATTTTAATGAGTTTTGTGCAAGATTTTCAGTGGCTAAAGTGTGTTCTATAGGGGACTTTTAATTAAGCACTGAATTTTCTCCCCTTTTTTACAATTATCGTAGTTCAAAAATAATGCCATGTTTTAAAGTATCCTACTTTTGCCTCATGATGTTTTAACAATCAAAATAAAACACCTTTCCCTACTTTTCAACTGAGTACAAAAATAAAGATAATAAAATTATTCAAAGAATGTAATAGTTTATATATTGGTTTCCTCAGGGATCCATGGTGATATTAGGGTACAATTTTTTTCTTTGAATTTTTGTCAGTATTTGTTTCACACGACGACCCTCCTGGAAATGTTCTTCTGCCTACCTTCTAGTACGTCCAATTTTAATAATTTCGGCGAGTCTTTCAGGTATTCTAACAGTATGACTTAAATGGTTAAGTATATGCCGGAAGTTCAAGGCAACAGCAAGATCTTGACTCCACAAACGATACTTAACCTGTGACAGATCCATATTCTCCGAACAGTTTAGATTGGTGCAGCTAAAAGAACATAAGAATAATGAACATAAAAATGGAGCACCTGTAATATTTATCTTAGGAGACTATGGTGTGTCGCAGCTGGCATTCGAGTGCGACGATATGGTTGAGGGTTAAGGGCTTGCCTGAAGGTTAGAAGTGATGGTTGGCGGCACAAAGGACATTGTTTAGAGGTATTATACTCATCGATCAACCAAACAGAAAATTCATGTTTGAGTAAAAGGAATTGAGGGTTGAGGAGTTTGCTGCTTTGACTGAAGTATGAAAAGTAAAGTCGGCGATGTTATTGGCTCGTCCCGATGTGTGGGGTGTTTCCACCGTAGACTCCTCGTGCATGCTGTATAAAATATCTCTTTTTCCAGGATCGATAAAGACATAACGTCCACGGACTTTTTCCTGCTATTCTGGGGACAGGGCATGAATTTAGGAAATACTTTCAGTGTCAATTGTGCTAGACCTTCTGATATTTGGCTATTTGGTAGTGTCTTGGGCCTGCTTCAGAGTGGAAATACCAACACCATCAATCTGGATTGCTCCTCTGAATTTTATCGTACCATTCTGTTGTTCAAAGAAATTCTTGCTGTCCAAACCTAACACTTTTCCCCACAGCTCTAGTTTGTTCATTGATATTCTCAAAGTTACTCTCAGGACTTTCTGGCACAGTATTTTAGTGTTAATTTGCATGTAGCATGGTGATTAGGATTGACGAAGAGGGAGAAGGTCGGAGGATCTATGTCCAAGATGTTCAAGGAACTGGGCAATATGCAAGAATTTGAGGAAGTGATCGGGAAAAGATTCTTTGAGTCATAGTAAATAAAGTCCTGTTTGAGCCCATATATTTTCGGATAGGCTGTCAAGATGGGAGAAACTGCCATGAAGACATTTCTGTATCTCTCTTCGGTGAAGATATCTTCAATTTGGTGACTTGACACCCCTTCTTTAAACATCCTAGCAGGTTCGAAGATATGCTCTGTTAATATTTTTTTCATTCGTTCCTCGGTTGCTCCTCGTCTACGCAAGTGTTGGATAAGCTCTCGCTGTCTTATTTTTATATCGAGCAAGATATTGATCACTCAGCAGAGATGCTGGCCAAACCTCGGCTTGACATTGACTATGTAGGCAGTGTTGATTTTTGTAGCCTAGTACATATCAATTTGGTGGGTGTTTAGGAGGGAGATGTGGGTGTAGGAGCTGTTATTAATATAGGTGTTGATGTGGCGGGAAATGAGCTCGCGGTTCTACCTTATTCTTTCTATTATTCCGGAGGAGTCAGTGTTACGGTCGACGAACGAAAGAAACACCTTGGCAAAAAATGGTTGATTACTACATCCATTTAGGCCAAAAAATGGGTCGCGCGCCAGCTCGGTAAGGAATATGTAGGGGACTATTATGTAGACCTTAATAACAAGGCCTTGTAGGGGTCTAAGGAGCTCAGGATTCCATTCAGTTGTCTTTATTAATGCCTTGATAGTGAGGACTAGGAATGGGGTAGCTTCGTCCATTATCTTCTAATCCACAGTGGACTAGAGATATGAGGTTTGGACAGTTCTTTTGAAAGTGCCAATTGGAAGGGATGGTATACTTACAAGAGTATAGGATAAATGTGTGTAGAGTTTAAAATTCTTGCCTGCCAATCGTGTTGTCTTTTATGATAGGAATAAAGTAACAATAATGAAAAAGACATTAAAGGTAATAACCAATTTAAAGGTTAATAATGAATTTCTGCTTGTAAATATAAAAAGGTAAGCGTGTTACTGTTACTCAAGCTATATCGAGTGTTTTGTATCCTAGGTATCACTCACAAGTAAAAAAAAAATCATTATGATTGAATAGTTATATTATTCCAAGACGTGTAAATATGGCCTACAGATCACTTTTATTTTTAATCCGAACTTTAAAAAGTCTTTGCCACCAAAGAGTAATGACTGTCATTGCTCTTTAATCCAATATTCTTTTAGTATTATTATTCTGTAAGCATACGATCGTAGATGAAAGTTGAGCTGCCCCCTTTCAAAAAACGACTTGATATAAGATATCGTACCTTCTCAAAGGTTTGACCAATTGACCACCCTCAAACAAATAAATACTTATATTTAGATAATGTAAAAAAGAACCATGATTGGGAACAAGAGTATTATGGCTCATTCGGACATCTACAATTTGGAGTACTAACAATAGGACGAAGGGTTTATAACTGCACCCAGATCAGCTTATTCTATCTCTCTAGGTACAGATAAAATAAAACTTCGATCTATCCCACCTTTTTTAGAATATTGTGATTACAAGTTATGATTTCTTGTACTAGCATAGTATCTTTTTTTTATATATATTCAAAAGATTAAAACACCAAAAACCAAAAACAGACTGTGAAATCTTTATCCACTTTTGCAGTAATAGAGCCTCGCTGTTCCTTTAAAAAAATGGATAGATGGGCGGTATATTGATATCGTCTGTCTGTCTCTCTCTCTTTAGAATAGCAGCAACTAATAAAATCTTTAAAATTGAAACATATTATTAAGTCTTCTCCTTAATACAGTATAATCACTTAAAGACTAAAAATTATCCATGTCAGTCAACATCAACACTTTTATTGTTTCTGTGCCTACCTAGTCAGAACAAAATTTAAGCATTCAAATATGAGGCTGATGATAGGACTTCAGACACTCTTCTCAATAAGTCAAAGTCTTTTTACTTTCTCACATAAAGCAATACCCTACACTAGGACTTGCTAGATTGTGTAAGCATAAACTTTTCTTTACACTTACGGTTGACTATAGATACGAAAAGTCTTAAATTCATCATAAGTGATTACTAGTAAGACCAATTCAGTACAGTAGGCAAGGACCTTGTTTCTTTTGGTTTCAGATCCCTAATTGGAATAAAACTAATATTTTTTGACAACAGTACAAACCTGAGTTTCTACACTGACACAAAGCAATGTTTTGGCCCCCCGAGAATAAGTTCCTCATACAAGAAAAAAATTAGCCTATATTCAATATGAAACTTAGCGTCAATGGCTATTACTAGGGGCTTTAGACTTGGAATATATAAACATATCAATGCTTGCTATTTTAGTGTCAATTGCTGTATGCTATCTTGGTGAAATACTCCCCTTTAAACGCAAAGCAAATTCGAGACCTATACTCTTGCACTCTCGTTGGGCTACAAGCTCAAAACCACTCACACTTTGTATATCGGTCCCTTTTTTACTCAAGCCGGCTTCAAGAGCCTATCCAACATATTTTAATAGAGTTGATATATGGATTTTGAGCAGTCCAGCACTTAAAATCTTTGATATTATGACTATAATTCCACCACTTTGTATAGGCGCCATTATAACAGCTGTATGACACAGACTTTTTTAAATCGTAGGTGTTTTTTGATTTTGCTGCGTCGGATTTTGTTTGATCCATGACAAGATGTTTAGTGCCAAAGTATCAACATATACGTTCTGCTTTAAGCTGTCTTCAAGAAACGCCAAGGGCCCAAAACTACCAGCTCTGAAACAGCTCCACTACCAAGAAAAGATGGAGGAGTAAGACTTTGTGTGGTGTTTTATGCGAAGAATTTGAGCCATGCTGTCCTTTCTGTTTCTGACAGCTTGTAATATTCCGAGTTTAAATTAACAGTTAAATTGGCTGTGAGACTAGCCAACCAATATCAGTGCAGAAATAAAAACCATTTTTTTTATTTGGGTTTACAAGGAAAAGAAACACACCTTGGTAGGGAATAGCACAATAATAGAGCTAGCGAAGTGAAAAGAGGCAGTCGTGTATGCTGCTTCCATCATACTGTAAGAGAAAAACCAATACGTAAGTAATATTCCCTGGTTTTGAGCAGCTTATCCTTTTTTTTTTGCCTTATAATGTTGTTACTTAACTGTCTTTGTCTAAGTCAAGGTCAAAGTAGTCTATTTTTCTGCCAGTAATTGGATCGCCCCCCCCCCCCCCCCCCCCCCCCTCTCTCTCTCTAACTCTCTTATTTTTTTTTATTAAATACAACACGAGTTGTAGTTGATCGCTTTCTGTTTCGCATTCTTCAAGAAGTATTTGTCTTGAGGCTGGGCTGTTGTAGTTTTACAGCTAGTAAAAAAAATCTAGAAAAAGTCTTAGTTTACTTACATTCGATATTTATTTCACGGGAATAAATTTTTCGTAATGTTTATTGGAAGTAATGTTATAAAGGTGAAGAATCTAGAAAATAACTAGAGCTGGTTTAGATTCAGATTCAAGTCTTCTGATGTGCAAGGCAGATGGATCTGCTATGCGAATGAGGACAAACGCCACATCATCAAAAACAAATTGGAAAGGAGCGCCCCATTTGGCATTTGGTGTGTAACCAATAATTATAGTAATATCTATCGGGAAGTTAGTTACAACGATTGAGCACGGAGGGAATTGCTGATGCAAATGAGCAAATGTCAAGAAAGTCGGGTGCATTAAGAAATCGAAAACAAATTCGACTTCAAATTTGTGTTTTGAGAGGGCAGGTCCGAGAGAGTGATCATTCTTTAAAACTCCACATGGAGCACAGTTGTGGTAGCTAATTCCTACAATACCATGGTAGAGCAACTGTTGTCTGCATGGTACTTTGCGGTACATTAGCCTCCACCAGATGATGTAGTTGCACAGAAAGAAAAGATAAAAAAACAGGATTTAAAAAGTTACCAAAAGTGTTTGTGCAAAAACTAACTTCGCAAACGCAATTTTATACACCTACTGACATTTCTTTCATTTATGGTAACTTCTAACAGTACAGCTGTTTATATTGGTTTAGAGTTCCAATTTTAAGTTGAACCTGTTAAGGCTCAGATTTGGGTGTACGAATTTGATATAAATGAGCCAAAAGTGGATTAGTGTAATGTTTTAAGTGTCATGATAAAATTTTAGATGGTACAAAAATCTGAAATGGGGGGAGAAGCGAAGAGAGCTGGAAAAGAAGAGATTTTATTGGACGAACCCCATTGGGAAAAATACTTTTTTTTTTTGTTAAGTCATTTTTTTTAATAGATTTTTGCAATGTTCATCAACATCCACCAGAACATGCCGAATTTTGCAACGTTGAGGAACTTTTGGTTATTGGAAGACCCGACGGACAAGTGAATATCAACAGCCTGAACGATGTTGATGACATCTTTGTTGACTTCAACCAGGCCTCCAAGGGGCAGAACCACAATGTTGTTGTAATTGTCCGTTACCACGGCTGGGGTATAGATGCAATTTACATTGCTGTTCGGAACAATTTGGTACTTTTGCATAAAGAACGCCTTCCTCATTCTGTCTGCAGAGTCTCTTGCTTGAACGATCTTTACCTGACCAAGGAATAATTGACCATTTGATTGAAAAACACCTGCAAGTGTATCGCACAAAGTGGGAGTCGACAACCCGGAATTGTCACTGTTGACACGAGAACCAAAGAAATGGAGATTAAAGCCTGGGAAATTGACAGGGGCCAGCTTGACAAAATCACCAATTGAACTTCTCACAGATCTTGTTCCATTACCAGCTGGTTTCTCTACGACATACGATCCTCCATTACAAAGATGCCGACAGATGAATTGCTTGCCGAATCTTGTAGCGACGTCTCGAGAGGTGGAATGGCGGTTGGTCTTGAATAAATGTTCGCGGATGAACTTATTGAACTGTTCACCGTTTTCAGTTTCGTATTGCAGCACGGAACCGAAACGAACAATGTCGTCAGTGATATGATGCAGAAGGTGGACCTTTGGCTTGAACGTGAAGTCTTGCTTAGAAAATCCTTTTTGGAGAATCTGGACATCCAGTTGAAAAAGCAGATCCGTTACATCAGTGACAGCGTGTTTTATCTGGGCAATATAGTAGTCGAGGCACCGGTCGACTCCACGCATGTACACCAAAGACGACAGGCGGCCTAATGCATGCAAGGCTTTAATGAACAAACTTGCCGATGGTTTGTCACTAAAGAGCTTGCTCATAATTCCAGGCAGGACTTGAATCAATTCCTTGAAATCGCGTCCAACGAACGAACCAGTGTGGCGAAGCTTGTTCCTGAATGTTCGGCTGTAACTCTTACAAGACTTGTAAGAGTTTAGAGCTTCCTGGAGTCTCCCCTTTTCACTTGTAGTCAGCATCTTCTGTTTCCAGAGAAAAGTCATCAAGTATTTCGTCAGGCCAAGAGGAATAATGTGGAGAATTTCGACAGGCATGTCTTTGGTAGGGTCAAAGGCTTCGAGTCTAAGAAATTCCTCACTTCCATTCTTGATATAACTCAATTCGCACCCATTGAGATATAGCTCTGACTGGGAATCGGCATTGGCAAAGGCGCACAAGAAATCCCTCGTTCTTTCTTCTGACCCATGGTGGTCAACTGGAGAATACGGCGGAGCGTCAGGGATGGAACCCTGTTCAATACGAGGCGAAGGTATGAGGCATTTTCGGCAAAACTTCTTGGCAGATGTTCCCTTATGCATGGCAAGCTGAGATTGACGAGGGTTGTCACCCATAAAGAGCAACAGGGGCGCAACGACAAGAACTACTTCACCATAATCCTCAGAATACATCTCAATACCTTTCTCCAGCCTAACGAGGTCATCGACGATAGGGGGCAACATCTCAACGGCATTCAGTGTATGATTCGAGGTACAAATGAAAAGAGCATTTTCTCGTTTGTTTCTCGTCTCAAGTGGCAACGCAGCAAAGTACATTAAGTAACTGTCATACTTGTTGTACTGCTTTGTTGAATTACCGGAGGTATCGTCGGGATAGAGATTAAGTGGGCAGACAACCACTTTCATCAAACCAGAGCCTGGAAGTCTTCTCTTGAATTCTTCAACACGGGATTTGTTGAGCCACAAGTCAGATTGAACACCAGTAAGAGCATAGGTGACAATTTCGGCAGGGCAATAAGAAACAGAGAAACCACGTCCGAGGAAAAGATCGCTGTCTTTTTGAACAGTAGACATAATCCTATCAACTTCAATGGTATACTTCAGGGTAGAGACAGCAAAGTTCGTAGAGTTTCCAAACCGCAGGAAGTGAGTATCATCAGGATGGTTCAGCCGAGGATCGTGGCCACCATAAACCTGGAACGCATTGGCAAGTATGGATCCGTCCTTGGTGAAGAACTTCTCAAGGAGATACCGGTTCGGGGAGCCTTGGACTTCGACAACATCACCCACCCAGTAGTCCATTCCGTTTGAAGTGATCATCGGGTGCTGGAGCAATGGGTTCTCCTTCCACTTTTCGCCTTGGTTGAGATTCAACCGCTGGTTTTCCGTGAAGTCAGGAAGGGCCGAGATTTGAGATGATTTTCCGGGACATGTCATGGTAAACTTGATGTAATCGGACGGTTTGTTCATCCAAAGTACATGTCGTTCATTGTCTTGGTTCACAACATCGAAACTGGCAGTAGGAAAAACAGGGATCTGGTTCTTTTTCTGCTTGTGATAGTTAATCACAGCATTTGGTGTCGGAAAATCCAGTGCTACTCCAGATTCTTCACGGACGTCCAAGACCATCTTCATGGCAAACATGATCTTCTTGATAGATCTTTCTGAGGCAAGATCTTCATCGCCATAGAAGAGAGCATGTAAGATAAACTCTACTTTCGATTTAAACGGATGGGTGGGTCCCGTAAAAATGTCAGCAAAGTCATTGGGCCGGTACAATGTCTGTCTGCTGCTGTCTTCGTTCGAGTAGGCATTCATGGCATGAGAAAGAGATTGGAAGGTTCTCATTTCTGCTGCCACTCTAGCGATATGATCCTGGCTATCATATTCTACTCTGGTGTCTGTGTCTTCGTCGTCAGTGGTCTCATCATAGTCATCTGATGAATCACTGTTCAGCAAAAAAAAAACCAGGTTATTATCTATTTCAATATTGCATTACTAATTTTTACTTACGATAGAATGTAATCATCACTATATTCGTCTTCGTCAGAGATTTCATGGCCATATGTGTCCTGAGGGTTTTCAATAATAAATTCCATTGGGGCAGGTCCATTATTACTGTTCAGGTTGGTAGTGGCAGTGGTAGTGGCAGTGGCAGTGCTTGCAGAAGAAGAAGGGCCATCAAACATAGCAGGTCTAATGTTAAGGTATGCTCAATTTCAGCTTTACATTACATAGTATTTTTCATCCTACTTTTAGGATTAACTTACCTTCTTTTTAGAAGTTTCTCATACTCCCCCATTTCGTTTGGATGTTTTTTTGTATAATGTCTTCTGAGGCCTTGCAAGGACCCTAACACTCTTTTGGTTTCGCAGACGGTGCACACATATGTTCAGTTGTCTGTAGCCGTTGGTGTGAGGAATGTGTTCCTCTTTGTTGTGAAGTGATTTTCCATGTTTAAAAATCTTTGGAACGAAAGATGTAGAAAAACGTAAACTAATTCAAGGTATCATATCTTTAATCATGCAAAAAATGACTGCTAAAAAAATCATGTGAAATAATGTGAGCTAATTTTTTTTTTGTTTACTTGTTTCCTTCTTTTTCTTTTTTTTTCTCATGACTGAAAGGTAAGTTTCAAGCGTAATCTAACAAGATGATAGCGTCTATCATACCGAACACCCTCAGTAAGTAATATATTTATTATGCCCTACTTCATATTGATACTAATATATATTTTTTATTAGATTCTATGGAGATTCCAACATGAGATTGTATTAGGAAGTTACTTCAAACTATGCCAAGCTGTCTGTCATGGTATTATAAGGTATCTACTCCTAACATAACTAAACAAGCAGACTTTTCCTTTACTTTTGTTAATAACTTTACCCTCATCTCTTTAGGTAAGTCTCATATATCACTGTCTATCTAGTATAAAAAGGTAATTTACCATATTATTTACTTCAAAGGTCATAACACTAATACTTTGTTTCTGTTTAATAGTTGTTCTTCTTTACTTTTACCATGTCTATCTCCCAATCTATTGCATAAGGGAGGCTGCTACACTAGACTAGCTACTAGTATATAGAACGCGTAATCCTAGTACTATTTTTTATTGAAACCAAAATAAAAACATTTTTTTGAAACATTTTTTTTGAAACACATTTTTTGAAACCCTATAATTGCAATTATTCGACCCCCCATTTTTCAGATTTTTTGTATCCATCCTTTTTTCCATTCATGGTAAATTCGAGCGGACACTTCATATTTCGCTTTAGGAAATTTTAGTCAGGCCAACTTTAAATCTAGCTTGGACATTGAGTTTAAAAAAATCTCAGTGGGTGTGTATATAAGGCTCACGTTGAAATCCGCACAGTACAAATATGGGCAAAACTACCTAAAAAGGGCCGCTTGTGGAATATCCACGAAAAGCAGACAAATACAGTCAACTAAAATCCTCGCAACTTCAGGCAGAGCAAAAAAAAGACATCTTATTGACTTTTTAGATAAACATTCTCAGCCAACAAGAAAAGGTGTAGTTTTATGTTTAACAGAAGCACTCGAAGACTTCAATTTGAAAATTGCTGTTATCGGAAGTTTTATTCTTTTCGAGTATAATCTAATTGTGAAGAGGGTCATATTATAATGTCTGGTAAGAAACAGCCTTAATAACCGTGGAAAGTGATATGACTAGGTTAACAAATAGGAAGTAACCGATATGAACTGTCTTCAAAAATGGATTTTCCAGTGCCGAGCCAGCTTTAGTATCAATATGAGGACGCTCACTTCCTACACATATTTTATGACCTGTTATTCATCACCATTCGAGTCGCAGCTATTGCCACTTTGAAAATTAGACGACTTGAAATATTACTTTTAGACGTTATAGTTTTTTTAGCTACCCCAGAATTGTTTTTTTTAGACATTTCTGCTTTTTTATTAGACAAATAATATTGGTGTCTAAAACGTCCTTTAATAATAAATAACAGTTAGCCCTATAAGTCAGAATAAAAAGAGTAAGATGTTGGTATCATTGTTATATAAGCTTTCAAAAAACAATCAAGAGCCATTGAAATGAAACTACACTTTAATCAACCAAAAATAAAGAGGCGAGGAAAGCATCTCCATCTTTACCTAGGTAGAGTGCGCATGAAGAAATTGCAAACATTTTAGGAAAAGGCGGCAGAAAATACAGCAAGAAAAAACGAAAGAACACAAAACGAAAGAGAAGAAAACGGAAGAAAAAGAGAGATCTGCAGACGAAAGATAAAGACAAAGATACCAAGAAGAAGAAAGGCAAGCAGAAGATGCACAATAGAGGGCAATACATACATAGTACATTGATATACCTTGAGAGAATTAATAAAGTATATTAATGGAAAAGGGTATTGGGAATCAGAAAAATTCGATCATGATCATACTTATTTGCCTATCCTTGCTTTTTGTACCAGAATTAAAGGCAAATATGCTATAAAGCTTAAATGCCATCGTTAAGTAGCTATATGTGCTCTGTACCGAGAATTAAAGAAAAGACAAAAGAATAGAGACATTCCTGGGGCAGATATAGACTACTTTAAGACCTCCAAGGTAAAAACAAGCAAGCTTAGCACATTTTTAAGACTTGGCTAACATTGCTTTTGTTTTTTTTTGTTATAAAGACTTGCCACCTTTGTAACCAAAACAACCTCATAAATATTTTAATTGATTTCACAAGCATCCTCGCTAGTCAAAGTCGCAGAATTGTGTAGAATAAAGATGTAAATGCTTCCAAAAATATATATCAAGTTGCAGAAGAGGCTTTTAATAACCACAATCAACCAATTTCGTTTTCTCGAGACGAATAGCCTTTTCTCAACAACTTATATCGCCGTATCGAACACAGTTTTCTTCAAAGAAATTTAAATTTTTACAGGTAAAATATTCCACAAAACAATTCTTATTTGTCTAAAAAACCAACAGCGATTTCTTTTAACTTTCTTCTTTTTTTTTGTCTAAAACCGAATTCTCATTAGTCTTTTAAAAAAAGACATAATTTGTCTTGATCTCAAGTAAAAACACCGTAGCTACCAATCCGTAACTATGTACTCAAGTCACTTTCAGGTAAATACGCTTAATAGACACTACAAAACAGGCATTTATTGAGACCTCCACTCTTCGAACTCTCTAACATACTATTCTAGGAGCCATATCAGCCAACAATGTTATAAGAATTGAAATAAGAGAGCCTGGGAGGCTTACGAGAGTGTATTCTAATGACAGTAAGAATAGGTGGAAGCCTACAGCTAAGAGTATGCTCAAAGAAACTGTTACTGGTCATTACACGAGCTTGGTTTTTTTAAATACTTGATGGAATATATAGGTCTCCTAGAAGGATCGCTTTCTATACTATAATGGGTAACGCATCAGTCCACACTTTGCACAAAAAAAAACGAAGATGATAGAAGCTAGAGTCTATAGGGAAGTAGGTCTTCTTCTATACTATTCACAGCCCGGTCAAATTGAAAAAGGTTAATAAATTCTCAAAGGTATATTCTTTGATACAGAAGACTTAAAATACTTGAATTGTCGGAGCAAGCTAAAGCACCAACAAAGAAACTCTTCATTAAATTGGTCAGGGCTCTGCTGACAAGTTTGAAACATACCTCAAAAAAGAGCCACTTTAAAAGACTTTTAAGCAAGTTTTTTTTTGCTTTTTTTTTTTAGAAAACAAAACAGCTATTTAACCTTAAGCAAATCTTAATAACTCACAAAAAAGAACTTTGGAAATCACAACTACGAAAAGCGGATAGGTACAAAAGCAATAATTCGGCTGAGACTAAAACGAATTCTGTTTTTAGGTTTACGAAAATTGAGGGTGAGGGTTTTGTACCGAAGAAGTCATTTTTCTGAGTATGATATCGACTAACACACATACGCATGCACACACACACGCACACACATACTCTATCTCTCTCTCTCATATATATATTCATATATACCCGGAAGTATGGTAGTAAGATAACATGTACTGAAGCGGAACTAGTCTACCGGAAGTACCAGCTGAAAATAAAAGAAGGGGTTGTAGTGTAGCAAGGAGATATAAAAGCCGAGTGATATGTCAGCCGTGAATAATAGAAGATAAGACTGATCTCTGGTCGAGCCATCCGTGCTTGCAGTATAAAAGTACAAAGTCTACCAATTAATAGGACCTTTGGAAAAACAGTATTTTTCGGTTGTTCAATTGCAATACTTCCCACACAAGCAGCACCCAGGAGACTCGACAAAGCTAGGGATAAGGGCATGAAGGACAGAAGCGGAAAATAAAATAAATTAAGAGAGAGAGGGAATTGTGCAGGAGACAGTACCATATGTTGTGGATCGGAAATGAATATGGTCATAAACCAAAGACACAAAGAAACGACTTGCATTAGAAAAAACACCAAACGGTCCAGAAAATCGTCAAGGGTATTATTGATCAGGAGGTTGTCATAAAAGTCGAAAGAAAGGTATGGATACTTTGGCCTGTCATGATGAAAAAATGAAAGAAGACGAAGAGTGATATTGGATCATTCTAACCATACAGATCAGTGTGGGGATTATAAGAATAAGAGTGAAGAAGAAAGGAAGAAGAAATGAATTGCAGAATGCCAATAAGTGCGTGCGTGTGTCCAGGGAGTTGAAAAAAAAAGATGCGTGAAATTGAAACTTATTAAGTAAAATAAAATAAAATACATGTCCTTAAAATTGCTTTCGATTTTTTTTTATTACTATGATAGAAGGAAAATGTCTGTCAGTGATGTCTTTACATTCTTTGTAAATTTCTTGTCTTTTCATATTGCAAGCGGTTACATGTATATAAATGGAACAGAATATAATTATATTACATCATTTATCATTAGATAATAAGCACCTATCAATATCTAACAAGCTACATGACAGTATAAAAGGCCAAGACAAAGAAGAGCAATGAACTGAATTGAAAGAATCAATCTATCAACACACTAATGATATGTATGCGTACACAAAGTATAATACAAGGCTACAAACTTATCCATAGTTTTATATATCCTATATTTACCATAGGTTTTGTCTGATATACCTAGAGAAACAGCTACTTACATACACACATATATGTGTGTGTGCGCTTTGAAATGTTGCTGAATTGAATTATATTTCAGCAACTGTTATTTACTTTTTATTGTTAATATTATTTGCTTTTTCTTTTGCATGTAGTGTGGTGGATCAAAGCTATAGAAATACACGCACACATGTATAAGTACATATATACTTATATATGCCATAGGTATCGTGGAGTTGACAGCATAAAATTGTTAATCAGTTACTAGTGAGTAGAATGACTAAATGTGCAAAGTACTGCCCTATCTCTTTTTTTTCATTTTTTTGTTTCATTAATATTGGAATCATATTTTTTGGTTTCTGGTTTGTTTGTTTCATTCTGTTGCGTTGATACATACATAGATACACACACATATATATATATGTGTATATGTATATGTATCTATGTATGTGTTGGTATTGGTATTAATAGATCCATTTTCTACAAGTAGTGGCCTTGCAGTGACACTCCATTCTGTTTCTTGTGATTTCTTGATCGCCTTCCAAGTCATTAACCCCGAGATATCCGCCTCCATAGTCCAGTGTGAGTTCTTCCCCCTTTTCAATTCGTCGATTGCTGAAGAATGCTATACGGTGGTAATAGACATCTGCGCTGTCGTAAAAGACGGAGTGAACCTTGAGATTCGGAGCACAAGAATGGTTGATAAACCGACTCACGTTTCCAAGGTGAAACGCATCGATTACATATTTGTTTTCTAGACCATGACGTATAGCAAAATCCATATCAAATAGATAACTCAGAGAAATTGAATCATAGAGACTGCCGCGAAACTGGCCTTCTTCCTCGCCGATGACCTCGCCAATGTACTCCTCCACAAACGTATTGGGCTGGATGGTCGTGAGGGCCCGGACACCCCATCCCTTATTAAATGTTTTGAAGACCTCGAGTTCCATTTGACGTCCCCTTTGAACAACCCGATTTCTGCATGATGTGGTGCATCTACAGACGGATGTGCACTCGTAAATGGCTGTTCCGGGAGGGATGGCCAGAGTTCCCCTGCTGGTATAAGCCTGAGTGTCGTGACAAGGTTCGTTGTCCTTTCGGCAACATGTAGACCGTATATTGCAGTCACATGCTTCCAAGAAACTTTCATCTGGTTTTGTGACACCGTCGGAGAGAATAAGTCCAGTAAGGTAGGTAAAGTGGCGTAGTGGTTCATCATCTACTTCGTTCACCAACCAGACGCGTGGATTAACACCCTTGAAATATAAGCGCCCATCTTCCTCAACGAGTGGATGCTACACACAGAAAGACCCACAGACACACGTACACACATTAAACAAAAAAGAAAGTACGAAGATAAAGATAAAAGGCTGTCAGTATCACAAACAGACATGAACACACGCACACACACACATATATATATATTTGTACAGAATAAAATAAAATACAGGGAGGTTGCTTACATTTTCTGAATGCTGTTTCCTAATGTTTTTTAAAGATTCATCAATAGCCTTTGTAAATCTTTCACGGTATTCAATATTCTTGATCGGATTCATGTAATTTTCTGATAAATCTTTCTAATAAATTTCATAATAATAAAAGGAAAATTTTGTTATGTGAGATTATATTATATAGTATTCAATTATATATTTATTGTTTCTACGCGTGTGTGTGCAATGTGTTTTGTTGTCAAGAATAATGTGTTTCGGAATGTATACACAGTACATTACTTTGTTTTTATTTTTATTTATTTGTCAAGCTCATTACTTACTCCAGTGTACGGCATAATAAAAGGCATGGTTATTCTGGTCAGCTTTAGTGATGCTACTATCTTTTTCTTTTGTCTCTTTGAGTTTCTGCTACTGGTTTTGACGCAAGCTATAGTCTAATGAGTAACAATGAGACATTGGTTTTTTATGTTTTTTGTGTTTTTGAAGCACGTAATGATGAGGACATGTGTGCATGTAAGTTGAGTGCCATTCGGATCGGATTTGATTATAATTGATGCAATGTGAGGTTTTGTTATTCTTACATTACAATCTGAGAATTCGCTTCTTTTTGCCATTGATACAAATTTTTACTTAATGATAATGATGTTTTCTTGTTTTTTTTTATAAAGAAAAAAAAATACACAAAAAAGAGAGAGAGTTGAAAAGAGAAAGGAAGAGAGAAATATTTGTTCAGGAGATGTAAAGAAGAAAAAAGAAAGAAAGAAAACAAAAACAAAAGAAAACAAAAAATTGTTATTTTATTTTTATCCTTTTCTGTTGGCGTTATTTTTTTTTCTTCTTTGTTTCTTTTTTATCCTCATATTTTATTTTATTTACTTATTTGTTAATTTATTTTTATTTATATATAATTTGTGATTGGCTATTTTAAAATGATAATTTATTATCACAAGATTATAACTTATTATCATTCTATCAAATAAACATGTTTTTTCTTATGTTTTTACATGTTCTTTACCTATGTTTTTTTTAAAACCAAGGGTTAATAACATGCTTATAGGACATCTCCGATTTAATTGATTTGATAAGGTTATGTATTGCTTTATTAGGAAGCATAATCTTATGGTAAACACTACTTCACTTTATCAAAGAAATGTATTTGCTAGTATCTGTGCTATTGATTTACTTGAAAATTGAAACAGAAAAAAAAAGTACCAATCAGAAAACAAAGAATAATATCTATCAAAATATACAAATTGATATCTGTATTTATGAGAATATATATCTTTTATATGCATCTAAAAATCATTAAGAAAGCTAAAAAAAAATAAGAAAAAAAAAACAAAGCATTTTATACATTTATTTATCTATCTATTTGAACTCATAATAATACTCATCTTTGTTTTGCTAGAATAAACTTATATAATTTTTAAAACTGGAAAGATCATCACCTTCATATTTTCCAAAATTGGATATAATGATTACGTAAGCATCTGAGAAATAAGTGGGGTTGTTATTTATTTTTAGATAAATTAATTAGTTAACATTTTTATTATAAAATATATATGTTTGTATTTTATAATTTTATTATTATTATAATACAAAAAAAATTGGGGTTTTATTTTTATGTTTTGAAAAAAAAAGTAAACACGTCACACATTACCAGTTTAAGAATTAGATACCGAATCAAAATAAAAAAACTAAAGGAAAGCAAAACCAAAATTATTAAATTGCATATTCTTTTCTGTTTTTGAGCATTATTTTTTATTAGAATAGTAAAATTTAATTTACTAAAAATAGATTATATGTTATTTTTTATGCCATTTAAAATATAACTGTATTCAATTTGATTTATATATTTAAAGCATATATACTACTAATAACATATCTATATATTTTAAAAAAAAAACAACTTAAAAAGTGATTTTAGAGAAGATCGTAAACATTTTCTAAATTATTCTCTGAATATTTCTTTTATTTTTCTTATAATATAAGTTAAGCTATTTTAGGATATCTATGGCAATATGACCGGCCCGGAAAAGTTGTTGCATGATAATTGAAACAAACTATAACTATATAAGTAAATAAGGCTTTTTTTTTTACAAATAATATTATACAATCTTCAAAACCCCCTATTTATTTTTGGTTCAATATTATTAGGATTTGATACTAAGTTTTGGGCATAATAAGTTGCAATTATGATAAATCAATTTAAAAGTAACAATATAAAAAAACTATTCTATTATATAATAATTACTATAAATTGAAAATATATAGTAAAATACAATTGCAAGATATACAATTTGAACTTTGAAGGTACATTGTGGTATATACACCACAATTGAGTGAAGAACAGACCTCACAACCAAACACTGGTTCCTTCTTGCTAATGAACCTGGTAAGTTAACAATCTCCGAAACTGTTACACACCAGGCACATGTACACTACATACTCATACAGTGTAAACCAACTATTACACAACAGGGATTTGAATTATAGGGATTTGAATAGTAGCAAATATAAAAACAATATTATTTTGTCTCTTTAATAAATAACACTCTCACAGTATCTACTTTTCTTATTATTGAGATACTAACCCATAAACAACCCCGAATACCTCATACATAATTCGAACAATAAGATATATATTTAAGATTTCAATTACTTTTTTATAAAAACAAAAAGGGATATACTAAACATGTTTCATATTTCTTTCTTGCTGAATAGTGTAAAAATAAAGCAAGTTTTCTATATATTTAAATTACAATTGGGTGAAGAACAGACTCTATAATCAAACACTGATTTCTTCTTACTAATTAACCTAGAAAGTTAATAATCTTTGAAATTATTATACACCAGAAACACGTATATAATATACGCATATTGTGTAAATCAACTATTATATAACAGACATTTAAATTACATAGATTTTAATAATAATAGATATTGAGGTTTATGAATAAGATTTTGAAAAAAAAACAATATCTACTGTGTTGTGGTGGTTGAAGTTGAAGAAGTTTTTAAGAGGAAGAATTGAAGATTTGAAATTAGGAACGAAGATTCGTGAGAACTTGTGTAGGTTTTGTTTATTGAGAAAGATTTTGTATCAAAGTTTGACCAGGTTCCTACACTGAACTACTACTGCTATTTATATTGTTTTGGATTGGGAAAATTATATGACTGGGGTCAGGTAATCGATCCTATCTGAGCCTTAATCAGAGCAACGTGATCTTGGGATAATTAATGTATGATTAATTATATAAATGTGTGTAGTCCCAATGAAGTATTAACATCGAAAGTAAATGTGTTTATGAGTTATAATTATGCTTATAATAATCCACTGATGTATCCCATATTATGGTGATATCATCATATGAAATATAATCACTATCATGCATGCTAAACCTGTGTGTTAAATAATAAAGTAATCGGTAGACACCTTTGACTGGAATAGCTGAGGCCTTATATTATTTCCTTCAGACTTATTCTCAATTACAGCAGTAGTCAATACTCATTTACAACATACTGTAAGAGTATTGTTTATTTAAGAAAGAAGATCATAGCTGTTTATATAGACATTTGATTATCTAATTTAAGATTCACTTTATTTAATAGCTGGTTATTACTGAAGTAGTGTGAAGTGTATAAGTGTCTGATATGTGTTATGTTTCTAAGATATGACTCTGCCAGTTTCATTAGCAATTATAGCATTTGTTTTAGAATGTAGAGTTTGTATTTTACTTAATTATGATGTGTATACTGCAGATATAAAGAATATTATTAATTTTATTTAACAATTTCAAGATACTTAGTTCTCTTAAATGTATTGAAATCATTAAAAAACTAATAGATAGTATTTTTGAATGTAAATAAGTTTTTTTAAAAGCTTTCATCTATTGATAAAAGTTAAATGAATGTAATTTAGCAATTAAAATAGTGATGTAAATGTAAATATAAAATTATACAGACATGCATAATAATATTAAATAAAATTAAATTACATCAAATTTATAAATATATATAATTATTATTTGAAAAGCAATTACTCTATATATAATGTAGCAAGCAGCTATAAATTTTATAGAAACAAATATTGAGATGCATATTTAAAATAAATAAAAAAAATAGATTATTAATAATCTGTAAGATCTCTATAGATATTAATCACAGCTTGACATCTTCTCTACATGCTTTTAATCAAGCATCCCGCACTCTCTATCTAACGTAGCCCATTATTCTTGTAGAGTCACCTCCAAACTGTTCAAAGAGTTGATAAAGACTCTTCTCTTGTTAATTTATCATTTAAGAGTACTTTATATATTCTTAATGTAATTTAAATTAGGACTTTGGACAGACCAGAAGTCAAACCTAACAATCTGATAGATTCTCTTCTATTTTTAGACATATGCCTCTGTGTGGCTACTTGTTCCATCCTCCTAAAAAATGAAAAGCCTTTTCTTACATTTGATAATAGCTGTAAATCAAAGATAAAAAATTTGTGTCAGAGTATTAATATATTTATTCTGATTTATGAATTTGTTCTTGATGACCTTTAATGATCCAAATGTTTTACTCCAAAAAGAGTAACAGAATATTACACTATTATCACCCACTTTACCATAGTAATAATATGTCTTTCTTTCTATCTTTCTTCACATTTTTAGAAGATATACTTTGCTTTATTATTGCTCTCCACGCAGGATTAATATCCATCAGAACATATCACACCAGCTTATTATTCATTGGATCAATTCATTTATAACTTGACTCAATCAAGTCTGATCTTCTTCTGTTATTTTATTAAGCAAGACTTGTATGTAGCAATATAAGATTTAAAATCAAGACACATGACATAGTTGATCACTGTGTTTCTGCAAATATTAATTAATAATAATGCTAATGTTTTTCTGGGTTGATTATATAAAATAAATAAATTCTTTTATATAATTCTTTTTAGATGTCTTTCAGTTTTCTTATTAACTTTTCTGAGTATTCCAATTGATTTACAAGGCAGTAGATTGTCACAAATCTTAATATGCTTTTTATTGTTTGTATACTCAGCAATTTTATTTCAACAATTACTATAATCTCACAGAGTATAAATCTGTCTTTAGAAAATAAAATCTCACCTAATATTTCTTTTTTTTATTAATAATAAGAGTCACAAAAGCTCTTTTAAAACTTTTAAATAAGAATACTATTTTCATTAATAAACTTTTGAGCAATGAGTATAAAATGTTTTTTTTTAGTTTTATTTAATATTATTGCTTGTGGCTATATATAATTATTTTTATTATTTTATTAATACTCATTTACAGACCTAACATTCAAAGAAGTTCTCTAATAGGTAGTTGAGAAGTTGGATAGAGTCAACGCTAGATTTTATCATCTTGTTGTGAATAATGACATAGAAAACTACATCTGAATAATGAAAATATTTGAAACAAAATCTTTAATAAATCATTTTAATTTATATCTATAGCTATTTTAATACTTTATTTTTAATAACTTTGATAGTGCATGTAAAACTATTGGTTTTTATGATTACATTTTTGCTACTTGTCAGAAATTTAATGAGATTGCGAATTTAAGCAGTGTTTTTTATTTCAAATTTATAGATCTCTAAAAATAGTACAGATTCTAATGTTATTTATCAGCATACAAAAAAATTAAAAGATAAATTACTTTTTATAGTAACTTATTTGATTCCAAGTGAATATATTTATTAATTTCCTTGGTAATTACATAGTCAAAACCATTATATAACTGTTAAGAAAATTGACAAAATTTCTAAAATAAGGACTCTAGTTACAAAAAAAAATATACTAAGCGACCATACTTTAAAAACTTATTTTATATAGTCAAAATAAAACAAATCATTAGCAAAAAAATAAAAATTATCAGAGTATTTTAGTAAATAATTAAAAAACAGATACTGAATAACAATCGGAATATTATATGATATGACTGTATTCTCTCAATGTAATTCTCTTGATCCAATTCTCTTAACAATTTTATTGTATGCTGATGAATGATATGGATAAAAAAAAACTTAAAAAGAAAATGGAGCCCAAAAAATATTTTAAAAACATACCTATGGAATATTTCTAAGATTAGATGCTTGCTACTACTCAATAACTTATCAACTTCTAAAACTTAGCAGAGTCTCAAACATTAATAAAAGAGATTCAAGTAATTTTTGTTCTTGTCTAGTTTTGGAAGAGTAAAAACAAATGCTAAACAAACTAAGTTTTCTCTCTTTAGCTATTTATTTTTTTTAATATCCAAACCCAAAAAAAAAAGTTCTGGTAGTTTAGATTTTTTTTGTGATCCCAGAAATTTACAGTGAACATATTTTCAAGACAAAATTTGTTAGTATCTATTTTCTTTTTGGAACTTTACTTTCTTTTGAGATCCAGATTATACTTTAACATCAATTTATTAGAAACAAAAAACAGTACTTAACTTCTCGATGCCAATAAAGTTCTGGATAGTAGCAAGCATCTATTAAAAAAAAATCTAAACTATTAGCACTTCTTTTTAAGTTTTAATATTAGAAAAATAAATAACCAAACAGAAAAAAATAGTTATTTTATCATTTGTTTTTAATCTTTCAAAACGAAATAAATACAAAAAAATCAATTGCATTTCTTTTTTGAATTCTAGCAATTATGAAAAATTTTAGATACTTGAAAATTATAGGATAGTAACAAGTATTTATTGTATCCAAATCTTTGCTATATACAGTAATTTTAATAAGAAAGCTCTATATTATTTGATTTAATTTAATTTTCATAACTAATATCTTTAAATATTAATATTATAGATAATTATTCTTTGTTCAACAGAGAATCCGGCTGTGTTGTCATAATTTTTTATTTATTTGAAAATTCAAATAAAAGTATTGCTATTAATATTATATATATTATTATTATTTTTTTTGCTGCTGGTATTCAACTACTTGATTTCATTAGTAGTCAAAATGTCTCAGGCTATTTCTATAAAGCTTTTCAAGTATTTTTACTTATATAGATACTTTTAAAGCATGTTCTGCTTCACATCTTAAAAGTCTGATACTTATTCTGATAAAATAGACAGTAAGACTCATCTCTCATATTACATTATTGAACATTTTATTCCATCTGACCTTACTTCTTTTTCTGCAATGGTTGATAAGACAGTAAAAACCATTTGTAAGGCACGCAATTTGAGAAAATAAGGTACACAATTCAAGGAAATAAGACGCACAATTAAAAAAAGTAAGATGTACTTTTAAGATTTTAATTTGTTTTTTAGAAAAACAAAAAGTGACATATCAAACACATTTTAATTTTTTATCTTGCAGAGAATCATACCAGAAATATATAAAATCACATTAATATATATGACATTTAAGAAATAAAAAGTCTTAGTTTCAGTATATATAATGCGGTTTACAATGCTCTTCAGTAATCTTAATATAATTATTTTGGCTATAAGAAAAAAACAGAAAATTACAAATAAAGTAGAGAGATTGCTTTTTATAATAATCATAATATATAATCATAGATTTTTTTTCAAAAACTAATGTGAGACATCTAATTTAATTGGTGCAAAACCTTGGGAAGCTACTTGGCAAAACTATATTCAAGAGACGTTGATATAAATGGAAATGATAGAACCAATTATAGTTTACTAAAATAACTGTTTGCAATTAAATACTTTATTATTTAATAAATATTTTAATACATTTTTTACTTCTGTTTCTGTAATATATACATAACAACTCTCTTTTTTAAAGCAAATATTTTGCCAAAAATGAATACTACCTTTATCAACACTAACTCCATTCATCAAAATGTGTTGAATATGATTTCCTTGCAAGGAATAACTATTTCTCAAGATGTTTCTCAATTGGAAACAACTCTAACTATTGGTTATCCATCTGCTTGGAATGAAAATATCATTAAGATCCTTCTTTGCCTGATAATTGGCACCAGATTTTACACAGAACATGCTATCTTGAATAACTCTGGAAAGACAAGACTATAGCAGAAACTTTGCAATGCTTTCTGTAATCATTCAGATGTTGTCCATTATGCAGTATCTCCTCTCAATTCTGGGTTTGCTAGTAAATATAGAGATGTCAAATATATAAAGAACAAGTTTCAGTCAATTAAGAAGGATTTCTAAAAAATTACTACGGAAATCAGAAGAACTGGATGCGGTGGATCTCCTCCTCAAGAAAGATATATCCACTTTGACAACATGAAAAAGATTACCTTGAGTAACCCCAGTTTCTTTCTATTGATGTTGATGGAGACAAATTTTGTTGCTGACAAAGCTGTTGCTAAAGCCGTAATCAGTATCTGCCAAGATAACAGTGTTACTTACGAGAACACTCAATTGACAACCCCTTTCTTTGTCTCGGAGAGATAGTCTGAGATGAGTCAGTAGCCTTACAACACTTCCAATTCTGTTCAATCTCAAAGACAAGGTACAGAACCAGTGTCAACAACCGGGACCAAAAAAACTATGCTATCTGAGCTCCAGTAATCGTTTCAGGAAAACTCAAAAAGTCAAACTGATATCATAGCATCTATGCATCAGCTTCTCAGTACCAGGTACCAAAGACTTGAAGAGCTATATAAAGATACTCTTTCGCAGTATAGACTGAATATGACAGCATCTTAAGAAGTAAGACATTTGGATTGAGAGAGTAGAGAGCTGATTTTCGCATATGAATATAATAGACAAGTTATAGCTGATAAGAAAGAGGATGAATCATGAAGATCTCTATTGGAAATACTTTCTGGACGTAAAAGATCAAGAAGTTTATCATCTTCCTTCACTCATATAAATGTGTTAGATTAATAAAATCAATTATTTTTTCTTACTTTGTCTCATATAATAATATATTCATCATTAATTATTTCTTATTTATTTCATTAACAATATAAAAGCATAGCTTTTTAAATCATTTCAGCCCAATTTAAAACTTATTTTAAAGAAAATATATAAATATTTTATGAGACAATATACAAAGAATTTTTCTTTTCATCTCTTCTAAGTTTTTTCTCTATACTAAGTCTAGCTCTTAATTGTGTAGAGAGTACTGGCGTAATGATAATATCATTATCATTGTCAGAGCCGTTGTTGTTACTCTTATCATTGTTTACTATGTTTAAAGTTGTATTATTCATGTTATTGGTATGAGCAAATTCATATATTGCAGGTTCTTCATATTGTGAATTGTTAATGTCTTGTTGCAACATATCATCAAGATACTCTTGACTGTCTCCATATATAATACACAAATTATATAAGATATACTATACTGTTATAACTTCACACATTCTTTTTATATTAAGAACATACAGATCTTTAAACATAAACTACTACCTAATTACAATCGTTCCAAATGCATTCTTAATAGCAAATCTGGTAGATAATTATATTTTGTTAAAGTGCTTTTCATATTGAATATTTGTTGAATAGCTATATAAAATCATACAGTACTTAAGAATTGAATATGCTGAATCTGATATTATTATAGATGTACAAGTATAAATATAGTGTAAATAATTATATATTTATAAAAATATACCTTCTACTATATATAGTCACAATCAAAAACGTTTTGACCTCTGAGCCCAAAAAATGCATGAAAGAAATCATGGCATGTATTCAACATGCAACTGCTCCTCAGTAATAAAAGCTAAACCATTCAAACTTCAAATAAAAAAATTATATATATGTTTATTATTGAAATATAAAAAAAAATAAAAGATCAATATTTTGTATGACCTCCTTTAGCCTCAATTACAGCCTGGCATTGATGCTGCATGCTTCCGGCCAAAGTTGACAAAAGTTTGAGACCTATCCTTCACCACTATTGTTGCATTACAACCTTCAGATCTTCAACATTTTTAATACTGGCCCTCTTGTCACTCATGCGCCTCTTGAGAGCCCAACAGAGATGCTTGATGAGGTTGAGATCTGGGCTTTGAGCAGGCCAGTAGTCAAAACCTTGGATCTCATGGCTATCTTTCCACCATCTCGAGTATGACCCAGTATGACAGCTGGCATTGTCCTCTTGGAACACGAAGCTCCTGTTTTGTTCCCACAAAAGATTTTGGAACGAAGAGAGAAAGCTCTGAGCCAAAGTGTTTATGTATTGGTTTTGGTTTACGTTACCATCTAGGAACACCAAAGGGCCAAAACCACCAGCCCAGAAACAGCTCCAGATCATCAGACTAACCTTTCCCCACTTGGTTCCTTTGATAATATTTTCTTACTTGAACCTTTCACCAACTTTTCTAATAGCTCTAGCTCCTCCATCATTACCCTCAACTGTGAACCGTGATTCATCTGATTACACTATGCCTCTCCACTGGTCATCTGTCTAATTCACATGCTCACAGGCCCATTCCAGTCTTCTTTTCTTGTAGCTTTTGGTTAAAGCTGGCTTGTGAGCTGTGATATATGATCTGAAGCCCAAATGCTTCAGACAACTGATTATTGTCTTTCTGCAGACAAATACCTTCATGTTCTTTAAGAAAGCCCTAAACCTAGAAAATGAGACAAAGGGGCTCATGAACTATTTGAACAAAGTGTCTTTCTGTTCTCTCATCAATCTTTCTAGGTTGTCCGGACCCTTTTCTTGGCTCAGACAATTCTGTCTCGTCCACTCTCTTAATGATGTACTTGACAGTTGACAGACTCATGCCAACTACCAATGAAATCTGGGTTGTCCCGTAATTTACTAAATGCATGTATATGACGCATCCATATTTATAGGGATCAGCTTTTTCATATGATCCATGAGTGTTTTCTGATGAATTTGCATCTTGCATATTAGATTTGATTAATAATATTGGGAGAAAACAGTGCTTTTATTTTTATTTTTTTTAATTTTTTTAGGCATTTTTTGTGGGGGTCGAAACGTTTTTGATTTTGAGTGTATGATCTTGGATTAGAAAAAAGACTTTAGGAATTGTGAATTATATCATTATAAAGATAACCTGCTGTAAAGATGTATGTATCATTTTGACTACTTAATTATAGAATATTTTAAAAGAAGTAGCATATTTATTGTTTATCAATATTATTTATCTGGATGTCTAACCTTGATCTTTGTAAAAATCTTTTTGTGATCACATAAAGTCATGAGGGACATTGAGACATTGCCATGTCAGTCAAGCCAGCTATTTTCAAATGAAGCTAGTTTCTGAACTACTACAAGTTTACTGTCAATTGCACCAATATAGATTTTTAAATGTGAATTTCCTATTCTGCACAATACTTTGACAAACTCTGATATTACTCTGCAACTTTCTCTAATAGTTGATAACTACTTGATTGTGTCATTCAAAAAGCAGCAGATCATAGCTTTAAGAAATCTCTCAGTAAACCAGTAGTAAGCTGCCTGGCTGATACCACACATCTCTGATGTCATTCTGTATCCCAAGTGAATGTTACTCAAGTACCAGAAAACAATAGCCACCTGTTTTCATATGAGATAGCTAATATTTTCTCTTTCATTTATTGCTTTGAACTTAAAGTCTCTGGACAAAACATTGACTATACAGTTGAATATTTTTCTATTGATTCTGTAATGATGACAGAAGCTGTTGATTCCAACTCCATTGTATAAGTGTGAGTAGAAAAGTGTCTACTAATATATGTTGCTTCTGTCTAAGTTACTACATATTATATGCTTTGCAGTGATATATATAGAAGAACCAAGGTAGCAGATAGTTTAAAAATCATCTATCATATGATTATTTTTAGCAAGCATTATATTATTGTATATTTGAATGAGTGCCTTATATATGTTTAACAAATACTTTCTCATATATGGTAAATATCTCATTTCAGTTTCTGCTTCTTCATAATCTTCATCATTGTCAGATACAATAGTTTTTTGAAATGAAAATTAAAGGCTATATATAGTCTATATCTCAGTTTCTGTAAGGTCAGTATTAATATTATTTATTTTAAATGTTTTATAAGATAGAAGTAGTAAAAAAAGTAAAATATATATAAAAAAATATGAGAACATTTTAGTCAAACCATGATTTAAAATTATTTTTACAATTTTAATATCACTTCAAGTTATATCAAGTAGTTTTTCTTGCAAATTTACATGTAAAACTACTTGGTAGAATTAATATTTTTCAGAAAGTCATTCATAATCTTTTGCATATAATTACTATATTTATATAAAACTTTTTTTATCACATAATTTTAAACTATATCAAGGCTGTTGAAGAGCATCTTTAATGTAATACATTGTGATTGACTCTATTAACTTTTGTAAATAAATTTCATAAAAACAAATTGTGTATATAAAAATTAACTTGTAATTAAGAAAATAATATACACTTCCTTTCTCAATTATCTCAGATTTTACTATAAAAAATGTTCTCCTTTAAATTTATGTATAAAGATAGTCAAGGAAAGAACATTAATAAAAATGGTTCTCAAGCTTTAAGTCATATAATTGATGAGAATTGTCATCGTTTTAAAACAATAGTAATCTAGTTTCAATTTTGTAAATCAAGAAATAGAAATAGAATTTCAGAAGCCTCAGAGATATTTTTTTTAAAAAAGAAATGTTAATTAAAAACATATTTATATATATATATCCAATCTAGAGTGATCAGACAGAGAATCAAACATTTCTTTATTAAAAAGAAGTAAGACTACCTGTTAGCATAATAATTATACTGATGAGAATATCATCAAACTCTTCAAGCTAAAAAATGAGAAATTGCTAAGTGACAAGGCTGAAGCAAAGTAGCTGAATATAAACATCAGAGTAGTGCAATATTGAGTGAAGAGATTCGATAAAAATCTGAACAACTTGTTCAACTATTGCAAAAAAAGTAGGAAAAAAGGTTGACAAATGAGTATAAGAATTGCATTAAAGAGTTTGTTGCCAAAGATGCATCTGTCTATGTCAAAGATATGATAGACTATCTAGTCTTGGTGTTTGGCAAGATCAACATGTCAAAAGAGACTTTCAAGACATTTATAGTCAATGAGTGCAACCTCACATTCGAAAAGATCTATAAGCAGCCTATAGCAAAGAACAGTAAAAAGAATATCAAGGTCAGATATAGCTGGATTATGTAGATAAAGAAAACAAGTATCAATTATATGACAAACTGTGTTTTCTTGGATAAGTTTGCCTTTGGTATCAATATGTGTCAAGGAAGAAAATAGTTTGGGTAGAGAAAGAAGGGAGTGACCATTACCACCTTATTATTTTTGGGACTATACTAGCCAAGAGTCTTATTTATGTCAGCTTGTGAAACTTTAAGTTCTGCAAGTAGTTCTTTTCTGGTGAGTCCAGCTCAAAGGGTATAGTGATCAGATACTTTTTTATATTCACAAAAGCTGTTCTTGGTGACATAGACAAGTATATCAATATGAAGGGTAACTAACTAGTGATAGATAATATACAAATCTACCAGAGTGCAGATATCAGTTGTTATATCTCTTCTAAGGAATACAATTTAGTTTACCTTCTGATATACTCTCCAGAGCTGAGCTCTATCAAAATGTTCTGTAAAATGATAGACAGATAAAAAAGAAAGAGTTTGAAAAACAGAGACTATTCTCATCAGAATTGAAAAGGATAATATAGTTTAAGTAATGAAGACTACCATAACATTGTTCAATATTCTATGAATCAGTTCACTAAATGTGAAAGTAAAGAATCTTTATGATTTCTTATCTTTTATTTAATATAATATACACTCAATTATATGACTTAAATTCTCAAATTATGCATCTTATATAGTGTTCTTACTATATTTCTAGTATAGAAAAATATTCTTCTACTAACTTTTAAAGAAAACAAACAGATGATATTTCTTACTCAATTGTTTATGCAATTTCCTATACTAATATTACGCTATTGCTCTTAACTACGGTAGAGTTGAGATTAATATTAAGTATATAGATAGTCATCTTGCAAACATTTAGTTCCATCTTTTCAGCCTCAGTCAACTTATTAATCTTTTTGCTTATAATATACTTGTAAAAGAATCAACCAATATTTCACAAGTATTGAAGTTTACTAATATTATTTATAGATTATTTCTTGATTTTACATATGTTATTATACAAATTAAAAGAGATAGCATATTCTGTGATATCAATTTACATATTATCTTCATTGTAAGCAATTTGGCCGCAGAACTATAATATTTGCTTTACTCAGCATGCATTGTGAAACAAGCTAACATGCAATAAATTTTTTAAGATGTCTCACATATCTTGTTTCAAATAACAGAGAGAAAATAATAAAATCAGCCAAATTAAATTGATTAATCACATTAGCAAGATTGTTCATTTACTAATAATATCATTAAGTTTCTCAAGATCTATTACACTATAGAAATACAAGAAGAGATTTTAGTTTCATCTATAACTATCACAGTTTTGACTGACAGATATGCAATAGTAGATAGTTATTCACACATATTTTACAATGTCTGATCAAAGCTGGCAAATGAAACATAAGTTTAAAATATCATTGAGAAAGAGTATACTATCTTTTTTACTTATCTGCCTTTCATCTTCGCATTCAGTCTGATCACAAATTACTATCAAATAGATAGTACAGTGTTCAAATAAAAGATCACGTTTTTTTGGCAGGAAGACCATAAAGGAAGTATAAGACTCTGAGTCTTGCTCATAGACATTCACAATACCCAAGAAAATATTAGATCTTTGATCATTGTTGAATCTCTGCCCACTGAACCAGTTTATTCTCAAGCAGTTATTTAAGATATAACCTATTAAAAACATCTATCAGTGTATCTAATATGACAATTATCTAATTAGCATAGATCTATAGAACGTCTTTTTTTTTAAATTTCATCTCATAAATATTTTACAAGGGTCTTTAATTCACTTGAAAGAAACATATATACTAATTTCAAGTATTTCCATTTGGTCTATCATTTTCTCTATTACTATTTATCAAGATGATATAACTAGTTCTTTGTTAGATAAGATATCAAAAAATCCATGTGTCTGCATATCTAGACAGCTTAATTATAATTTTCAAAGCCTCATAATTGTTAACAATGCATACTCAGAGAGTAGTAAGCAAACTTCAGTGTCTTGAGTTTTTTATGACATACAATAGATTGATTATATAGTGCAAATAACCAACTCAGTGACAAGTAAATGAATATGAATAGAAAAATAATTTTATTAAGAAATAAATAAAAAGAGCTGTTTAACTACTTTGGGTTATCTCTATAGTTACATCACTATTTTAAAGTTCACTGCAATAAGCAATACAAGAAACACTGGTAGATATGATCAATTGTGTCACATTATTTATATATGCTCTGGAGATGATCAAAGACTATATCAACTACTTTTAGCAAAAATTAAATGCTGCTGATACACCCAGCTTTTTTTTCTATTCTGAAGATAGTCCTATTTATTTACTAGCTGGCATATAGAATACATATTAATTCTATAGATGAATTGTTTAGAATGTCAGAGTCAACTTCTTTTGAGTAGCTGAAGCATTTCTGCCTTGCGATTATATCTGTTCTTGGCAATGAGTACTTGAGAAATCCAAATGAAGAGAGTATAAAAAAACCTGTTCAAGAAAGAAAAATAAGCGGCTGTTTTGAAATGCTAGGTTCTTTTGATTACATGCACTAAAAGTTAAAGAACTAGTCCACTGCTTGGCACAGGCAATATGTTGAAAAGAAGAAGACTTTCAACTATTTTTTGAAAGTTGTTATTTCATAAAATCTCTGGATCTGACTTGCTTTTTTTTTTGGCTTATCTGGGTCCCTTAATGATATCAATGTCTTGGATTGGTTGCATTTTTTTTTAAAAATATCACTAATAGAAAATGTTGTAAAATTAATTTCACGATTAATAACAATGCTTAAAGTCAGGGATATTACTTGAAAGATGATATAAATTTAACATATGCTGTTTTTATTAAAGCTTCAGTGATTTTCAATTTGCAAAGAATAAGATACTTGTATATATATTATATGTTTTTTATTATTTGCACTAAGAGCAACTTCAGCAGTGAGAGAACTTTTAATTTATCTAAAGTTAAACACTGCTACTTTAGCTAAAGAAAAGGTCAATTTTTCCAGCAGTTCAATTTATCTTTTTCTTTAAATAAATTTTGAGAGCGTTTTCATCAATTAATTTTATCTTCCTATTAAATTTAATAGGAAGACAAAGAAAAGGGACTGTCTTTTATATTTAAAGTGAATTTAATCGAACTGCTGAAAGGACAAACTTTAGCTAAATCTTTAAATTTAATGTAAAAGTAGAAATAAAGTGGACTGCTGAAGATGCTCTGAGACTATAAATCAAATTAAGTTAAAAATGTTGTGTATAGTAATTTGTATTGATGACTACTTTGATATTGTATTTATAACAGTTTTAATAATGCATTTATGGCTAGCTGTTTTTGTTTTTATATCCAAATTTCTGTAACCTGCTGCAATTTCAATATTAAAATTCTGTATGTTGAATTTTTGGCTCTGAATGGAATTTTTTGTAAACTTTTACTTTTTGATGAAAATAAAATTGTTGCAACTCAAGTATTAAAATGCTGATATAAGACTGCATACAAATTTGCATTAGTCTGAAAGGCTAGCTTACTATGTCTTATTTATATTTTTATTCAAATAAAATATAAGTATTGAATAAAAGAGTTGTACATATTAATAAAATGTTGGAAGCCAGAATAATATCTACTAATAATCTGACTAAAAAGATTATCAACACAGCAGAATGTCTAAAGTTTACTAGATTTCTATATAATTAACATTTGTTTGTTGAAAAAGTGCAAATCATTCGAAGACTCTAACTGAGATCTTTTAAGAGCTTAGTTTTCTGGACAGACAGCCTTTTGTGACTGTAAGAGCATCTTCAGCAGTCCACTTTATCTCTACTTTTACATTAAATTTAAAGATTTAGCTAAAGTTTGTCCTTTCAGCAGTTTGATTAAATTCACTTTAAATATAAAAGACAGTCCCTTTTCTTTGTCTTCCTATTAAATTTAATAGGAAGATAAAATTAATTGATGAAAACGCTCTCAAAATTTATTTAAAGAAAAAGATAAATTGAACTGCTAGAAAAATTGACCTTTTCTTTAGCTAAAGTAGCAGTGTTTAACTTTAGATAAATTAAAAGTTCTCTCACTGCTGAAGTTGCTCTAATGAACAGTTATTTTCTTTTTTGGCTTCAGTTATTAATTTTATCATTGTGCTTGTGAAGCACAGACCTCATTCTGATATCCCCAAATTGTTAGATCTCGAATCTTATCTTCTCTTTTCAGGGCTACAAGATTTCCCTTTGTTTAACCAAGCTTACAAATTTTCAGTCTCGTTCATCTACATCTATATCTTATCATTTTTTCTATCAATAATTACTAGTATAAATATCTCAATTAATAAACATCATCTAAAGTCTACTCTATTTTTTTGTTGTAAAACTTCTTGGAAGATTCTGCTCTGCTCTTTGGCACTGATTGCACTGAGATTGAGAATCTGAAACTATACTTTGAATTCCTAGCTGCAGTCTGGACAAACACTCTTTATAACCAAACATCGTAATTCACACTTTAAAATTATCAAAAGTTTTAAAAGAATGAGAATGATTAAACACTAACTATTGAGTGATAATCTTAGAGATATTAATTTAAACTATTTTCATTAATTTATTTATAATTATGCTAATAGAGAAATATCATTACACTAGAGAAGTTAAAAACCAAACTTTTACAAAAATTTAATAATATTTATAGCATTAATACAATCACTCTATGTAATGTTTTAAATAATATTGAAAGGATAGCACTTAAAAAAAGGTAGCTTAAATAGAAGAGAAAAGAAACAACAAAAAGACTTTTCACAAAAAAAAGAATTCATATTAAGTCTTTATTTAGAGCCGATTTTATACAACTCAAATTATATTTAAATTGGGAAGACAAATTTTTATAGTTACAAGAAAAGACGTTTAGACCTATGTGTGCAAAAACAATATGTGTGAAAGTTATGTCATGTATTCAACATGAAACTGCTTATTAGTAATAATAGTTAAAGACTTCAAACTTCAAATAAAAATTGATGTTGCATGCTGCTGTGCAAAGTTGATACAAGTTCATTATCTACTTTCTGCCATTCTCGTCCAATAACAACTTTCATATCTTAAGCATTCTTAATACCGACCCTCTTGTCACCCATATATCTCTTAAGATATTGCCAGGGATTCTCAATAGAATTTCAATCTGGGCTTTGAGCAGGTCAGTAGTCAAAAATTCAAATATCATGGTTATTTTTTTACAGCACTAAATACAATTTAATATAACAACTTGTATTACCTTCTTGAAACACGAAGTGTCTCTTCTGTTCTTGTTAAAGATCTTGGGTTCAAAGGGAAAAGTTTTGAGTCAAAGTGATTATGCTTTCATCTCAATTTACATTACCATCTAAGAACTCCAAAGGGCCAAAACTACTAGCCAAGAAACAGTTGCAGATCATCATGCTACCTTTCTCCTACTAATTTTGTCAATGATATTTTTCTTGAATCTTTCACCAACTCTGATTGCCCTAGTTTCTTTAGTATTACTCTATTTTAAATATTCAGCCATCTGATTATACTAGATATTCTCACGGGTTTTCTATCCAATTGATATACAGCCTCATTCCAGCCTTCTTTTCTGTTGTTTTTGGCCAAGACTAATCTATATACTGCAATTTATGATCCGAAACTCAAATGCGTCAGACAATTGATTAATGTCTTTCTATAGACAAATATATTTATATTCTTTAAGGAGACTCTTTGTCTAAAAAAATGAGATAAAGGGGTCCTTTCAAGCTATTTGGACAAGATAATCTTCCATTTTTTGTCAATATTTCTATGCTGCTTAAATCTTTTACTTGGCTCTGATAATTCTGTATTATCAACTCTCCCAATGGTATATGTCTAACGGCTGACAGGTTCATATCAACCACCAATAAAATCTGAGTTATCCATAATTTGCTAAATACATATACGTGAGACATCTGCATTTCTAAAGACTACTATTCTCATATGATCTACGAATGTTTTCTAATAAATTTGTGTTTTATTACATTTAATTTATAATATTGAGAGAAAACAATGCTTTTATTTTTATTTTTTCACGATTTTCTAGTTTTTTTTTGCAGAGATTGAAACATTTTTAACTATAAGTTTAAATCTATCTAACTAAATATTGCATTCAATCAAAAACTGATACATCAGATACTGTTAAAACAAGATCAAGAGAGCAATATATATATAATATTATTTGTTCTTTCAGTAGAAGAGATTAAATAATGTCAAACAAAAATTATAAAAGTAGTATTACAAATAAGAACTCAAAGAAGCTATGTAAAACATATTTATATTTGCTCTTTTCTTTAGTAGTAGCAACAAAATCTATTTTTTAAAGTATTTGTATAGCAATTTGTAAAGAAGCTAAATAATATGAATGCTGATCTTTATTATCTAGTTATGAATAAGTTCAAAAATTGCTTTAGGTTGTCTCTTTATAAATAGTTGCAATAATGAAACAAGTACACTCACAATCAAAAACGTTTCGACCCCCACAAAAAATGCCTAAAAAAATTAAAAAAATAAAAATAAAAGCACTGTTTTCTCCCAATATTATTAATTGAATCCAACATGCAAGACTCAAATTCATCAGAAAACACCCACGGATCATATGAAAAGGCTGATCCCTATAAATACGGATGCATCATGTACATGCATTTAGCAAATTACGGGGCGACCCAGATTTAATTAGTGGTTGGCATGAGTCTGTCAACTGTCAAGTACATCATTAAGAGAGTGGACGAGACAGGACCGCCCAAGCCAAGAAAAGGGTCCAGACGACCTAGAAAGATGGACGAGAGGACAGAAAGGCACCTTGTTCAAATAGTTTGTAAGGACCCCTTTGCCTCATTTTCTAGGCTAAGGGCTTTCTTAAAGAACATGAAGTTATTTGTCTGCAGAAAGACAATAATCAGTTGTCAGAAGTGTTTGGGCTTTGGATCATATATCGCAGCTCACAAGCCAGCTTTAACCAAAAGCCACAAGAAAAGAAGGCTGGAATGGACCCGTGAGCATGTGAATTGGACAGATGACCAGTGGAGAGGTGTAGTGTGATCAGATGAATTACAGTTCACAGTTGATAGTAATGATGGAGTAGCTAGGGTAATTAGGAAAGTCGATGAAAGGTTTAAGGAAGAAAATATCAATGATGGAACCAAGTGGGGGAAGGGTAGTGTGATGAATTGTAGCTGTTTTTGGGCCAGTGGTTTTGGCCCTTTAGTGTTCCTAGATGGTAACGTAAACCAAGACCAATATGTAAACACTTTGCCTCAGAACTTCCTCCCTTGGTTCCAAAATCTTTCACGGGAACAGAACATGAGCTTTGTGTTCCAAGAGGACAATGCCAGCTGTCATACTGGGTCGTACTCGAGGTGGCGGAAAGATAGCCATGAGATCCGAGGTTTTGACTACTGGCCCGCTCAAAGCCCGGATCTCAACCTCATTGAGCATCTCTGGTGGGCTCTTGAGAGGCGTATGAGTGACGAGAGGGTCAGTATTAACAATGTTGAAGATCTGAAGGTTGTAATGCAATGAGAGTGGCAAAGGATAGGTCTTGAACTTTTATTAACTTTGGCCAGAAGCATGCAGCATCGATGCAAGGCTGTAATTGAGGCCAAAGGAGGTCATACAAAATATTGATCTTTTATTTTTTTTTATATTTCAATAACAAACATATATATAATCTTTTATTTGAAGTTCGAATGCTTTAGCTTTTATTACTGAGGAGCAGTTGCATGTTGAATACATGTCATGATTTCTCTCATGCATTTTTTGGGCTCAGAGGTCGAAATGTTTTTGATTGTGACTTTATGAGCTCGAGTTTCTTTTTTTTTTTTACTACTCTTTCTTGAATCCTGTTAAAGAATGATTTTCAAAGCTAAAACAAAAACTTTGTTGAGAATTTTTTGAATGACAAAGAGATCGTGTTCAAGAGAATGAAGACTAATAGATGTGAAATAACAAGACAGAATTATACAAAAACCGAGTTAAATATTTAATTTTGCTTTATACAAAGTGTTTAGCTATAAAAATAAATATTTAATATACTCTTATCTTTAAATATAAATATTTTGATAGTTGAAATATGGCTAATTAATTTTTACTAACAGGCAAAATTTTGCAAAAAAAAACTTATTTGAGTTCAAAAATTCTTGATTAGTTATTCACTTGTTTTATTTTATTTCTTTAAAGTAAGAATTGTAGCATTTGTTTCTACAAGATACAAAGGTTTCAGCTATACTATACAGGCACACACAATACTATTAAATAAAAGTAAATAAAATTTACAAATATATAGCTATTATTCAAAAAGCAATAACTTTATACATAATATAGCTAGAAGCTGTAAATTTTATACAATCAAAGATTGAGATTTTTATTTAACAAAAGTAAAATAAAGAAAAGGTAGATTGCTAGTAATCGTTGGGATCTTCATATATATTAATTAAGGTTTGACATCTTTTCTGCATGTTTTCAACCAAGTATCTCACAAACTCTTAATTCAATGCAACCTACTTCTCTTGTAAAGCTGCCTTTAAATTAGCCAGGAAGGTGATAGAGACTTTTGTTTTGTTGGTTTCCCTTTCAAGAGTACTTTATATATTCTTAATTGGATTTTAATTCAGACTTTAGAAAGGCTAGAAGTCAAATCTACTAATATGATGAGTTCTCTTCCACTATTAAGCATATGTCTCTGTGTGACAGCTTGCTCCATTTTCAAGAAGGATGGAAAATCTTTTATGATATTTTGGGATAGTTGTGAGCTAAAGATGAAAGTCTGGTATCAAAATATCAATGTATTTATTCTAATTCACGGTTTTTCTTTTGATAATATTTAACAGCCCATATTATCCACTCAAAAAACAGCTCCAAGCCATTACACTACCATTACCCCACTTAAATGCAGCAATAAAATATTTTTCTGCATATCTTTCTCCGACTTTTTGAAAGAAGCACTTTGATTCATCAAGGTTTTTCAAGCAGAAACAAGACTCGGCAGACCATATCATACTTGCCTATTATTTATTGGGCCAATTCACTTATAATTTGACTCAACGAAATCTGACCCTCTTTTATTGTTCTGTTAGTTGCAATTTGTGTGAATCAATGCAATATTTGATGTCAAAATTCTTGATGTAGTCAATTACAATATTTCTTTAAATATTAATAGATATTGATATTAGTGTCTTTCTTACTTGATTATATAAGATAAATGAATTTTGTATAATTCTTTTCAAGTGTCTTTTAGATTTCTCATCAACTTTTCTGAGTGCACCAGTTGTTTTACAAGACAGTAGATTGCCATAGATTTGTATAAACTTTTTGATTTTTTGTACACTTTGCAATTTCATCTCTATGATTATTATAATCTCATAGAGCATAAGACTTGTCTTTAGAAGATCGGAAATCCCCCAATATTTTTCTTCTTTCTATAGACGATAAGGGCCATGAGTTCTCTCAAAAAATCTTAACAATGAGAATTGTAGATCGTACCTACTACAATTCTGGCTGACTCGGTTCTATCCTCAGATGTGGTTATAGGCTCTCAGAGCCGCGCTTTTATTTTACGTAATAATATAAATGTAATAAAATATCAGTTCCTCCTTTCCCTTCATATCTTTCCAAACCGCGCAACGTGGAGATGAATTTGATCAATATCACAGATGAGCAATTAAGAGCACTTTTCGAGTGACACATTTGAGAGATACTATTTCAAACCAAACAGTCAACACCAATGAGGAGCTACTAACACTGAGACCATCTTTTTACCAATACGGACAACAAAACCGCATTTGAGGATGGAACAAAGTCAACCAGAATTGTAGTAGGTACGACCTATAATGCGTCTGTTGACAAAGTGACATCTGAAGATGTGGCGAGTTTCCGCAGTTGGTATTAAAAGTTCTTACCATTTTAAACAATTTTACAATAATCTCCTTCCCCAAAACATAAGTTAGAAAAAAGATCATATTCACTTAGCTTCGGAAAGCTATAAAGGGAAAGGGAAGATTGATATTTTATTACATTTATATCATTACGGAAAATAAAAGTGTGGCTCAGAGAGCCTATAACCACATCTGAGGATGAAACCAAATCAACTGACACATTTGTATTATGAAATAAGTATAAAAATATTTTTGGGCTTTATCCAGCATAATTATTATTACTATATAAGCTATTGCTTTCTGAATAATAAACTTATGTATTTAAGAAAATTGTAGCATTTAATGTTATTTGCAGTAGTCTCTTTCTAGAAACAGGACAAAGTTTTCATGATTCTCATTAATTTCATTTTCGCAAAACGTTTTTGACTTGAATCTGTAATAAAAAAGAATTTATACTAATTAAATTATGATAATACTTGGCTCCAAACTTTTTTCTATCGTATATAGGGATACTGCTAACAAAGCATGCTTTGATATTCCCTCTACTTTCATCAGAAAATATATAGTACGCACTAATTAGATTCAAGGCACTTGGTCCCTACCTTGGTCCTGAAGTTATCAAGAAACCACTACAGCTATATAAGATAGTCAGATTATGTTTTAGCTAAAATTTGCACAATCAAAAATTGTGCTTGGTATAACATAGTAAAACATTGGGACAGATAGTGAGATACTGTTATTAAAACAGTTAAGTAGCTATTACTATTAAGAAGAATAAAGATATTTATAAATATATAAATAAAAAATAAATATAATTTAGACTATATGACTTGAAAGGTTTAATAATGTAAATATTCTGTATTAATCTGAAAGTGTATTTGATTTAAAAGGTCTGACATGGTGTGTGTTCTTTTGGTTCCGCTCAGACCACAAATATCCTGCAAAGAAGTATGACGCTCTTTGCAGGATTTCCTTCAATCCCCTTGCACAAGGCATACCCTTGTACATTGTATTTCATCATTGGTACTGCTTTAATAGAGCTTTATAACAAAGTAGTATAGATTGTTCACATATAAAAGTCTTCAGACGAAGCAATAATAAAACAGAATCCTTCTCTATCTTTATTTTATTGATCAAATCCTTTATTTTACTTTTGTTTATACATTTATTTCATCGTCACTGACTTATAACAACTCTTCGCGATAGTTATAAGCATACTTCTTGTTATATTTGACCTTTTCTATACACATTTTATTACATCTCCTTACTGTTGGATAGACCCGAGCATTATCACAGTAATTCATCTCTATATCTATATATATTTGCCTTCTGAACTCGTTGGCAACCCTATTCTCATTTATTATTTTTCTGACAACGTTGCACCACACCAACTCAACACTTGTCACTAACAACTGACTTCATTTTGCTGAAAAGAATAAATAATATTTTTTGGCTTTCAGTATCGGCTATGATCCAAAAATTAAAGGCTTGAGCTATAAGATCAATGTATTTATTCTGGTTTATGCTTTTTTTTAAAAGAAAAATATCTTTCATAATTCAAATACTTCATGTCAAAATTATAATATAATAATTATATTAATTAGACTTCATTTTATTATAGTAATGATATATCTTTCTTCGTATTTTCTTCTAACTTTTGAAAAAACGCAATGTAATTTAATGTTGCTCTTCAATCAGAAATGAGACTTAAAAGATCATATCACATTATTGTATTAGCTATTAGACTAATTTATCTGTAATCTGATTTAATTAAACCTGGCCTTCTTGTGCTATTCTATCAAGTACAGCATATTTGCAGCGATACAAGATTTAAAGTCAATGGATTTGAGCTAGTCAATTACACTTTCTCTACAAATGCTAGTTAATATTTATGCTAATGCCATTCTGAGTTAATTATACAAGGTAAATATATTTTCTTGCATAATTATTCTTCAGGTGCCTTTCAGTTTTCTTATCAATTTTTATGCGTGTGCCAGTTGATTTATGAGGTAACAGACTGCCATAAATTTTTATACATCTTTTTATTATTTGTATATAATAATTTTATCTAAAAGATTGCTTTAATCTCATAAAGTGTAATATCTGTCTTATGAAGATAGAAAACCTTTTAATATTTTTCTTTTCTCTGTGGACTATAAGATCATTGAGTGCTTTTAAAACTTTTTGTTGGGTATTTTATTTTATTTTTGCATATGAAGTAGTCAATTAAATATTCGTTTATATAGATAAAACGTTTTATTGGAGGCTAGTAATAAAATATAGAGATTCTAAAAAAAATAATGTTGGTTGAACATCCATCATCAGCTATAGGAGGTGACAAGACAAATCTGAGATATTATAGCATTTTTTTAATAAAAAAAGGGTTTTGATTTTAAAGGGAAAAATTTTGTAGAATACTCCAGAATAAATTTATAAATGATAGCTATTTTTGCTTTCTTTTACATTGTACACTACAATCACATTAATGAATACTTTACAATTTTAATATATCAGAAACTAGGATAAGAAATATATTTCACGATATGTCATTAAAGCTTTTATATAACAGAATAGATATATGCAAATGGTCCAAGTCTAAAGCCTGTTGGTTTCAAAGAGTAAGAGAGTAGGATGTCTTAGCTAATACCTAATTCATCAAAGTCAAATTATTTTGAAAAGATGAATTGTAATGCATTCTATCCTACTACTTAAAGCTATATAAGCTATTTAATCGACTAATTTTGATCTATGGTTAATTATATAAATCTGCTTTTGCTATTTGAATTAAAATAAATATACACTTTTCTCAAAACATGTTATTGTCTCAACGATAAATTTAATAATTCTCGGTATAAAATTCTCTATTTAAGTGATGCACTATTAGACTTGTTAAAACTATACAAGATAAAGGGAATCTATAAATGATATATTGTTGGCAGATACTTTGTATAAAACAATATATTTTTTCTCTCACTTTTATGTTTCGATTTTTAATTGGGGTTCCAGAAGTTTGTAGTTATAGCTTCATATATATTTATATTTGTTTTTATTTTGTAAAAGCAACCAAGCAAACTAATTTTACTTTGGGATTTCATTATATCTATGTAATTATGAACTGTATAGAAAACTAAGTAATAAAGTTAGCCAGAAAGAAATGTAAAGTACAATAAAGAAGAAATATTACATATATGAGCAATGGGAATAATATTTTGTAAGCCATATTAATATTACACAGTGTAAAGGAATATACAGACTTTTCGCATCGAAATAGCCATTTGGGACATAAATTTGGACACAGCCGCAAAAACAAATCATCACATATACACTATCAAAATAGCCATGGATGCAAATTAAAAGTATTTATGAAAATATTTTGCTTCATATTTACGCATCTGCTGTGAAATGAGATACTGTGTCTCACCCAGCCTTCACAGTCCCGCTTGGTAATTGAGTGGCTTCCGTCCTTGATTCTTCCCATCAGTGTTTTCTGGCTATCTAGAGGGTGCTTTTTAACAAAAAAAAATAATTTTGAAAAGCACTTCTCTACAGAGTTGAGGAAGAGGGAATAGGGAGGGAGAAATCTAAGCGTGTGCTTGTTTATTTGCTCTAGCCACTCTCTCAGGCTAGAGTTGTAATGAATTCTTGCATTGTCTACAACAAGATGATAAGGTCCAGCATTGGCTCTATCCAATTTTTCAACCAATTGTTGAACAAAGTTTTTGAATATTTGGCCTATAAATTATTCAATAAATGATAAAGATTCTTATATATATGTATAAATGTCATCTAGGAAAGCAATACTTATGCTAAACATTCTTACCGGTTGTTCCACCTTCTACCACCTACGCATGGCATGCTTCAACTCCTTCAGCTGACAATGCAAAGAGGATTGTCACATTTTTGGCTCTTTTCGACTTGTCATCACAAGAGCAGGTTGTCCTGCCTTTGTCCTGGCACGGCCTTTTATAAGATTGAAGTTGAATCCAGCCTCATCGATGAAAATACAGTTTTGATAGTATAAGATCCCTTCCGGCTGTAGGCTCAAGATGAAGTCGTGCCTTTTTGCAAGAGTTATCTCGTTATTCCTCTTCTCCTCAATCGGCGTCGCTCTCTTGAGAGTGATTCTCACAAAATGACGGAGATACTTGCACAGGGTTGAGACACTGACGTTCTTCACATCATCAAAGTGACTGATCACTTCTAGGCGTAGCTCTTCAAGCGTGATGGTGCTGTTCTCGGCAATTACATCCAGAATAAAACACTTGTGATGCTCTTCAATAATAGATCTTAGGTCACCACCTAGAGGCTTGTACTTCACGCTCCTTGTTTCCTCAAGTCTTTTGATTATTCCGTTCACAGTTGATCATAGAATGTTAAGTTCTCGAGAAATTTCTAGTGGAGATTTCATCAGGTTTGTGCTCTTGTCTACTATCAATTGGCATATATGGGCTGATTGAGTCACCGAACTATGCTTGGTCCCCTTTCTGCTTTTTGGAAGCTGCACTGAAGATGTTTTTGTATCAGATATTGTTAGTTTGATGAGAGATATGTGTAAATTTGGTTTTGAATGTAAGAAAGAGAATAAATGAAGGTTGATATAAATATTTATTCTTATTTTTGTATGCTCTTTATTTATATTAGAAGGATATATGCTATTTGCTTTAAGTTACGTAAGAGAGGCAGATAATGCCATATATTGCATATATTTTTGTTTGATTTCCTTGCTTATTGAAAATAAAATAAAAAATCATGCATCTCTTACGGCTATCAATATTTCAATTGTTTTTACCCGTTATTATTACTATTATTAAATCTTTAAAATATGACTATTGCCCAGCGTTACCTTAATTTGCATCCATAGCTATTTCGATAGTGTATGTGGCGATTTGTTTTTGCGGCTGTGTCCAAATTTATGTCCCAAATGGCTATTTCGATGCCAAAATTCTGTATATAAAAAGACTTTGAGGGTTTATTTTATTTCTTGATTTGTATAAAAGCTTAATATATATATACTGTCTACTTATCTAGCTAGCTAGCTTCCTATCCAACTAATAATAGTAGAGATCAGGATAATAAAGAACAATATTTTACTAACTTAAGACATAGCAACATATGTATCATCATTAATGCTTTTATTTTCGTGGCGTAAAGCATTAATAATCTCGCATGAATACATAATAATCTCAATAGTTAGTTATATTTATAATTACAGTAGCTGATACAGAGAAATATAAAGGCCAAGCATTATTTTTTAAATGCGTACCAGCAATATAGCACACATATCTGTATGTTATCTTCTTTGTACTCATCACTTATTAAATGATATGCTATGCTATGCTATACTATGCTATACTATGCTATGCTAAGCTTTTGAGAAGAAAACACTTGACATTTGAAATAAGACATTATTGATCTATATTGATCGCAACATTTACACATACCATTAGCTCTTATATTATCAAAAGTATATCTACTTCACAATACATTTAATTTATTTCAATTTAGTTAAGCCAGTTTAATTATTAGATATATAGGTATATAACCCACAAGCTTATCAATGCAATTTGACTTTGCTGAAAATGGTATTTTTTTAAAAAAAAATTACAGCTTATTTCTTTATTATTTATGATCGTTTACTATTAGCAAAGACAAGCAATGCTCTGACAATTCTTTAGCTATATCACTTGTGTAGACTAAGAGTACTAATATATAGGTTTACTCTTAATTAGATACAGATTTCATCTGTTACACATTAATTTTGCCTTATTCCTAACCTACTTACTCACCGACTGTATTTTTCTCTTTATTATTTGACCATCTAGTAAGACTAGTGTATACACCGGCTGTTTTTTTTTAAAAAAAAAATTAACAGATATTAAAGCCAAGGCTGAACAAAGTTTAAACGAAATATATATAACTACCTATTGAAGTAGGTTGCTTTTGGAAGCAATTTTGTCATACGAACCAAGCCATCAAGAGGTAGAAACGCAAAGATAGAGAGACTGTTATATTATATACGTGTGTATTTTAGGAATAGACTGTAAGCCATAATTATAATTTATTAAATGTTAGATATATCAAAGGCTTTATGTGTGTATTTATTTATTGCCGAGATCATACCCATTTTTACATTCATTACTCCCAAACTCAATTTGGATACAGGCTGGATTATCTAAATTTTCACTTTTATAAGGTATTAATAAATTCAATGTATTTCTTATGCCACAATGTGACCATGGGAATAAAGTACATATGCATGTCTCCATGTCTCTATATATCTCTGTTTGTTTACTATACAACCTAATTTGCATGCTTTACCTTTTTTCATACTTCCTATATTACTGACAAGAAATACCAATGCTAAATAAACATGTTTTGCATCTTTCCAAAAATTGAAAAAGTCTTATTTTACGTATTACTTTTATTATAAAAACAAAAACAGTAACAAAACGCTGTCTACTGTACCATCTACACTTTTTTTTAAAAGAAAAAACAACGTTTAATATTTGTGGATACGGGCATTGAATGAAAATTAGATAAAGTAGTACTTTACATCAGAGTTTAATGCATAACAGTCCATACACATTATGTTTTACTATTGAAACAACTAGGAATAAAGGAGGCTTTTTTTAAAAACTACAAATACATTTAATATATATATATCAGAGTCGTGATATCTTCTTTCAATCATTCAATCATTAGCGTTCTGTTATCAATTTACAGAACAAAAGAAAGAGAGAAATGATGATTGAGGGTAGTTGTAAGGACCAGCTTTTTGTTACTGTTGATTTTGTTTTGTTTGCAGTAGCTTAATATTATTAGGCAAATCTCAAAAGATAAACTTGAGGTCTAATGCTTTACGAAATCAAAACAATTAAATATGGTTTATCACTGAACCTTCGGGCTCTCCTCCAGGAATAGGTCTAGTTTTATTTCCAAAAATAAAATATATATAAAAAAAAGGGTGGGAGTGAAAATATGTAATAATTACGTACAGTTTACAAGAACCAAAATAGGTCAATAGAACATTGAATAAGAGCCTACGTTATATCACAAAATAAACAAAATAAACAAGAAAGATAGAAAACAAGAAACACAAAAGACCGCATGTGTTTTCTTTAAAAGTTCAAACTCTGAGAATTTTGTAAAACTTTCATGCAGTTTTTTATTTCTTATCACTTTAGTACAGACACATACACATGCACATGACTACTGATATACTGCAAAGTACTTGCACAGCATGTGGCACAATGTATATCAAAACTACTTCATAAGGCTAGTAGCTCAAAAGGACTTGTGGGTAAGAATACATATGTTCTTATGTATCTATCAGACTCTAGACTATTTCTTTAAAATAAATCAAAATAAAGAATGAAAGATGTGATAGAGTTGTACACACTTGTCAAACTGCAATCTTTGTGTAACAGAAATAGTATAGATATCTATATTACAGATAGAGATACATATAAAAACAAGAAGCTTGATCAATTCTTTATCAGTTCAATTAGATTGAAGTATTGTAATAGGCTGTAGAGAAAACAGAAATCCTATGTTCTTCAGTCTATAAATATTAATCGTAAAGATATAGAAGTACATTATAATTTATAACAGATATTTTATAGGTACAATATGTACAATTTAATTTGAACCATGAACATATTTTATAGAAACATTGATTCATGTAGTCCAGGCTATGTGGTAAACCCGCTATTGTTTTCATCATCATTTTACATTAGCAACAGTAGTAATAGTAGTAGTAGTAGTAGTAGTAGTAGTGGCTGTGGTGGTGTACGAGTAACAGTTATAGCTCTCAATTAGCTCAAAGTACACCACAGCTGATACATGAGACTGAGGTATTCATGTAATTCTGATATTTCTCTCGACTACCCTCCCCTCTCTGTCTATTTGACAGTACATAACCAAACCCTCTGTGGTTCCCGATAGCCAATATACCTTTTAAGCCAATCGCTCCAATGATACACCAATATACATACACACACACATACATACATACACATACATATATATATATGTGTATATACATATGAAGACAATATGTTTGTATTTACAAGAGAAATATCTAGAAAATCAAAATCAGGATATTCACAAATAGACTTCAATATATATATATATGTATATGTATATAACGATAATGATAATGATAATGATAATAAAACGAAATGAAAAATTAAAATCTACAATATATTCAATCCATTCTTATTCATCTTGAGCTTCCAATTTTTGCTGTGCCTCTGCGTTGGCAACTACTTCAGCAAGGTTTGATTGGTTTCCTCCTGCTGCTGCGTCTTCCTCAGTCAAACGTTGACCTACAAAATTAAGAGCAAGTAATTCAATATACTATCATTGTGTTGCATTTATATCGCAAGCCTTATCCCCACATATATTCACACAAACTCACACTCACTCACTCACTCACTCACTCACTCACTCGCTCGCTCCTTTACTTACTTACTCTCACTCCCATATACACATACACACAACCATCCACACAGCCATCCACATCCGTATCCACGCCGATATCAGTGCCAATATCCATACCAGCGTACATACACTAGTACACTCACATCCGTATATATATACACTAGACCACAATAGACACTACTACTAATATTACTCACGAAGAATTTCTAATACTGCACGCTGAGTCCTTCGGTCCAATTTCTCCAACTTCTTTTCGACATCACGTTTGAGATCCCAGTTAGCTTTTTTGGGAGCCAGATTGAAAAGATCCTGGTAATGGACATGTTAATAAAGAAAAAAGAACAATTGACCCTTGTTTCATCATTTTTGTCGTTGTTGTTGTTGTTTTACCTAAGCAAAATAATACTAATACTAATTATTCTTTGAGGCTAAGCTACACAACACAACACAGCACAGCACAACACTAAACTAAACTAAACAAGTCAAGACAAAAGTAATAAAAGAATGAAAGTAAAAGGTAGAAATAAAAATAGAAAATTACATACAACTTCTTCCTTTTCCTTTACAGCTGCTTTGGCAAGTACTTCCTTGGTGATTTCTTTTGTTTCAGTCTCGACTGTTTCTCCAATGTCATCTGGTGTAGCAATCTTGACGTGCTGTTTCAATTTCTCATCGGCAGGTGTGTAACTTCTGAATGAAAGCTTCCTAATGGTGCGGATTGAGTTTTGATGTTTTGAATTATTATTTTATTTAGAGAGAGAGAAAAATAAAAGAGAGAACATTAATAATAAGAAATAATGATGATAATAAAAAAAGATAAACTAATTTAATTAAACAATCTTTTGCTGTTTGGTAAAATGTCGCGTAAGATGTAATCACTTTACTTTTCGGAATCTTCGGTGGTTCTGTTGTTTACAGAGGATCCCAGCTTCCTTTTTCTAAGGGCTTCGAGTCTTTCCTTTCTTTTGATGGCCTCTTCTTCCATTAGATACAAATAAACAATTTATTGAAAGATATATATATATATATGTGTGTGTGTATGTATGTATGTATGTATGTATGTATATTTATGTCTGTGTGTATATGTATATATGCGTATGTGTAAGTGTGTATGTGTGTAGGGCTAGACAAAAACGTCTCTCTAATTCGGCTATCAAGTGTTTCTGGGTTTAAATATGTGACTTGCTTTAAGTTTCTTTCAAATAAATTATTTTGACTGTGTGTAGCGTGCTGTGTATATTGAATTGTATTGAATAGAGTTAGGTTGGGTTGTGTTGCCTGAAGGGTAAAGAAAAAAAGGAGCTATAGAGACTTATTGGTATTCTTGTGAATTAGGTTACATTTTTCTTGAAACCAAAACTAGAATAGATTTGTACACCAAAAAAAAAAAGAAAGAAAGAACAAAAGAAAAGATAGAAACTAAGCTGTTTGAGTTGATTTTTATGTTGAATTGTTGATATTGACACTTGCTTTTTGGTTTGGTTTGGTTTATTTTGTTCTAGTTGTTATTTGAATAGTTTCCTTTGAAACCATATACACAATTAATTAATACTGTTGCACTGCACTCTATTTGTATTTACAAATAAGAAATTATCAGTAAAATTTAATTCCATTAGTTTCACACACTACACACACAAACCAGTATAGGTACATATATTGTATATGTGTATGCGTGTGTATATTAAATGCTTTCATATATTTGGATAGTTTAAAGGAGTAGGTCATTTCTTGTTTTCTTATGTGCATTTCACGTTGTCGTCATTCTTGCGATTATTTTTATAATCAATAAAAAAAAGGGAGAATTGTACGGTCATTTTTTACATACGAAATTGATGCCATATATTTGTCACACACACGCACACACATATACATATACATATACATATACATATACATATACATATACATATATTAAATTCATACATTGTATTCGTATTTGTATTTTTATTTGTGGTTGTGAAGGTTTATGTTGGTTTTGAATTTTATAAACATTTATGGTACGAGGAGTTACATTTGTTTTTCTCTTTGATCAGAAAGAAGAAGAAGAAGAAGAAATTAAGAAGAAGAAAAATTAAAAGAGGAAAGTAAGAGAATGTAATAATTGTCTAAGGAGAGCTATTAAAAGGGATAGAGTAAGAGGAAGGAAGATAGTAAACAAGCGAGATAGTGAAAGATGTACTGAGGATAATAGACAGACGAATAAAGAGAGGATGAGGAGAAGAGGAGAAGAGGAGAAGAGAGAAAATAGGGAATTGAAATAAAATAAATAAATATATATATATATATATATATAATAAAAAGGAAACAGCAGACGCAATAGCAGTAGAAGCAGAAATGAGAATGAGAATAAGAGTTATTATGTATCTATCGTTATTACACCTCATATCTCTTTCTGATAAACACAGGAATCAGGGCAACCACACCTACTGCCACGAGGCATGCAACATTGATGGGTGTGAAAAGCTTGAGCTCATCGGAAGACGAAAGTCGGTCGAGAGCTGCGCCGGCCTGGACGTGAATAAATGACGGACCAGCAACGCCTGTTGTTGTTTTTGTTGTTTGTTGTTGAGAAAAATATAAATAAAAATTTATATAGATTGATATAAGCTTTAAATATTTGTCTCACAGCTGCAAATAAAGAATTAGGGCTTTTTGTAACCTACCAATAAAAGTTCCCCAGAAGAATGCGCTGATGGGAACATTAAGGTGTGGTGCGCCAAGATTGACGGTCCAATTGGGTGGTAAAGGTGCCACGCGCAGGACAATCATGTAGTTGAGCATATGCTGCTTATGTTGCACAAGCTTCAATCGTCATACAGAACGTCAATGCATGTGGATGAGGGAAAAATGAGATAGTGATAAAGAAAAGCAAGGAAAGCAAGATAATTTCAAAAGAAAACAAAAATTATTATTTATATATATATATATATATTATATATGCAACTCTAACTGTGTGTGTGTTTTTTTTGTAAAAAAATAAAAAATAAAATAAAAATTATTATTATTATTACCTGTTCATTCCATTTTGAAATTCTGTCTCCAATCAAACGCATAACCGCTACTGAGCCTAGACTACCGGAGATGATGAATGCCACACAGGACCCAATTGCAGAACACTAGGTCAAAAATAATAATAATAATAATCATAATAATGAAAAAAAAATTAATAAGAGTTATGAAAGGAAAACAAGTTCAATTGCTAATGGCATTGATGTACATACCAAAGAAACTGTGAATAAAGCTGTCCAAAAGTTAAACAGAGCTCCACCTAGGATAGATAGCCACATTGAGCCTGGAACTGAAAAACTTTGGAGACTAATATATAAAAAGAAAAATTACACAAATACAGACACACACAGAAAAGAGAGAGAGAGAGAGAGATTAGCCGACACAGAAAAAAAAAGAGACTGTGAGAGTTTAGGTAAAAACTTGTATAATATATTTGTACTTACTAGACATATGTTATAAAAAAGGTTACATACACATTTCCAAAGTGTTGGTTAATGTACACAGACAGAATGGCATTTAGCCGGCGAAGGTCTTCCAGATTTTTTGGAAATTTGAGTGCATCCTTGTCTTCTCTAATGTCAAGTTGTATGTGAGTGTGTGCGTAAAGTATGGGGATTTCGTTTAATGTAGTGAACAATGGAGGTTGCCGATTGCTTTTATTATCATTCCTTTTGGTTTGTTGCTGATGGTGTAATTCATGGCTTTTTTTTTAAAGAATGAAAAAAAAAAGATATACAAGGAACTCACGGTTCTACTGCTGGTAAGTTGAGTCTAAGAAGAGCCAGCTCAAGACAACTAAAGACAACCAACAAGAGAACCAAGGCAGCTAGTGACCATTTGTAAGAATTGCTTCTCCACAGCCATATGTGGTGCCGCTCTTCAATAATTGACTTTGTCTGCAGCTCGCCGGTTTCTTCATCAGGCTGGATTGTTTTGTATGTTGTTGTAACGTCTACCGCCTGCGGTGAAGAAAGGAGAGGGGTTTTGGCATTGCTTAGCATCTTCATGAGGAGAAAATATATATTACTACTATAGTAGAGGTTGAGAGCCAGAGAGATAAAGGGAGAAGGAGAGAGAGAGAGAGAGAGAGGAAGGAGAGAGAGAGAGAGAGAGGAAGGAGAGAAGAAGAAAACGACAGATATATATATAAACGGAAGAAACGGCCAAGTGACTTTAATATACAATACACACAAATATAGTAAATGTATTATATATAGTATACATATATATTTCATCCGTAAAGTCGGAACTGGAAAAACAAAAAGTATGAAAATGAAATAACTCTTTCCTTTTATTGACAGCCAAATTGTTCTCCTCCTTGGTTTACCCGTTAAAAATAATAATAATAGTAGTAGTAGTAGCCGCAATCGTAGTATATTATAATATAATACAATATAATTAAATAGTTATCATGGAAGAAGATAATTTAGCACCTTTGATTCCTTTTGAGGAGAAGAACTTCTTTTGCATAGAATATCCTGGTTACATTAAGAATGTCGATCGTGCCCTGGAAACTATGGGAGGAGAGAAAAATATTTCAAAAGTAAGATCTAAATCCCAGCACGGACAAGAACCATAAGAATATAAATATATTTATATATAATGATCGGATCTGGTTCATTGTATTCGATCAATCTCATGACAACAAATGTACATATATGCATGCATGCACGATTAGGCATTGAGCAAAGCTGAACCGCTTCAATTGAAATTTAGACCCAAAGATCCGTTTTCTCATCCAATCAACGGTGACATTGTCCAATCTTCAAAATTACTACTCAAAGTAACACGTCGAGTTAAAAAAGGAAGACCACTTTCTGAAGCAACACTAGAAACACGGATATTGGGTCAAATAAACAAAACATGTCGATTTGGAGGTGCGTCAATATACACACTCATAAATAAATATGTTTGTGTGGCCTGGATTGTATTGAATTGGAATGAGTTGGATTATGTATACATATATTCCAACAATAAATACTTACAACCAAGTTGATATATATGTATATATATGTGTGTGTGTGTGTGGATCGGTGTAGGTCTTGCTGATTTCCAATACTTGGTACCAAAGACTACGCCGTCTGTACAATTGAAAGATGCGATTATAAGTGGTGGCAGTAAGTTGATATTGACAATGATGTGTCTTATATTATTACTATTATTCATTTGTTTGATTTTGGTTTGTTCTTTTGCTGTCTCTATTGTTCTATAACTACCACACGACACTGCACTGAAAAACAGTCGACAGAATTATGAATCACAGATTTGCAGAAGATAAAATTGATCTGAATAACCTTCAGAATATCCCTCCACCGCTGTTCAGTGTATCAGAAACCCCATGCAGTTATGGGTATGTATGATTTGCAATCCGATCTATTTGGTTTATTCGATGAGTATTCTTCAGTTGAGTTCCATTATAACCTAATTATCTATCCATCTTTCTATATAAGATATCGACAGTGTGGAACTGTTGTGAAAGTTCGTGTTCGACAGCCAGATGGTTCAGTAAGTCCAATAAATAAATAAATAAACACACAAGCATACATATGTAGTCTTGTTTAATTAACCGAGTTACTTGTGAAATTTACTTCTTTCATTATCCTTATTGCTCTTATCAACATATATGTTAATGTAGTTCAAGATCAAACTTATCAACAGAAACCGAAGAAAAGGTTTTGATATTATATATATCAATTTCGCTGGTGATGATATCCTTTTGATTTTATTTCACTAATTTCTTTACTTGTGTGAATATATACTTGGAATTCATTTATATATAGTATTTATCATTTAATAAATATTCCTTGACAATTATTTCTGCTATTACTTAGTCCAGATAAACCAAAAAAAGATATTACGAATGGTGAGGAGAAGTACAAGGCCACAGCCATTGAGTTAAGAAAGGTAAGGAAGAAAAGAAAAACACAAAAAAATGAAAGATAATCAAATAAACGAATGGTATATGTTAGCTATTCAATGAACGTTACATCTGGTCTCGTACTGCTTTAAAAGCCTTTTTAGCACCTGAACACCATGAATATATCCCACTGTAATCAATCAACCAATTAATTAATATCGTATAAATATATATAGAATGTGAGATTATTAGTTTTAACATATATGATTATAATTATCCTTATATTTTTCCATCGCGATATTAGTGTATTGCCTTCAATTGCCTATACATTTAGAGATGGTCCGTGGCGTTTTTGTTGGATCTTGTATGGAATCGATCCAAGAAAAGATTCAAAATATGCAAAGTAAGTTGGTCTCTATGATATATATATAACACATTTGATCTAATAAATATATATAAAAGATATCAGCAGGTTGATACTCGTAAACCTGTTTCACCAGGAACCACCGTACAACCCGAAAGAAATACTCGACTTACTAGAGGAAATAACCCTTTCGCTGTTTCTGTAAATACTGTTAATTCAACCTCGTAAGCTAACACACCTACAATTAAATAAATAAAACTTACAAACTTTCTTTACATACAGTGCATCTGCAAAATCTCAGGTATTCTCAGCTGAAGCTACAGAACCTTCAACAAGATCCGCGTTGTATCAATTGTGTGATATTGGTAATGAAGACATCAAGAGCATTATCAATAATCCAGCTTATATCAAAGAAGTTCCTACGGTGAGTCCATAAAAGAAAAAGAAAAAGAAAAAGATATCCTCATAATTAGGTTTTGCGCACGTATAAGTATGTAATTGGTGTTCTTACATTATTAATTGTATTAGAAACGATCTGGATACTATTATGACTGTGTGGCACATTTTCTTCGAGACGCTGTACGTAGGAAAATTGAGGATGTGAAAGATAGAAATGACCAGGAAAGCTATGAGAGCCTAGTAAAAAGCCTACCCGAGAAGGTTGAGAAAGAAAAAGAAGCTTTACTTTTAGGACATTCAACTGAAGAAATCGCAAATGATTTGGGTACAATGGTAAGGCTTTCTCTCTTTATACAGGTATCTTGTTTTGTTTGCGAGTAATAATCTTTATATGTATGTATGTACATATATTTTTTGTGATTTTTCTTTTCTTTTACAAAAAAAAAAAGTCCAATAGCTTTATCGACAGAATCGAAAGAGGAGGTATGTTTGTTTGTTAATGTATATGTATATATATATTTACTAATTTTTTATTATGTTCAATTGTGGGAAAATATAGATATTTATGCAGACGATTCTGATTATGAGGATATTGAGGATATTGAAGATATTGAAGAAATTGAAGAAGATGAGGATATTGAGGATAATGGAAATGAAGATGACGACGATGAAGATGACGATGATGATATCGTACGTAGTATCAATAAGTTGGATAAGGGCAAGAGAGTCCGTCTAGAAGATTTGGAACTTGATGAACTATTGAAATAATCTGCTTTTTTGCTTTACTTTCATTAAAGAAAAGATGAAATAAAGAAATATTGGGTCTGAGATTGGCAAAGAGAAAAAAGTAGATCAATTACAACAAATGATTTTGAACAAGATGTTCTCTAATATACGTTTGACCAACCCAACAATCAATGTAGATGGATAAAACAGACATCTCTATTAATTCCTACTAATATTCGCTATCATGATAATTTATGCCAAGATTTCTTTCTTTTAATTTTATTTTATTTTATTTTTTTCTGCTTTCAATGCATTTAACTAGGATTCATTGACTGCGATTTCTCAGTGCTACATAAATTATACATTAATATTGTACTTTTCATTTTATACGTTTTCCTTTTTTTTATTTATTTATTTATTTTCTTTTCTACCAGACTTGGTGTTTTTTTGGGCTTAGCTTTTACTATTTCAAGTGAATGAAAGAGAGAAATAAAGAAGAGAATTCTGATGTCATTTAAAATGAGAATACATGGTATAATTTTGCTCTTGTACGTTTTATCTAAAATAACTCGTTTATTGTTATTCCTATGTGATACAGTTGCTCTACCTCTAGTCTGTAAAGTATTTGCTAAATAAACCAAATAATAATAATAATAGTAAAATCAAGGATAATAGTCAAGTTTATTCAACCAAAATAATGAAAAAAGAAATATGTATATTTTCTTACAGATGTTTTACATTTCCTTCTCTATTACTATTATTTCGAATTATTATTTTATTATAGAAATTTTGGACTTGGAGCTTCAAGTAAGAGAGACATGAAACCAAGAAAAAAATCTCCCTTCCGAAACATTTGCATAACAAGTAGGAAAATAAGTCCAATATATGCTGTATTATTCATACATATGTTAGGTTTCGAGCTAATTTCTTTTTTACAAGGAATTGATTTTGAAGGATCGTCTCTGAATTTCTCCTGATTTTCAACAAGGTCATAAAAACCTTGTAACAATGATTGGCATAGGCACGATTCAGCTGTATATAATAATATGTCTAAAATACTATATATAAAAGAGAGAGCAAGGGATAATTACGAGTTATATTGACTACACGTACACACATTCAATTCCTATGCTTTTTCACTGATATGAACAAAAAACAACAAGCTCTTCTTCTTGTGGCAAAATCTGATTTAAGCTTTACTAGACCGCGGTATTAAGATATAGTATTTTTTTTAAAAATAAAATAAAATAAAATAAATAATATTATCAAACCAATTGGTTGAAACAAAGCCAAATTTAAAATCTCAAAATAACTGTTTCTAGATTACCAACTATGCAAATTTTCTGTGTGAAAAAAAAAGCAAGAAGTTTGACAGCTATTTTGATTCTGATTGTCCCTTTAGAAAATTAGATGTAGTTAAAAATCGGTCTTCATTTATTTTTATTTTATCACTATGGATACCACTACTTCTAATACTATCACTATGACTATACCATTTATTGATGTCTATAATAAGACAAGTACACGTCATTGCTCATCAAAGGTAACACCACCCGAAACTGTTAATCGCAATGATCGACAAATGCGTGTGATATCTGTTATCCTGAGTCCCTGTGACATACAATTGACACCAAAAAGAGTAATAAACGTATATAGATATATAATTTTTATAGACTAGTACAAAAGAAAGAAAAAAAGATGGATAAATATATAAGTATATATTTCTTGGCACACAATATAAGCCAATCTTGCGCAAGTTGGTTTTCTATTGTGAATACTTCTTTATGTATAAAGTAACTAATGAATAGAGCATTAAAGCATTATCTTTGCTTTCAGATGACCTTCTTACTCTACACGTGAAATAACAGATTAGAATTAAAGTTAGTCATGTTCAAAATTACTTGGTGATAGATTATTACTACCATTACTGCTAATGTTCTTGGTTTTACTCTTATTTGTATTTTAATTAAGCTATATATTCAATTCCAGGATTAAAAATAAATTATAGTCCGGCTTACCTTTATTTTTTTTATAGAGGTAATCATAATACTAATACTTGGAGTAATAGTAATAAGAGGGGATTAGCACTTGGGTGGAGATATAATAAAAAGAAGAAGAAATATTGGCGCTAATTTTGACAACAGGGTATTCGGAAAAGAAAATTCATCGAGTGCACATGAACCTCTCTGGTAGTACCAAACAGTCAGAAGGTCAAGTATATATATGTACATACATAAAGAGGCAAAGTATAGCTGAGTAGCTGAGTAGACCGGGAGATGTGGCAGAAGGAACCCATATACAATAATGAAAGGTTTAAAGCCACACAATCATCTTTCTCTTTCTCTCCCAATAAGAACATACAGAAAGAAACAGTATAATATAAAACAAGAAAGTTACACCACAAGATAAGATAATACAAAGGTGTTGACAAAATAGATACAGATATAGATAAATGAATACTACAGTGGAGTGGAGACACATCCCTAGACATTTATCTTGCTTTCTGCAGTGGTAGTGGTAGTGGTAATTGAATCTTGAATCTTTAAGAAAAATATGTTTGAATGACTATAATTATACTCAATATGACATATGATGGACAGCAAATATTTGGCGAAAGAAAGAAAAAAATAGAAAATAGAAAATGATAAGGCAAAACGGACTGAAAATCAGTAGCGTGGGAGATTCTGTTACCAATCGCTTGTCTTGATGGTATACCTGCCAAAATCGATCATTTTCACCTGTAATATTTGGCAAGTATACGATATCTATCTTTTTTTTTCTCTAAGAAAAAAAAACTATTATGGCTGGGTATCACCATAAGCGAAGGTGGTCCACATGTACAAAATAGGGAATGTGTTGAGGTAGAAGAATAAAGGTAACCGTCACAGCAAATTATAAGCAACTGGGGTGCAGTAGGCTAGCCCTTTCAGGTGTGACCGAACTGTCTGTACGTTCGGTCCAGACTACACTAACAAACTCTGACCTTTGTCGATACTCTTGAACTATGTGTCTTCTCTAGAAAAATAGACTGACCTCTGTTGTTTTCTCGTGACTACTTGTTTGATAAATACGAATGTTCTATCTGAGCCTAATAGTCTGGACTTTCTTGCAGAAAATCGCTTTCCCTGGTATACTGAAAAAGCCACGCTTCCCCATCATCGCACCACAAAGACAGTACCACCATATCTCTCAGAGAGTGTACCGTTCTGGGTCTATTTTGGTGAAGTGACATTAATTCTACCAATGGTGCTAATTTGGAATATCGTACATATAGTCCACATTTTGAGGTTTCTGTTACATACATAATGCAAAAGAAGGTCGACATAAAGACACGGGTGGGATTCTTCATGCAATATATCATAATCAACCCATGTTATTCAGATTTTCCGTGTCACGGTAGGGAAAAAAAAAGGCTGATACAGTGGGAAAGTCTTTAATATAGATTACTAGTCTCTGGTGGGACGGAAATGCGTGGTGAAGCTTAAATGAGAAGTTTACCCAGCGAGCTTCAGGTGCAGAGACATAGTGGGAATCGAGAAGTTCTTGGACTTTATCGATATGCTCTTGTTGGACGGCTGTGGATCTAGCCTGCAATCTTGAAAATTGCACGGCTACCTTCCTTTTATGCATACTTGTAGAGGATCTTTACATAGGCAAAAGACCTCAATGTTAATATCTGAACTGTACTTTACGCATAGATAGTAGCTGTGTGATACTACTTATAGATTGACTTTTATTGCTCCTGTCACGCTCTGTTTTGATTTCACAATCTTTTGTTGGTTCAAATCGTATGCCTTTCTTTCTTTTTTATATCTTACACCTTTTCAAATTAACACTTGTTACATTCTCCAACACATATCTTCTACAGGAAAAAAGATACCTTAAATATTTACAAATAACACATTAACAAAATCCTTTCTTAGCCCAACATTATCCTTATTCTTTTAAATTGTCGTCTAAGAATAAACGTTTTACTAGTGAGCAATTTTATTCGCTTACTAAACTATAAAATGCTTAATCTAGTACTAGGCAATAAATCTTTTTTCTTTCTTTATTTCGATAATACTTCTTGTACCAGTCATTCTTCATACAACGTGCTGCTTTAGCTTCAGGACAGCAGTTGGCCTCTCCGCACGATATGTGCACCATGTAATGACGGATGAGTTCAAAGACTTTAACTCAAGAACAGGGCCTAGATATTCGGAAGATACTATGCTCTCCTCCATTGTTGGCAAATTTAACCGATTTGTCTGCTGCAGTTAAAGCCAAGAGGATATGGGCATGATGTAAACCACGCTTCTGGAACTCAATGGCATAGATGCATGTTACGATCTTACCCCAGAGATGCTTCGTTCACAGGTTTCCCATGAGTTCCTCAAGATTCATGTTGAACGCGCGGGAGCAGATCTCGGATACTCTCCCTAATACTCTGCTTACCGAACAGAACATTTATGTTTTCTGGCCAAGTGGGGTTTCAGGTAAAAGTTACAAAGAGATATGGCCTGCAAAAGTGATGCATAATACTTGTGGCGTCCTAGTATAATTAACTCATTAATTTTAGGCTGCCAATAAAAGATGAAAGCAGAATTACTAGAGGACTAACATTTGCCAAATCATTGCCATTGAAGTTGATTACATCCTAAATATCCCGATGTATAGGTCTGTGCGAAGACGTTCTTAGTTGAGGATGTCATAGGTTAGCCGGATATGCTCCATTTTAGCTTACATACCAACAATGTATTTCTGAAAAAATCGCCCAGAAATATGAAGATTGTTATTAAAGTTACTGCGGTATATTAGCCGACAGGAGGTATCACTGCCTAGCTGTAGCACGTTTTTTAGAAAAAGATTTAGACTCGATGGTGTAGTAATAATTATCGAAAGGAAAAATAAGTAGATTATGAAGAGCATCGTATGAGCAGTGATACTTTTTCTCTCTCTCATTCAAGTGTAACCGTCTGAGTGTGCAAGATCATGTCTCTAGATGTGCTGTCTTCAGCGTTCATTATTATAACTGTCACTTTCTCAGAAATTTGGTATATTATATCTTTGCTGATCTTGTGACCCTTCAGTAACCAAGTATAAATAAGGGTATATTGCTGCTTTTTCTTTATTCGTTCGCGCTAACTTGGTCAACAGCCCAAAAAAGAGAGACTGAGAGATGTGACTCATTTAGAACTTATTAGCGGTGGATAATTGTATTGTCTTTGAACGAATCTGAGATTGGGAATCAAAGTTGGTAGATCTGAGAAAATTGAGGTTTTAATATATCTAATTTACCCATTTGCAACATTGGCTTAGTCCTGTGGCGAATTGAACAGTTGACCGAGAAACTGGGAACTCCCACATCTTGATTAGTGAGTTATTGGATGCTTGTGGCTCGAAAATAGTTATTCCCAAAACAAACGAACAAACAAACTTGAACAGCGTTCTAAAGCAGTAGTCTTATCCATAGCAAGTGTTTCTTTTTCTTCTTTTTATTCTTCTTCAAGGATCAGATCAAAAACATTGGCATCTAAAGAAATGTTTATACAGACAAAACTCCAAACGAAAACAAAGTTAAAATTAAAATTAGTGCCAGTAATTGATCAACTAATATAATTATTTATATATATACGAAAAAGTTAAGTACTTTCTCGTAATGAGTCAATTGAACTATTGAATGATATATTATCCCCACTAATAGATACTATTACTATTACCCCTCGTAAAACATCGTTTGGCAGCATAAAAGAGCTTATTTCGCTTGCCTTGAGATATATACAAAGCTAAAGTGAAGTACTGCCAAAGGTTCAAGAGGCAGAATACATTTGATATATGGATATTACTGGTAAAAAGAAAAATTGTATAAAGTATAGCAAATTTGGCAAGATTTATGACCATCTGTTTTTATGTTTCTTTTGTGATGGTGAGACAATTATTACATGGATATAATGAAGAGTTAATTCGAAAACGATGTATAACTAAAAAATAAAATAAAATAAAATAAAAATATGTGAACTAATGTATTCTAGCTATTGAAAATACAGTAGAAATAGACAAGCCTTTGCTTTTAAAAGAAGAGGAACTTACATCAGAGAACATTGAACCAGACCCTAAAAAGAAAGACTGTGCTATTTAACTATGATCGTACCATACTTTCTGATACTAAGCTGGCATATTATATAAAGTGAAAAATTATAGAGATACGCCCAAAGATACACACACATACATAGAGAGAGAATGAAGAAGAGAGGAAAAACTGTCAATAAATAAGATTGTTATCTACCAAATATAACATTATGAATAACATTTGATATTTGAGTAAGTAGTTTTTTTTTCTCTTGTAAAAAGAATTGATTGATTGGTAATTAGTATTATATGTATTGTGCATGATCTTTTTTTTTTGGTATCTGTCACACTTTATTTTATCTTCATTTGTTGTCTTGTTTGTCGAGACTTAAACTTTTTGATTTGTTTCTTCCGACACATACACACAAAACAGTTGGTCTTTAACAACCATCGAAGGTTTCTTTAGTATAACTGTTTATATGATAATGATAGCAATAATGTATTACAATTGTTTTTGGGGCCAAGTGAACTGTTATTAATGCAAATGCTTGTCTAGGTAATGAGCTTCCAGTTCTATACCGCACAGACTCTCTTGTAGATTCCAAGAAGTCTTCCATAACACAAACACACGCATATAGATATGTCTTAAATTGGGTCTGTGATAGCATGTTGTCATAATGTGGCAAATATTAAGTGATATTCTTAATTAAAAGAGAAGAAATGAATTTTGATGAGCGTTTCTATTAAATCCATATATATATAATCATTATCATTTTCACAAGATATTTTCATTATTGTTCCTATAATCCCTAAATTAAGCCTTTATTTAACAAGACTGTTTTTTTTTGGTTCTTCATCCACGAGTGATACTTTAAACTCAGGGAGTTTTTCTTTAGTTCTTTTTTTTTTCGAAATATAAAGTACAAAATACAAGTACTATGATAATACTAGTAATAATGCCAATTGCTCTTGTGTAAGTCTTCTCATTGATAATTGGTAATTGGCGAATGACAGAGAAGAAATGCGCTAAGAAGTTATGAAAGAGATTTAGAAAATGTACCTGAATTACAACACTAGTTTTGCTTAAATATCTATGGCGCTCGAATATTCAAATACTCAGAAAATGATTGCACCACATCAATATCATTCTGAAACATATATATATATATATTAAAGAAAAAAAACATATTCGCTCTTTTGATGCTTAGAGATAAATTATATCAGTCCACACAGCAGTAAATAGTCTGAACCGTTATTTAAAGCTAATTCTTCTTTACAACACACGAACGTGCATTGCTATATTGTACTCTAACTGTGTGAAACAGAATATTTACACCAACAGATGCTTACTATATGTATTACAGACAATTTGTGACCACAATTACCCTAGCTAATGCACGTGAGGATATCCTAACAAAAAAAAGCTTTATATAAATGGAAGAACAGAAAAAGACAAAGATTGGGAAAAATTTATATCCACTTTACACACTTCTTTGACACAATGTTTAACAAACGCACTGCTACCTGGTTTGGCATCGGCATTCTCGGACTCGCCATTCACCATCTCAGTAAGCGATGAGCATACTATTACACAAAGAAGCCAAGCACTAATATGTCAACACAGGCCCTGTTATACCACTCTTGGGAGTTGGTGTCAGTGTTCCTTCCATCGGAAGCGAAGGATGTGTCCATATCACAGGCAAGTGTTTTTTTTTTGGTTTATTTAATATGACCAGCACAGCTAACCTAGTGAAGCACTCCAGGTCCTTCTGACTACCAGTTTTGTGAAGATTCGGCCCGTTCAACCACAGAAAAAGGTGTCACCTACTCAGCATGCGATCCTATAAGAGATATAATGAACCCAGTCATGGACTTTGAGGTTCTTCATGATTTATCAGAAGCAAAGACTGGTGCTATCTGGAGAATAAACTACACAAGTGTAAGTGACATTTGGATATCAATGGATAGTATGCTATGAACATTATTTAATGAATTAATGAATTAATGAATTAACTTGATGTGATTAGGAAAATCCTCAACCAGAGAAATTAACCGTACGTGGATCACCTCCAGTCTCATTGGATTTCCATCCTCTTGGTCTCGCCATTGATTTCAATCAAGAAAACCAAAAGTCTCTAATCTTAACTGCAAATCTTCCTATTCTTGGCGGTCTTGCTGGAGTGGAGATTTTCGGTCTCGAAGAAAACGCTGAAGATGGGTCCAAAGAACTTGTCTATATCCGTAGCATTAACAATCCACTCTTGAACGCACCCAACAACATCCACATCATTCACGACCCTCGATTCCGTGGTTCGGATGGTGTCCCATCCTTCTATATCAGCAACGATCACTATTATACTCACGATCTCATGAAAGTCTTGGAAAACTATCTGCTACTACCCGTATCAACTGTCTTCTTCTACGATGCACGAACCGATACCCTTAAACCTGTTATCAAAGACCTTATTTTCGCAAATGGTGTTACAGGAGATGAGACCTCGCTTTTTGTGGCAGAGACAAATAGAATGGTCGTAAGACAGTACGAGATTAGGATCAAGGAGGATAAGGATAACGAGGGATCCGCCCCAACAATTTCTCTTCAATATGTTACAAAAAAATCATTCCCCATGGCAGTAGATAACCTGTCTTATGATTCATCTATAAAGGAAGTCATTGTGGCTGGTCATCCAAAGGGACTCCAATTTCTTCAGTATACCTTTAGTGAAAACAAAGAAAACATGACTGTGCCTCCATCTCTTGTTATGTCGTGGGATGTTCAGAGCGGCAACGTAAAGAAGCTTTTCAGCGATGATGGAACCGTCTACGGCACTTCTACTACTGCTTTACGTGATAGTGAATCAGAAACCTTGTTTATTTCAGGCTTATTAAATCGCGGTGTATTGGTATGTCCTCTAAAGGAATAAGGTACACGGCGACTCTTTTTTTTCCCAATATAGAAAAATGCTTAGCCATCAAACCACCAGCCATTTCTTCAGTATCCTCCACCTCATCCCATACTTATGTTTCCTTTTCGCAATCACCTGGTTTTCATATCACATGAATATACGTTTAGCTACTTCAAAATAAAATCATTTAAATCTGTTTTATTTTACTTTGTCTCTCTTATTCTACCATCAAGCAAGTCTTGCTTATACAATTTTTTTTCAAAAGGGTAGAGAAATAGGACATCTTTATGTTTCTGTTTCAACAGGATCATAATATATATATAAAAAGATGAAATACGTTACACTTTCTGAGTGTACATACATACATACATGGCGGCATGCATCAAATAAAATACCCAAAGGAGAGATCAGCAATTTTACGAGGACGGCATTTTCAGGATGTGTCACTACCTGTCTTTTGCCGGACCAATTTATTACTTTGCTCATTGCAGATTAGCAATTAAAAATTATGATGTTAATAAGTACTTTCTATAAATCACTTCAATATGAATCTTATCAATAAAAAATTATATTTTTCAATGGAAAGGAGTATTTTTTTCTCCCAAGAATCTCTTCCTGTCTCACCAGTGAAAGATTGCAGTGGTACTACGATGGTATTTGCAAATATTCAAGAGTTTGCGCTTGTAATTAGAGAAAGTAAACCAACTCGAGTGTACTTGAAATATGCCATAAGGGAAGGGCACGACGTTTCCTGTTGGAATATGGTGCCTCGAAGTAACATGTTTGATAACTATTTTATTCTTTTCTATATATCAGTCAATCCATTACAGGTAGTATAAAACGTCAAGTATAGCATTACATATTTAAGAGACTGCCTTGTATTAAAGTATCTTTATTATGGGGGGTACTCAGCCAAATTGATGGATCAAATTCTTGTGTGCATATTAGCCAATGATATCAATTTGTAGTTAAGGACACCAAAAGACAAAAGTACAAGTTTCGTACAAAATTCATATATTTTTATAGCATTTATAGCATTTATAGAATCAATGTCAAGTAGCCTTTATATATATTATAGATCATAATGCGCCTGACAAAGTTACTTATGCATAAAAACAACATTTTGTTGACTGGTCTGGATTTATAAGTAATTTTCTGTCTTTAATTTGCCATTTTTATCAAAACGATCCATTTTTTTAAAAGTTTTTTTTTTACTTCAGTAGTGAATTATATAGATTTCTCACACAGCATAACTTTACGATGCTTCTGATATTTTGATGTTGCAGTTATATATCCGCTAAAGTAAATAAATATAAAACCTTGTTTTCTACAGATCTATTGAGTTCTGTAATCAGAATATATAATTTGAGCACAAGCACATCACATCAATCAAAGTTAAAAAGAAATAAGGCTGTGGTAGATTACAAAGAGCGTAACTATTATATATGGAATTATTATATTTTAAAGTATAAGTGTGGAAAAGGAATAAATATATGTATATGAGGGTATATGTACATACGGAAAGATTATATCAGTTTTATAAAGAAAGGTTTGTATATTAGGCTTGTCTAGCCTGCCTTTACAGAGTAGTCGTCCTCTTCCAGGATGACCTCCTCTCCGTCTACCACACGCACAGGACCAGTAAACCATTTGCGTCCCCAGATCATGTAATATCCGGTAGAAAATGCCATGATGACAACAAAAGGAATAACGGCATAATTCATGTTGTCTGCAGTAACTGGTGCCTCTGTGGGACAGATGAAGAGGGCACAAGTAAATAGAAGCCAAGCAGATGATATATATCCAATTACAATACTAAAGCGTCCCAAGTGCCAAGGTCCTAAGATAAGATAAAAAAGAATGTTACGATTTTCTGGTACAAATTTATAACCACGGCAACAACGACAACAAACACTGACTGAATAACTAACCTGGAGTAAATTTTGTGCGCGACACAGTGATACGTAAAACGATAGGGATAAGATAAGACATCTGGGCACCGATTGTGTTTAGAGACACAATGGCTTCAAATGCCGTGTCGTTGATGATATACAAGAGTCCGACAATACCCGCAACAACAATATTGAACCAGACAGCAATAACCGGACTCTTGGTTTTTGGGTTGAGCGTGTGCAGCTGTTTGGAGAACGGCATGGCTCCATCTCTGGCAAATGCATACACCATGCGGGAACTTCCGAGGGTCAACGCTGATCCACAAAAGAAAATACTAAGCATTACAAAAATCAAGAAAACCATTGTCCACGCAGGTCCTACACCGTCGTAAAACACCTGGATCATCTGAGGCTGGATAGCTCCATCAGATACAATCTGACCCATAAAGTCTGTGACCATAAAGCTAATAGCAACCAGAAAAATAAGACCAGAAAATGCATTGGCAGCGACCGCAACAAGAATAGCGTATGGAGATCCAGTTTGAGAATTTTTGGTTTCTAATAGTAAAAAAAAAAGGGGAATAAATACAAGTTAAATATTAAGCTTTGATGTTGTTCCAACGCATTTATGTAAATAGCATACCTTCACTCATGTGGGCTGCACTATCGTATCCAGAAAGTGTGTACTGAGACTGTAGAATGACTAGCAAGAATGCATAACCATCGCTCGAAAATCCAGATCCGTTAAAGAATTGGGTAAACTATATTGATATATATATATTAACATCTGGATATAATACATAATTGTATAATATTCTTACCACAAAATCTCCAGTGGATAGTGGTCTTGTAATAGACAAGCCGACCACAACGATAAAGATAATTCCCAGCATATTGAGCCAGACTATAGTAATAGAGACACCATCAATAAAGCTCCTTTAATCCATAATTTTCTATTTTCTTTCTTTACTTACAAGCAGCTTGGTTCATTATACCGTTTAGGTTTACAGCAACGGAATTGATAACACCGTGCAAAAGTAGAATTCCAACAAAAATACCGTACTGCATGTAGACTGACGTATCTACTTCTGGGCTCCTAAGAAAAAAGAAGAAAAATAACAATAATGGAGACAATAAGAATCCAAACATTTGAAAAATATTGAGGCTATCATTACCAGATATTAATAATACCGGCAACAAATTGAGCAAGTCCAAGATCAATGGATGTGATTCCAACTAAAGTTTATTATTATTATTATTATTAACAGATTGCCAGACAGAGTCAAGACTTGATTGTATAACTATTACTTACATGCAAACCCAATCCAATTACACCATCCTGTAAGCCAGCAAGCCAAAGGAACCCACTCTGATGTTGAGAGACGTGATACCCAGAAATAGAGACCTTTTGTAATAAATCCATGTCAATATCATTATTTTCCAAGGATTACTTATAAATATAAATATAAATATGTCGAACTAACCTCCTGTGGTGGGATATGCACTACAGATCTCAGCTAATGACATGGCAATCAACAAGGTAAAGAAACTAGTAATGATCCAACCCCAGATAACACCCATAGATCCAGCATCCATCATAGCATCACCCCACATCTTGATTATCGATTTGTTAGTTTTTATGTGTGCATCGTTCTTTAATAAGCTAATTTATTTCTTTAAAGAAAACTTACAGGTGTGAGACCAGATAATACAGAGCAACATGAAAACGCAATGGCAAAATTTGAGAAGGCAGACATTGAACGGCTTAAATCCTAGGGAATATATGTTTTCATTTGTTGATAATATTGTTGGTGTACAAGTATTTGATAAATACGATATGCGTACCTGTTTGTAGCCCAGAGAATGTAATAGGAGCTCGTCTGCGTCCATAGTGTGCGAGGGTGCCTCCTCGATGTGTCCCGCAGACAACTTTTTCTCGTCTGTAGATTGCATTGCGAGTAAATAGCAAGTCTTTGGTTTGAAATTCTGCTTGAAAGGTAAAAGAAACAAAAAAAAAGTACAAAGCTGCAATAAAGAGTCAGATCAAACAGGAAGCTGTATTTATGCAATAGAATTGCACAACAATTATACTTCAAGGAGGATAAGAAAATCCAAGATAAGACATATATGTATGGCGCAATCGGAGATAACTATTAATGTATAAGGGTATTTTTTTCAAAAGTATACAGCTTTTGTGAAAATCAGGTTAAGAAAAATCCAGTGAACACAATTGTATACAAGTCTATGCTAAATAATTGTTTTTGCTAGATTGATACTAGTAGCTATAGATAAAGGATTTTGCACCTTCAAAATTAGGATGCTCTTGTAGGTTTATGAAAATGAGCTTGTTGAAAACATTGAACCACTTTGGATGTCTCCAATAGACTGTATTTGAATATTGTAAACCTAAAAAGAAATGTTATGTGATCATGAAAGTAGCCAGACTTGAGGTTCAGAGCCTTTCTCTTATAGCTAGCAAAGATCAAATAATGTTTTTATATAAAGAAAGAATATCACAGAAGAAATTGAAACAAATCCAAGAAATTTAATATTTATACCATAGTACCCCATATGATAAACCGAGACATCGTTTACTTGATGATAGTTTTAACTCTTGTTTGACTATGTTTGGCAGCACCAGAGTCAAACTTGTTGTCTGACATTGTTATCTCAAGAACTGATTCTAACCTGCAGTAATGATTACAAGATAAACGAAATTCACATAACGGCATTGATACGCTCTCGTATCAACACTATTGTCGGATCCAAGTGCCACTATCTTTTAAAGTCTTGTGTTCAAATATCTTCATTGGCCATGGAACGAGTCAAATTTGTCAGCGTTGGAAATTGATTGGCTGTTAGAATTTTTACTAATTCTTATTTTGGCATCACTTTGCCTAGCATCAATTAGCGAATACTTGGCTTCATGACAAATACCCTTTTTTTTTGTGTTATTCTTCCAGTAAACCTCATGTTCGATCTATACGTAAAAAAATCTAAAGCCTATAATTTACAAATAACGCTTACAGCTTAAATATCCAGGGATTCTATACATGTAATTGTTTATTTAATGTAAGCTGGTAGATGATCTTAAAGTGCTTCATATACAAGCTAAAGATGTGGCTATAGATGTTACACTAGTGATAAAGGACTACACACTAGAGATATTTAGGTTAAAACATGGAATACGATATATATATATATATATATATAAATTTTGGAAACATTAAAATTTTGTACTTGTGAAATGAAATAAAATAAAAAGCAAATATACTTTACGTAGTATCCAGATCAGTATATTCATGCTTGTTATTTATCTGCTTCTCGTCCAGCTCCAGCTTTAACTAGGCTTGTCTTTCTTGACTAAATTATTGACTAGAAGGCCATAAAAAGTTATAAATATCATATTAGTAGCCATATATATAGTATGTCTATGTGAGCTTATATATTCCAATACATTCTCTTGATCTATTCGTATTATCTTTTGTAATCAACACAGTAAAGTATGTTTAGTATAAAGCCTGCCTGATATTTGACTAGCAAATTGGATTTAAATGCGTAATAGAGAAGCTTCCTTTGAAAACTTCAAATGTCACGACCAAGAAATCTTCCATAGCTTACATTGCATGGTGAAATCCTTCCGCCTGTTGAGCACTTTATTTACCTGGCTGTCTCATTTTACAACAAGAATACGTACAGCAAATCAATTGTATCTCACCGTGAGTCTAGCTTTTTTTTTGGCTACTATGACTATTTTGGACTATGTTGGTGAAGTTACAGACATATACCAATAGCCACCAGAAAAAAAAACAAATCCTAACAATTCAAAGGTACAACCTCTTTAAGAGCATCTTCAGCTAGAACTTTTAAATCCCTGTCAAATTTAGCAGTTAGATAAAATTTAGGGCCCTTTTTTTTCATAAAATAAAATAAAATAAAAGGAACTGCTGGGAGGATAACTTTTAGCTAAAAGTCCAAATGCGGGATAAAAGTCGGGATAAAAGTTACTGCTGAAGATGCTCTGAGACTCTTTAGCCTCGACTTTTTCAACTTGGAAGAATAAATAATACATCTACACTTCTTATTTGCTTAAATAGGCGAGACTAATGACTAAATATTGAAACCCCATTAGCTTAGAAGAACGTTGCCAGGTGGCAAATTTATCTATGATTGTTTCCAGGCCACTGGTTTAAATATCCTCCTATTTCTTACAGTGCTGGCCAAGAATTTCAGGATCATCGACCATAAGAGCACAACGTTTCAAAAATGGGAGCCGGCGTCTTCTGTTAAGCCGTAGCATTTTGAAGCAGTATTCTAGATAGCTATTTTATTACAAGCAGACACACACACACATTTATATATAGCAGAATGTATACTAGTAGTGTCAAACTGTATGTATAAAATTATATAATCAAAATGGTGACTTTTATACTTGGCCAAAGACATTTTTCTACCTTGTATTAAAGAAGATGTGTATTTATAGCAATTTAGTCTGAAATTGTAGATGTCCATACCCCTTTTACTATATTGAGCTTTCGGTGTAATGAATCGGGCTAGAAGAGGGTTGCGAGTTACTGCTACAAAGTGGTTTGAGATGGGGACAAAGAAGTATATCAACAAACAGGGTTAATGATCCGGACTATTAATAAGTTTCATTTTTTTGGTAGACTTGGCTTACACCACAGCTCATTACCATAGGCGTGGTTAACATGAATACATATAAAATTTTAAATAAAGTTTTACCGATGTAGAGAAATTCTACATCCAAAAAAAAAAAATATGGTAAATGTCTACAAGTCTACACACCATCTCTTTATTCATTAAATTAGCTTCATTAAAATAATAATAATAATTATGGATAGTTAGGGACTAGATACAATCTTTAGACTTTGCATAATACGTATCATATAGGCGGTCTGGTAAACTCGAAACGTCGGCTTCCATCAAAAAATACCGTGCACCTAGGATTAGCGATCTTTGGTAATACATTCCTACTTAATGAGTACGTCAAGACTAGCTATGGTATATAGATTATGAGAGCGTGTTTTGGTCTAGACAAAATTAAAGTCAAAATTAACATCCCAGGTAGAGACTTCAACTATATAACAGCATTTCAAGATACCCAATATGCGGTTAATGGATAAGATAGTGAAATACCTTTCTTGACAGTATAATACGGTTACTTACTTATATATCCCCACAATCTGTATTTTGAAGCAAAGAGCATTAATTCTAATAAGACTGTTTTGATCTCGAGAATACCAGTCCTTTTTAACAGACCCAGGTAATAAAAAGAAACGTACACTCTCAATTAAACAAAAGGCTTAATTAAAGATTTATCCAAAGCATTTGCGTCGCAGGATTTTTGTTTTGCACTGTAATACACATAATCATTGTAATCTTAAAAAGAATCCAAAGCCCAAGTTAGCAGATGTAGACTGAAAGGAAGGCCGTCTGTATTAATACTGGATATATAGTGCTGATTAATAAAGGGCATAATATCCACAAGTTTTTCTGAGATTCGTAATTATATTATGCATACTTGCTATGCATGTAGCAAAGAATACTAAGCCAAATTATCTCCACTAGTGAATAATTTATATCTTGTTACATTAGACCATGATATCTAGAGTATGGGAAAACATGTCTTTCTTTTTTAAAACTCGGCTCGTCTCTAGGCTTTGTTAGAAACAGTAGTAAAAGTGCCGAAATTTCATTTCGTTTTTTTCCCACGGGGTCATGCATTATTAAATATGGTACCCAGTACCATACTCTTGGGATGAAGAAAAAAGGAAGCTCAGCATGGCTTAAGAACATTATCAGCTTTTATATATTTATTTATATATTTATTTATTTATTTATTTATCGTACTTATATATTAACTTTAGGTTGTATAGAGCCATATACTATTGTAATGCGTTTGCTAAATATATATCGTACTTTCTCCTAAATACAGCTACACCAAAGACTGTAAATTATCCTGGCTTATACATTCAACTTTTATATAGCAAAAATATTATATTCAAGTAAATTCATTTGCTTTTATATTGTATTTATGTATTCATGTACAGGGATTTTGGCTTGGCTGCACCAAAATATATCGCAGACGTTTTATGGCGTTAATTGATGTTCAAGAAATGTTTGTGCAGTTTAGAATCTCAGTTTGTATTTGTGTTTGTGTTGTGTTGGGAGTGCTTAATGAAAGGAAAATCCTGTGTTTAACCTTTTTGCGGCAGGCACTCAAGAAGATGATCTTTGGTACCCCTGTTTACTTTCTCTGTGGTTATGTAAGGAAATATTGTGGGAAACTAAAATAATGAGCGATGTACTAAATACAAAGGATTGTATTTTGCGTGGTTTCACCGATTCCTCCTGTTGAAATAGGCTGGAAGAAAATGCATGAAAAAAACACACACGTACATACATAAATATATAAAGGCATACATATACATGCATTATATTGAGTTTTTATAAAAGATCAAAGTAAAGGCTACCAAATATACCAGCTTTCGTTTGTAAGAAAACCAAAGAAAAAAGAAAATACTATTATACTCTAGGCTTAAAGCTATTGGCATACTCTTTGAAAAAATCTTCTACTGACCGAGAAGTATGTGATCTGATCACTGCAGCATGTGGGACGCACACACTACTAGCAGTTTTGCTAATCCAGTCAAAATAGTCGATAAATTCTTGAATTAAACTTGCTAAAAAAAATACAGTCAATAAATCTTCTCTTGACCCATCTTTCTTACTCACCTGAAGGAGCGGCAAATGCTCTAGAGGCATAGTCGTAGCTTTCCAATGCAGAATGATAAGCCTGATTACGCTCCTGTTTTAACCTTGCGTCGAACCAGATGTCGTTACTCATAGTTTTGAGATAATGACTTATGTCCATAGCACGACTATTTCGGTAGGAAAGAGGTTTGTATCCAGTTGCTTCAGCCATAATATTTGCGATTTGTTGACCATTTAAAGAGTCCGGTCCTGACAGAATGTATATTTGGCCTCCGTAGTTTTCAGGAATATTAGATAGTAATGTGCTAGTATCCTTGTCTACAACCAATGATTCAACAACCTCACACACGTCTTTTATATCGATGGGACACATCTCTACTTCGGCTGATATTGGCAGAGGAAAGTAACGGAACCTTTCCACAAATGGAGCCCAGAGATGAAAATACTGTATTATCCAGTCCAACCTAAAAATAAAAAGAGAGGTGAGTCTCTTTCAAAGCTCATTATAATATAATAGGCTTCTTCTTACCTTAGAATAGTGAATTGGCAGGAGGCGTTAAACACTTCTTCTTCGATAAGGCCATAGTCACACAGCCCTTCGTGGGTCAAGGAAAGTGCTCCGATGTGTGAAATTAGAACAATAGACTTTACACCTGATTTTACAGCTGATTGGCATAGCTTTTTGCAGTTTTCGACTCGATTGGACTCATTTCCGACCGACAGCAAGAGACAGTCAATCTTTCGCATGGCTAAGGAAAGTTGGTTGGGATGTTGATAGTCAACCTGTCTAACATCAATACCCTTTTTCTCTAGATGAGTGCATTGTGTCTTGTCTTGGCAAAGGATACGGATATTTTTACGTAGAGGTTTGTGTTGGACTAGATGGGATACAATGCATTGGCCAATATATTGGTCAGCGTGTGATATGAGAAGCATACTGGGAAGAGCGAGGATTAAAGACAAAGCTGGATAAGTGATCTCTCTTTTTATCTTGTTATCTTACTCACAAGTCAGTCAAGCGACACCCCCCTTTGCAGTTGTCTTATCCCTTCATTATGTCTCATGATTATTGTTTTTTATTTTTATTTTTGGCTTTATGTTATTTATTTATTTATTTATTTATTTATTTTTAATATAATCCTCAGCCTTGCCACATCTCAATCTCTCTTTCACCCTATTTTGCCTTAGTGTTTTTACACTTTTGATAACTTTCAAGACCCAAGATAAAACAGCTAATTAAATAGACCTCTTTATTTTAGTTTATTATAGTCAAAGAGACTTAGTTGATGAATATATTGAACATTACTTGTTCTTCTCTTCTCTCCTCTTCTCTTCCTTCCTCTTGATTTGAATTTAATTATAAGACGGATCTTTGACTTTAGAAATATATAAAGAAAAAATGCGGAAGTTAAAACCATCAACTCTTTAATCCACGTTATAAACCTTTGTTTATTGTTCACTAACATAATGGGACTTCCACTACCAACATTCAATCAAACAAATGACGAACTTGCAACTCTTGTCTCAGAGGCTCAAGAGCTGATAAAACAAAAGGATGCTCTTGAGAGAGATTTAAAAGATCTTGGAGAAGAGCTAAACTTCCATGGCGTAGGTATGGACCAGCCTTTGATCGATGCTTCTGGTTTCCCTCGATCGGATGTGGATGTAGCTGCTGTACGAGTCTCTAGAAATCAGATGTACCGATTAAGAAACGATTACGGAACAGTCATGTTACAGATTGAGGAAGTCTTACACGCCATTCATGATGCAAAGCGCCAACAAGATGCTTTGAATGCTTCCACTGCCTCGACAGAGACACCACCAAAAGTTACTTTAGCAAATACAACAGAAGATAATACATCGCAGTCAGGCACAACAACAACTTTAATACCATTTGCAGTAGTAAACGCTGTAGCACCTGACTCTCCTGCCTATTCAGCAGGATTGCGCAGAGGTGACAAAATAATAGAATTTGGCTCAGTTAATGCCGAAAATCATGCTCGCTTACAGGCCTTGAACGAACTAGTACAGCAGAGTTTGGGGGTCTCTATTGCAGTAGTTGTATTGCGTGAGCAAGACCAGCTTAACTTAACCTTGGTTCCTCGCCAGGGATGGGGCGGAAGAGGCACTTTGGGATGTCACATTGTCCCTGTCTAATAAGCATACGTGCCCAAATTTAGTACGCCAACAGCCAATGGCCAATAGCCAAACGCTAAACAGTGCAAACAAACAAACACACACACACACACTAATACAAATACAAATAAACAAGCAAACAATAAACAAACCCCCAAAATATCTCAGCTTTATTGATAGTTCATGTTTATGTTTCTGTATATAATACATAAATCATATGACTAAAAGCTACATTTGATAGCAAGTCCTACATATCCTGCTTTTTCTGTGTCGTAAAATGGCTTGAGTGAGTACTGAGGCATGAATACACGACGGAATAATGCACTTGCATTGCCTGTACTCTTATGTAATAATCGATTGGACATAAACACAATACTCCCTGCAGGTAAGTCAAGGGAAACTCCATTTCCTTTTCCAGAACCATTATCCTTTATATCACCCAACAAAAGAGAGCCATTTTTCTATATAATATAGCACAATCATTTAGTAGAATGTTTCTTCTTTTTTAGTTGGGTTTTCATACACAGTTGACTGGATCCAAGGCAGTCCAGCAAGCTACACTGGACTCATTTTGTAATGAAGGATCAAGATAATCCGAATCCTTAAAATAGATAAACGTTTCTTTTATAATCAATATATATATATATATATTGGAAATAACAAAAAACAAAAACATAGTAGTCTGTGTGCATTACATTACCCTGTGCCATGCAAATTGAGAATAAGAGGCTGTTTGAGGTGGTTTGATGATATATTGTTCATTCAACTAAAACGTGTGACGTATAACAAGCATAAGAAATTATGTCTTTGCATATGCTTTCTATACAGGCGACTCACTAAATATACTGTCTTTGGATTATCAGGGCATATCAATTCTGCAGCTAAGCGAGCGATTGTTTCGAGTACAATAGTTGCTGGCGAGGTTTCGTCATTTGTTTCAAGAATGGCATTTCGTCTTTTTCTATATTCAGCTGAATGGATCTTGTAATCTAATGTCGATGGTGGATCAAGGTATCCACATGTCAAGGGTTCTACATATTTTATTATTATTTTAGGATTTCATGAATATTAAGTTGTAAAAATTAGTTACTATTTATTTATTTATCTTTTTTTTTTTACCAATGATGCAACCAAGATCATGTACAAGATCTACTTGTTCTGTGATGAGATGATTTGTAAGAATGTCTGCTTCCTCATGGAGTGCATTCAGCTGGCTACGTGTGAGTCCTGGTTTTAAATGAGCAAAAAGAAAAATGAAACAGGGTTTAGTTGGGTTACCCCGAGTAAGGACTACATATCCATGCAATTGATAATGATCAATATCTTCTTGGGTCACACTAGAGGTAATGTAGATTTATTAAGAAAAATTGATGATAAGTATTCTTTATTGTTTTTGGCAGTAAAAGTTAAAGATGACTTTGCTTACTGTATACTAGATTTACTAGAACAAATAGAATATCCAAGTTCATTATCCATTTATAGTTCTTTTAATTAAAGGACGGAATAAAACCAATAAAATAAAATTAAATAAAATTGACAGGGAGCCCTTTACACGTTTTTATATATATAATTTATTTTTCAAGCCAAATTAAGATGTAACCAAAAGTTAAAAGAGAAAATTCAAACAAGCATATAGAAGCATATTACGTTGCAATCAGTAGCATTTACTGATTGATTCTTTACTCCCCTTTGTAAAGACCATTCTAATAGCATTTTTAATAGTGTAATTTAATAGATCTCTGCACAGCATAAATATACGATATTGTGTAATTCAAGCAAAGCCTTTTAATCACTAAAATGTATATTTAAAGACGACAATATTAGCGCATTATTGAAGAACTGAGATAAACCGTTTAAAAATTGTCATCTATAGTGATGAATCTATGGTGTATTTTCTTTTAAATCAGAAATTTTGGATTTTGGGCCAATTTTTTAATTTAAAATACCGATATATGAAAATGACATTAAATGTCCGCCAGCTTTAAAAAAAATCTCAAACATTGAACTTTATGCAGTCACAAATTCATATATTCACGACAAAAGATTGTTTAAACACCGCATAATACATAGTATTACTATATTAGGGGATCGATTCTCGTAGTCTGCCATAAGAAATGAATAATCTAGGGCCAATATTTCTCTTTCTCTGCTATTAAATTCGAACACCGCGTTTTTTCAAGACCTAAAAAGTGTTGTCGGAAATGTGAAAACTGAATATGTTTTACATTTACTTTGTT